TACAACAACAACAACAACCACAACAACAACTACAACAACAACAATAAAAATATAAATATTTAATTAACATCAGATAAGGTTTGAAAGGGTTCCCCTTGCTGTTCCAAGGGTTGTCCAGGGTCGAACCAGCTCGAACCCAAGGATTGAGACCGCTGAAAAATGAATTCTCTGCGTAACCTTGACTATCCCCTGCAGAACCTTAGCAGCAACCAACTGATTTACACCTTATAGGGTATTGGGTAAACCAATACATTCTTACTAACAACCCTTTTCTTGATACCGAAGAAATAGGTTATTTATTTAATTAAATAAATCAAAATATTGTCTCTCAATTTAATCAATCTATCAACTATTCAAATATATACTAAAATCAAAATAATTAATATAATCTATCAATCAATCAATTAATCTACTAACCAAAAATAATTAATAATGAAGAATTTGTTTTTGGTACTCATTATTTTAATAATAGTTGCCAATTTAATTAAGGGAGAAACTTCAACTGCTCCCATTGGGAGTGGCATTCCAGTGATGAACCACCAATCACATAGTAAATCAAGGTAATTATTAGTCTATTATTTTTATTTCATTTTATTTTTTTTTACAATAGGAATGATAATCTACCTCCAGCACAATTCCTAACACAACCTAAATCAACTCCTGGCCTTAGAGCTTTTATAAACCATGTTGGTGATGTTACTCTTGAAGCTACTGCTGGAGCTGGTAATATAGTTGGTGGTGGTGCTGATGATTATGCGGCTCGTGCTGCTGATTCTGCTGCTGGTGTTGATGGTGTTGATTATTACAATTATCATCGTGATGGTTCTTCTGATGGCTCTTCTAGTGAATAAGGAAATCCAACAGCTTCCCCTCTAATTTTAGTTAAAGTTTATAATAATATAAAAGATCAAAGTTAACCAAGGAATGACTTTTATGGAGAATAGAGAGACTATTGGTCGAATCATTCAAGTTTGTAATTTTTTTGTAAATTTGAATATTATTACTTTATTTACGAATAGTCAACATTATTATAAATAAGATTCAAATTTAAAAAATTAAATAACAACAAATGGTGCATGGATATTAATAACATTTATTTAATAATCCTCTCTTAACCACCAACCTAGGCATTTAGTATACCACGATCTTACATGTTCCAATGTTATAGTACTCAGTGCTTCTTCCAAACATTGCAGAATAGTCCTGTTGCCCTTGTTGGCTCTAATGTACTCTTTTAAGAAGCTAAAAAGGAGCTCAATTGGAGAGAGCTCACTTGAGTAGGTCGGGAGGAATAACAGCTGTATTCCACTCTCCTCGAGAAGAGTGTAGAGGCGATCGATAATGTTGTTGGCACAATGAATCTTCGCATTATCTATAATAAAGAATGTTCCTTCAGTAAGCAATCTATTGTCTAGTAGTGAAGTGATAAAGTTAACAAAAAGTTATCCTAACAAGTATACAGTATGGAACTTACCAACAAGTGCTTTGACAAACTCAAGAAAATCCGAAGAGGTATTTGTTGGAGAGTTGCTCTTTGTGATGCTGTGGTAGTAGTTGCCATTGTATGTGATCGCAAAGAAACCATTGAGATAGTCGCTCAGAGGGGCTCCAGTGACATAGGTTGGTGTAACACCTCGAGGATGGGCCATTCGGCGACACTTGAGGTCACCAGCATTGAACCCACATTCATCAGCAAATACTATATTGCTCCAACTTATATTGAACATTGCTTTAAGAAAGAGGCCATAATAATGAACGTTGGATGGAGTGTACTTCTGAATCTGTTGACATTGTTAGGTTAATTAATTAGTTATTGGCTACTCACTGCAGAGATTGATGATACCATACTTGAACAGTGTTTGGTACTTGCCAAGACCATTGCCACTTCTGGATCCTTCTTGTGATGTAATTCCTGTTTAATGAAGACTTGWAWATTGGTGGTAGATCCATCAACTGAACTTGATTAACTATTTGAGGAATCGCTACTGGTTTACCTGAGTCTAGAAGTATAAAGATAATATAATCGGCGATAATCACCTCAGTCTCTGATAAATTGCTATATCTCTTTCCGCCATGTTGGCCTAAATGCTTAGTTGGGTTATTATATAGATATCTATTATATCTAATTATATTTGGGGTATACAAGTGTCTGAAAGCTGCATCCTTTGTTGAGGTGTCAAAACTGTCCAACCCCGCAGCCAGTCGCTTTAATCTATCTGAGACCTTAAGTAGTATTTGTATGTTCATGTTCAAATAATGACTTAGAAAAAAAATTGTTTGTCGTTTATTCCATTTAACGTTACTGTTATCTTATTAGTTTCAAATAATATTTGATTAATATTTTTTATTGAAGTCCTTGATCACATGGAATTCAGCTTGCTGGATCGATCCATCCATCTCCCAAACTTGAAACTTTTTACTAACGGTTCATCATCAAACACCACCAATCCTCAATCCATCCATCTTCATTCTCTCTATCGAACTATCTATCAATCTTCCACGTATACTGTCGTATCAAACAAATATGTCACCAGGACAGGGAACGAATGAATATGGAAGCTGCCACATAGCAAAGATTACTTGCAATGCTCTCAAGAGGGAAGGAATAGAGTGTGTAGCGTAGGTATCTAATCTGGAATCTAAGATGATCTACAGATTGTTAATACATCTCCTCACTCTAGATGCACCAAGTCAAGCAAGAAGTGTCACCACAAGAGTCACAAAACACCCCAAGCCAAGGCCATGGACACTGTGGACCGACAAGCCACTATGTTAGGCCAGTTGGATAAGAAACGTCGTAGAGATTACTCTGAAGATGAGGAGTCTGATGTTGAACCACCAACCAAGTCCAACAAGCACGGCAAGTCTCCAAATGCTCAACCCAACCCAAGTGAGATTGCTCTCACCAAGGTTGCAGATGAGCTCACTGCTCAACTCAAGAAGTTGACCTCGTTGAACCAACAAAGCTCCAAAGAGATTAATCTTGCTCGCCAGAACCAGAGAGTCGGTAAGTAATCTCAATTGTCACCAGTCGACTGAATTTGACACTTATTGACTCTTGTTTCATACAATTCGATAGCGAACATCACCAATTTCGCTCATAGCATAAGGGCTTCACCTATATCGCCTGGAGTCAACCAGGCCTTAAGCAACATGCTCGATGTTGGAAATCTGGATGCCCAGATCAGGTCATCGATTGAAGACATGAGGAGGAGAATGGCCCAAGGCGAGTCACCAATCAACCCGCCCATCACCTCCACAACGTCCACCTCAAGCTCGTCCACGACGTCCACGACTTCCACCTCACCGATGTGCCTAACACCGAAGTCGATTCAAGAACTGTTGGAGAGTAGTACCGCCAACAACGATGACCTCAACCGGATGCTTACGTTGTCCAAACAGTTGCACTACATTGTCTCACCCATCCCCAATAATGTAGATGTCAATTTGATCCTGTATTCGCTCATCATTGATCGATCGAAGACCCAGAGGGACAAGAAGACCAACGAACTCTACATCGATGGTTACCGCGTTCAGGAGGAGCCAACGGGTCCACGTATCTCGGACTATCTATTGGAGTACAGGGAACCCAGAGCTCAAGACAGCCCCTACAGACCGATCAAAAGGGAGCCATCCAATCTAGTCGAAGATGCAATCAACTGCGACGAGGATGACGAAGTGGATGAGGAGGCCATCTACGTCAAGAGAGAGCAACAGCAACAGCAACAGCAACAGCAACAGCAACAGCAACAGCAACAGCAACAGCAACAGCAACAGCAACTGAAACGGTAGTTATGTTGCTCTATCCCAGGCCTGCCCTGGTGATCACAATAAACTTACAATCAACATATAAACAAATACATTAATTATATATTCATTGCTTTGTGGAATGTAAGTTTGCTATGGTCACACAACCCCACCTTATTGGTTGATCTATTAATAATCCATTTTCTTTTATTCTATCTTTTATGGACAATTATTAACGAGTTATTCCGGAAACATTTATATTATCACAAATCCGTCCAGAGTTGTAATATTGTATACAATATTACAAAAATTACAAACTTGAATGATTCGACCAATATCACATCCTTTCATTTTTGGATGACAAAGTTCCATTTTGAAGGACTGATTTATAATTGATAAGCAACTGATCTCAGTATTTGACTTTATTGATCTCAGTATTTGTTGGATCATCACAATAAATCAATCAATCAATCAATCAATCAATCAATCAATCAATCAATCAATCAATCAATCAATCACTCACTTCTGGACTGAAGTCTGCTTCATGAGGTAGGTGAGAAGGTCGATCTTGGTGATGATGGATACGATCTCGTCGCCGTCACCAGTTACAATGGCAGAGCTGTGTTGCTCAAAGAACTTTTGGAGTGATGCCAGTGAAGTCTTGGGAGTGATGGCTACAAATGCGTCATGCTTGTTGAACCGGAACATCACCTTGCTGACAGGGTCATTGGGTAGTGATCGTTTGGCAGCAGAGTGTGTGAGCAGATTTCCAAGAGTTACAATGCCAACCAACTTCTTGGACTCGGATAGCACGGGCAGTTGGTCGAAACCATGCTTCTGCAGCAGCTCAACGGCGGCGGCACAAGTGGTGTTGGCCGTCACGGTGATTGGCTTGGCCAAATGTAGGTCGCCAACCGTTGCGCCGTGGTACTTCTCCGCCTCGGTATCTTTGTACGATGGATAGACAGGGTCTACGAATCCATTGTCCATTATCCAATCATCGTTCAAATGTTTGGACATGTAGTTGCGAATCGAGTCTGGTAACAGCACGACACAGCGCTGGCCCTCGCCAAGTTCGGCTGCAGCCTCGAGAGCTGCCACCATCGCCGAGCCGGATGAACCACCGCAGAGCAGGCCTTCCTCCTTGATCAGGCGACGAGCCATGATGAACGATGGCTTGTCCTCCGACTTGTACCATTTGTCGACAAGGCTGCGATCCAGCACGATGGGGATGAAGTCGTAGCCAATGCCCTCAATCTTGTATGAGGTAATCTTGCCATTGAGTGACTCGGGCTGGGCGAGGATTGAGCCCACTGGGTCAACACCAACGATCTTTACATGAGGTAAGCGCTCCTTGATCTTGCGCGCGATACCACTGATCGTTCCACCTGTGCCGGCCGTGCAGACGACCATGTCGAGCTTACCGTCACACTGGCTGATGATCTCCTCGGCTGTGCCATCGTAATGTGCCAGAGGATTGGATGGGTTGGAGTACTGATCAAGGATGTGCGAGTTGGGTATCTCGGCATTGAGACGCTTGGCCACACCGATATGGGACTCTGGCGAGTCAAAGGCGGCCTCAGTTGGGGTACGTATGATGGTGGCGCCCAATGCCTTCAACACATCGACCTTCTCCTGAGACATTTTCTCTGGTAGCGTGATGATCATCTTGTAGCCCTTGATAGCAGCGGCTAATGCCAAACCAATACCTGTGTTTCCTGATGTTGGTTCAATCAAAGTATCGCCTGGTTTGATCCTTCCGCTCTTCTCAGCATCTACAACCATGCGATATCCAATACGATCCTTCACTGAGCCTCCTGCATTGAAGTATTCACACTTGGCCACTTGTTGATTGATTGGTTGAATGATTGACTCAATGTGTTAGAATGAATGAATGTCAAAGTAACAACATCTACAACATACATAGTTCACACTTCAAACCAGCAGTCTTTGATATATTGTTGATCCTAACCATCGGAGTGTTTCCAATCTGTTCCAGGATGTTGGGTAAAATCTTTGGCTTTGTCATTGTACTATCATGAAATATATATATAAAGATAATGAATGTCAATATTCGTTATCATTGTCATACATGTCATATTAATGACTTGGTAATACTATACTCTAGGGTTGAATGAGGACTCTTCTCTTTGGTACCCAATGTCCAAGTGCACTTTGATGGTATATTCATTGTTGATATATAGTTAGATTAGATAGAATTAATATTTATTTATTTACAACACAGAGAGATAGAGAATGATGAAGCAGTAGTAATAAGTTTAAACTTATTATTGAGGTTGGTTATTGATGGATCAATGTTGTGAAGATGGTTGTGGGCTGGTTGTTCTAGACTCAAGATGGGGGACTTCATCTAACCACACACCTTTTCACCTTCACATGATACTTCTTCAGCTTCATCTTCATAATTCAATCATTCAATTACTACTACTATATTACACAACACAAGTAATCTTTAGTTTAGTTTACTTCTCAATCCAACAATAACAAATGATAATGGTGAACTTTATGACTTGGGTAGTATGGTATGATCTTACCATACTAAGATAGAGATAGAAAGAAATGGGTGAGTTCATAGTATGTCTATGCTAATACATTCATTCATTCATTCATCGATATATCATATGATATAACAAGCTCTTGACATCATCCAAGTCAATCATACACACACAACCCCTGCGTATACAGATAATCACATACGGATACAGATACACACACACACACACACACACACACAAGATATATGTACATATACATACCACACTAGATGTACTAGTACATGTAATGACTGAGTTGTCATAACAAAGACATACGAGAGCATATTACTTTATCAAGACATAGTGTATCATGTCTTTAAACACACGATACTCGACATCCATACACACTCACACAATGAACTCTGGTGACATATCTCGATGGACATCCATTGAATGAACATCATCTTCATCATCATCGGGTTGATAATAGATATTAGATAATACATCCACCACACTTAGGACAACGACGAAGACAACGACGACAATTAGCACACATGTGCTTGTTGAGTGTGTTGGACGCTCAACTGGTTCTGACTTTAAACTAACCATTGTCATTGTTTACTTCAATCCACTCTACATTCTCATCTCAAACTCACTCATTCCTTCACATCTAACAACAGAGTCTATAACATTAACTTATTTATTATTACTATTACTTTATATTATTATTAATACTATATACCCTTAACTTCCACTCCTCCTCCTTCTCTCTTCTCATTATCAATTATAATATTGTAACAAAAGGTAAGCAGATGTCACAACATTCCAGTTTCCAATATCCAGTTTCCATGTGTGTGACAACACGGAAACACTTGGAAACATGGAAACACGGAAACACACGCATGGAAACATCCAAACTAACATTCTAACAAATATAATAATATTATATTAGGTTTAGGAAATGAAGACTAAATCTACAAGGTTGGTGATTGAACCTGTCAATCCGATGAGGGCACAGAATGTAAACACACCAGTGTTTGGTTATGATCCAGATAGAGTTAGGGTCGCCTCAGTTATGAACCAAGGTTCATCCTCCTCCTCTTCAGCACCAGTGGTGGCAATTGCTCCACCAGTGGGCGGCCAATCGATGGCCTCCGCCAACGCCTCGAACGTCACCTCAACACTCGTCCACACTCTTCCCAAGGCCACCGTCGAGAAGCCCATGGACCTGACCAAGGTGAACCCCATCTACGGAGGCATCAACAGCTACTCCAAGGAGCAGTACGCCAATGACTACCACATGCCAGAGGGCATGGAGGCGTACATGGGACCAAAGGAGCGTTTCACCACCACGCGCAAGGACCCATTGAAGCGTAAGGAGCAGCTGGCCAACAGCAAGTTCCTCAGGGAGGCCTTCTTGGTGGCCCCATCGTCCAAGGTCGGCCCACATCAGTTCCCCGCTCCCCTGCTCGGACCAGACGGACAGCCCCTCAACGCTGCCAGTATCAACGCGCCACTCAGTGTCCAGTTGAAGCGCCACTTCAACTCGATCGAGCGTCTGATGGAGACCAGAATCTTCCGTGAGAAGACCGACCAGTACACCAAGAAGATTATATACGACTTCCGTAACCTCGTGGCCGATCTGATCATGATGGTCGAGACCAGAGGCACAGACAAGCAGGTAATGGACATTGCCGAGAGTCTCATGCTGTTCAAGACCGACATGGCCGGCCAGGCCAACATTGGCTCGCTCGTGGGCTCATGGCAAAAGTCGCTCATGGGTTTGGCCTCAGGCAAGGGTGGCAAGGACATGTTCAGCACCACCAAGAACCTCGTTGGCGAGTTCCGCCAGTCCGAGTCCATCCTCAAGCTGTTCTCTGAGGGCTCCAAGTTTGTGCAGATGGTCGTGCTCGATCGCCACAACCCCGCCATCGAGCCACAGCGTGAGCTGGTCTTTGACCACTTCTACAAGGCCTTTGGCTTCCTCTCCACCAACCCCACGTGGAAGAACTTCATCTCGCAGGGTCGCAACTTCTCGACCGACGTCTATAAGACGCAGCGCTCAGAGATGGATGCCGCGCGTCCCCTCTTCAAGGCCATCTCCAAGAATGACAACCTGGCCAACGCCCAGTTCAACTTCAAGGCGCTCCTCCAGTCATTCATCCGTGACCGCTCCGTGGCCGACATTGACAAGTTCATCCAGTACGGCAATGAGTCGTGGTCCGAGATCCAGAACAACCAGGCATACCCCCTGTTCTACAAGGACCTCAGCGCTCTCTCCAACGAGATCGTCGAGAACCCCGCTCTGATGGACGACCCCGCCATGCGTCACGTCGTGCGCGACATGTACAACCGTGGTGTCAACATCCTCATGGAGCAGCGTAACAGTGCTTCCCTCCAGAAGTTTGTAGGAGAGGCTTCCAACTTCAAGGACGGCTTTGTCTCGGACGAGCTCAACACTCGTTTCATTCAGCATTTGAAGGCCTTCTCCAAGAACTTCATCTCGGCACCAGGTCGTCCAGTGGGCCCAGATATCTTCTCGCAGCTCAAGATGCTCGCCGTGCCCTTCTTGCTCGAGGAGTTCAGAACCATCACCATCCCAGGCCAGACTGGTCTGTCGCCAGATGGAAAGCTTGGCTACCGTCTCGGAAGCATCAACTTGTCGTCGGTCGAGCTGTTGCCCGAGAACATTCACGTTGAGATGTCACAGAAGATCAACGCCGACCCGTACACACTGTCTGTTGTCAACCCCGACACAGTGATCTGGGTCGAGGCCACTGCCATCCGCGCACGTGTCAACAAGCTGCCATGGGCCTTCGAGCAGTTTTCCTTCCCATACATCAAGGACTCTGGTATGGCCGACATTGAGATGGGTCGTCTCGGAGCAAGAGTTGGTGTGGAGCTCAGAATCCTCCCATTGAGCCAACAGACCATCACTGGTAGATTCGTCCAAGTCTTGGATTCATACTGCCACATTGATCATCTGAGTAAGTTCATTCATTCAATCAATCAACTCAATCATTCAATCACATCCAATCAGTATTCTAACAAACAATCAATCAATCAAACAATCAGGTCTCAGCCTTACCAACTGCAGACATAGACTCCTCTACAAGTTGTTCACAAGCTTGGCCAAGAGCAAGATTAAGGCTGGATTGGAGAAGGCCATCTCTGAGAAGTTGGCACAGATCATCATTGAGAATGACTTCAAGACAGTGGCCAAGTACAACGTGGCCAAGGAGAAGAGTGCTCTCAGATCCCAGCAGCTCCAGTCCAAGTGGGCTGCCTACAAGTCTGAAGCCGCCAAGAAGAAGGCATCCAAGGCCAAGAAGAACAGACAGTTCACCAACACTGGATTCTTCAAGTCACTCACTGGCAAGGATGAGGGTCTCCGTCGTGTCGTACAACAGGAGCAAGTCGCCCAGGCACCATTGATCCAAGAGACGACCATCATCAACGAGACGATCGTCCATCAGCCACCAGCCAACACTGTCATCCTAGAGAAGGTTCAGATGCCAACGCCCATCCACAGAGTGATTGAGACGACTCAGGTCCAGCAGCCAATCGTTCAGCAGATGTCCACCCCCATCCAGATGTCCACACCCATCCAGAGAGTGGTCCAGCAATCGCCATACGTGCAGCCAGTACAGATGTCCACACCCGTCCAGCGTGTCGTCGTCCAACAGCAGTCGCCATACATCAATCAGCAGCCACAATACATCCAGCATCAGGTCATCACGAACCAGCAGTCGCCACAGGTCACACAGACTACCAACATGTCGGTCGGTGAGAACACCGACAACTATGTGATGGCACACTCATCGAGCTCACCCTCAGTGATCTCTGGCCAGTCATCGTCCTACACGCCACAGATGCAATCGGCTCAAGTGAACGTGATCAAGATGGACTCCAACAAGGTAGAGTCACCATCAATTGAGGAGGGTACCTGGGCGCCAACCTGGGTCGGACCCGGATCGCTTTAAGCTGTCGTCGTCGTCCATCAATCCAAACAACTACCAACATATACCAATCACATCACCATCTAAAACTAACTCCAACAATAAAGGGGAAACCATATTTATTTATTTATAATTAATTTAATGCTACGTGATTATATAGATTAAAAGAATGAATGAACATTTAGAGATCATGGTCATTTTACACACGTTGGACGAACGAGAGTGCAAAGATAATTATGTCCATTCTACAAATGGTTGACTTTCGCCGATCAGAAAAAGAACCACAAACTCATCGCCATCAATCAATCTATCAATCGATCGATCGATCATTACACTAACTTTGTATCCTACTTCCAACTAAACTTATAGGCTCTCCAGCTGAACCGGAGCTTGGATTGGCTGCCATCAGGCCTCTAAGTGAGAAGATACACTCGAACATCTTTGAGGCTTTGAACGCCATTTTCATGGGTGTTGTCGACAACATCAAGGCCGATAACAAGGCTTTGAACAAGTCCTATGATAGCTTTGCCTACCAGTTGCTCCTTAGCGATATTTACTACTACCCATGCCGCTTGTTCATTGCCCCCTTGAGCACTCCCTCCCTGTGTACCTTGGACAACCTCTACACTGTCCAAACACCAGTGCACAATGTCCCCGACCACGGCAACACCTTCATCTATCGTATCGATGCCGCCAACTTCCGTCCAAGCCCCCATATTGAACAAAGTGTATTCAAGGGTACTCGTTTGCAGCCAGAGAAGGACCCATTGACCAAGTGCCATGGTACTCTCCTTTCAGTCAAGCCAGCTCTCCACATCAAGTTTGCCAAGAAGTGCTTTGTGCGTGTGCGTGTCTATGGACAATATGCCAAGTCCGACAGCTACAAGATGAATGTGCAGTATGAGAAGCCAAAGGAGGACGATATGATTCTAAGTGGAACGATGAGTCAACAGGAGCGTATTACTCCCAAGGGAGTAGTAGTTGACACCATCCTGGAGGTGTTGAACACAACATCCTTCATGCCACAGTTTATCGATAACGACTCTGTAGTGTGTGGTTACTTGTTGGAGAAGCAGTCCAATGTTTCGGAGATCTTCCTCACTCTCTCTATGTGTGTGTATAACTCAGGGGGCCCCCTATCTCCATTGCATCGGCTTCGCCTCTTCCATTCCTTTGCTCTATTACTCTTTTATATTCTTTTATATTTCTTTTGGGGAGTCTTGGGAGGATAATAATAATAATAATAATAATAAAGAGTATGTGTCGACGAACTTGGGGAGGATGGGGAGGAGAATGGGGAGGGAATAATAAAGTGTATCTGTCGCAACTTGGGGAGGGAAGGGAGGGGAATGGGGATAGGGAAATTGTGGAAAAAGAGTATGTGTATCGACATAGGGAGGTTGGGGAGTCAATGGTGGAAACTTTTTAATAATAGAAAGAAATTATTTGATTCTTAAATTTCTTCCACCATCGACTCCCTGGCTCCCTGTTTGGACACTGTTACTCTTTATGGATAATTTGATCCTCCCTTTGACTCCCTGAGAGGATGAGGTGAGTGCTTTGGAGAGTTGGTGGATATATTGTCAATGGATATATGCGAGAGTTGCTTCCACAAGCAATATATTTTTTTTTTGTTATAAAGCTTAGCTAGTCCGATCAGGAGCAGTAAGGTGATTTATTGGCTCCCTTCTTGTGGGTGCGTGGTGTAAACTAAGAATGTAGGTTATGGGACGCGAGGGGTACTCATGGTACGTCAGTTGCGGGGGCTGGTGGCCTCCTCTTGGTTCGTCGGCTGCAGAGGCGGATGGCCTCCTCTTGGTTTGTCGGTGGTGGTCGCTTGGTGGCGTCCTTCTTGAGTCTTTGGTTGTGTCCTTAGAGGTACTCTGCTAGGTGGCTGGGGAGTGGTAGTTGAGGCTGTCCTCTGAGCTGCCAGTTCTTCCTGCCGTTCCTTAGCGTTGTCGCGATGGCCTCGCGCGTTTCAGGGCAGTTCTTGTCCACCGCTCTGTTGTGCTGGGTGATCCACAAGCAATATAGACAGGTGAGCAATCCACTTTTTTCGTCTTCCGAAGTGAACCCATAATGAATCATTGATGATGCATGTTAGTCAACCGTGAAATTTCAACACATTCTTGGATATGTTGTTGTACGTACAACTACAACAACTACAACAACGACAACAACATCAACAACAATCCACAGAGAGAGAAAGAGAGAAGGAGAGAGCAGCGATAGTATGGTATTCCTATGCGACATTAGGAAGGAGATATCAGAGTATTGTCTCGATTGTATGAAGTACGTATGCTTAGAGTACACTTCATGTTGCCTGTATTGTGGACAGCCTTGGAAGTACTATCATCCGTATCGTGGCCTCAGTGACTGTGAGATCTACCAGAACTGTGTGCACTGTGGCTTCTTGGACAATGCACCTTGCTATGGGGACCGCAAACCAGAGCATATATGCGATAGCGATCTCTGTATAATGAACAAAGGAAAGAATCCTGAGTTTGTACAGAGGTGCCTTAAAGCTTGGAGTTTGTTCGAAGAACAGTATGCTGAGCACAAGAGACTACACAATGTGGCTAGACAACAGAAGCTCATCAAGGAGGACACTGAACAAGCTGAATCATTCATGGCTCAAACATCGCTGACTGCTGTCCTTCTCAAGCAGACTCCAACGCAAGTGTTGAAACTGCTTCTAGCTCAAATCAACAAAGTGGCTGCATCCAATCGCACATATAACTTTGATGCGATCCAAAGGTACATCAACATGAATACATGAGCTCTCAAGCGTTGAATAAAAACAACAACAACAGATAAAGGCATTCGCACAACTCATCTTTGGGACAGGGCTATCATCAATATCAATAACGTCCATTGGTGATTGATGGTGAGTGAGTTGGTTGGGGGTGAAGTTCAATATTAATGTTGGATCATCCACCCAAGACAAGAGGACCTGTCAATCATCTTCCCCATCATTTTCATAGTCTCCTACACTCAACTAAAACAGATAACAACAACCATTCATCAATATGTCGACAAAGAAGATACATATACACAACACAGGCCCTTTCAAGACAGTTGCCAACACAGATAGCGAATTCTTGGAGATTCTTCTGACATACCAAGGTCGAAAGAAACTAGAGCTCATTGGCAACACAGTGAAGGGAAGGATGACGTCAGCGCAACAAGCATTTGTGATCGCAGAGCTTACACATTTGATACAAACATGGAACAGAGCTATTCCAGTTGCTAATAGAGGGATGGTCATCATATCAGAATGTTGGTATCCAACATGTTACAATCGATATCAACATTACTAACCACCCAAACAGTCAGATTGCGCACTCCAGATGGCATTCGTGGTCCTGATGTTGGATATGCACCTCACGCGATGATCCAACCATTACTGCCATTGCCAACATTTCCAACTATCCCAGCCCCCTTCATAGTTGAGGTGGTGACCTTCTCGAGGAAAGTAGCTAAAGCTGTACAGAAGTTCAGAGATGCGTGGATTCCCAACGGCTGCACCTATGGATTGATCTTCGATTGCGAGTCTAGAACATACCAAGAGTATACCAACAATGCATGGACACACCCCATTGCATGGCAGGGCATCATCAACATACCATCTTGCCCTGGATTGACGTTCAATCTTCAACATTTGCGACAGGATTACCTTGCGATGTTCAATCATAATGTTGAACTCCACCATTAGTGCGACAACTCATAAACTGTACATAAATATTGTTTCTCTCCAACAGATATAAGAAATGCCATCAATTAAACATCACTATCAATCAGACCCGGAGTTCAGAGAACGCCACAAGGCCTACATCAAAGAAAAGGTCAAGTGTGAGTGTGGCTTTGAGGTGGGTCGCACCAATCTCAATCGACACAAGCAGGGCTACATTCACAAGCAGTTGATGGCCAACAAATAATTCTAAATGATATAAGTTTATTATCTCTAGTAAAGTTATAACATGCCAGCAACCTACAGCACAACAAGACTCAACAACCTCGACTGTCAAATGAGACATTACGCCGGAGCCTACACTCGAGAGACGATCAGAAGGATTGCCCAACAGCTCAGCGATGATCTCAGGTTCAGAGGCTCTGCTGCTCGGCTCGAGGTTGCGATCGAGTATGCCAATCGTCAATATCGCTCGGGCAAGTTCACAAAGGCAGGTGATGCGATCAGTCTGTTCAACCCMGACGAGTATGATGGCGTCCCTCTCGACGACCTCACGATCAAGGGGTTCTACATATTTATCATTCATCCTAACCTCAGAGCAGGCGGCTGTGACGGCAAACACAATGACTGCTTCTATGACTGTCTCAAAGCCTCTTATCCAGAGAAGGTGACCAAGCACTTTAGCAAGCCATGGATCTTCAAGCGATTCTTCAAGTTGGAGCGCGATGCCAAGGTGCCTCTCAAGCTCAGGTCAGCGATCGAGGACAAGCTCAAGATGCGCATCAATGTCAAAGGTGATTACTGCAAGACATCAACCAAGAACTACGTCAGAGTCGTCAATCTCAAACTAACCAAGGAGCACTACACTCTAGACAAGGAGGGAGCCTTTGAGCCCAAGGGCATCATCCTCAAGCGATACAACGATGACAGAATACTGCCAGTAGTGGCATACAAGTGGGACGATGACAACGATCAGGTTCAGCTCTACGATGGCACGTCTCACATCACGATGAGCAAGGCGGCACTCATCGAGGAGCTCAAGAAACAAAAGTTCGACGGCAAGTGTCGATACATCAAGGTGGAGGTAGCAAGAAGAGGAGCAAGAAGCCAATCAAGACGCTGGAGGAGACATGGCTGGACTTCATCAAGGACGCCGACGCACTCAAAGAAGGTACTGACGGCGTCATCGACTTGTACTTTACAGGATCAAATATTAACAAGGCCGCCCTCAACCTATTCAGCAAGTACAACAAGCATGTCATTCCAGATATCATCGAACAAGAGGAAGCCAAGTGGATAGCCAAGGCATCGAATGGACCATTGAGGTTCGCCGACACATACACTGGCCCTCTCTACAAGTACGACGTCTCTGGCATGTATGCCGCCATCATGAAGAGCAGCAGCTTCTCAGTGCCGATCAAGAAAGGCGAGTTCCATCAACTGACTGACGTGGAGCTCAGTGCCAAGCCAGGCATCCCCTTTGGCATCTACAGGGCGATCATCAAAGGTGAGCACAGAGCATTCAGACCCAGCGAGGACAACTATTATACTCACTACGACCTCACCTTTGCGCAGGAGCTAGGACTCACGTTCAACCTGATCAACGACAACAAGCACAATGCCTTGCTCTATCCTACTGGCAGAGTCAATGGAAACATGCTGTTCGGCAAGTTCATCGATCAGGTGCTCGACTGGAAGAAAGCAGGTGTGCCACGCGCCAAGGAGCTCTATCAACGTCTCTGGGGCGCTCTCTCCAAATACAACAAGAGCAAAGAGTATGTCAACATCAAGGCAGAGAGGAATGTTGTCGTCGACAAGGAGCTCGGCATCACTGACGTTTACTTCAAGGCCAGTCTCCCAGAGAATCACTCGGTCGACGCTATGAACATCACGCACAACGGCAACGTCATGGTCAAGTCAATCAACAACCTCGACACGTTCGACACGCCATTCGCTCGCATCATGCCATTCATCATATCTCGTGGTCGCAAGATGATTGGAACGATAATAAAGGACGACATTGACTGTATCAAGCGCGTGCACACCGATGGATTCGTCTCGACCAAGCCATGGACTGTCAAGACTGGCAAGAAGTCATTGGATTACCCCAAGTTGGGCAAGGAGTGTGGCGACCTGCGCTACGAGGGCTACTGCCCCGACGCCATTGTCAAGAATATGGCCAAGGTCGAGGGAACGTTCATTGTTTAAATAATGTTGGATAGGATATAATGGAGGAGTTCAGCAGGTTCTTGGACAAGAATAAAGTAGAGTCACCATCAGAGGCAGCATGGAACATCATGGAGGATCCAGTGTTGAAGTCCTTATTTTACAGGACCTATGAGGAGCTTGTTGACTGGAAAAAGATGTACTATTCTGCTGCTAATGAGAGGGATGTCCTGAAATCGAGGATGGAGTGCAGACAAGATAATAACTACTACAGTATGATCAAACCTCTCAGATCAGGGCCGGTGATGTTTGTGACGAGACCTTGGTTGCAAATATAATGCGACCTATTTGATATAATGGAGGACAGCACTGAATTGTTTATCAATAGCCAGGGAGAGTTAACCAACAAGATAAATTCAATCACTGATAGTATTCTAAAGCAGCGTGAACAGGATATCAAAGCAGTAATGTCTAAATACAATGATTCAGACAGTGACAACCTGTCAGTCGATGATCCCGACGACCATTCTGACTATGACGATGATGAAGATACTGACCCTTCAATGTTCCGGTATCTTGACAAAAAAGACTCACCCAGGGCATTGAGACAATTGAAGAGCTGGTATAAGTGTGCCCAGGAAGATATTCATCGGCAACGAGTACAGTTGGTAAAGGAGAAAGATCAATACAAGGATAAACTGAACAATATGATTGCCGAGCTGTTCGCCATATACAAGAAATATGGCCCAGGATCAACATTATAATCTCTACTTCCATCATTATGGACGTAAAGAATACCATCGACAAGAGTGGCAACAACACCAACAAGTCATACATGCAACAATACTACGAGGAGTACAAAGAGGAGATCAAGGCCTACAATACTGAGAGGATACCATGCGATGCTTGTGGCAAGTGTATTTCCCGACATATGATGAGGCAACACTGGAGGAGGATGCATCAATAACTACAAGTGTTTATAWAWATCGGCGAGTAAGCTAATGGCTGGAGAGGTTACTCTCCTTGCCTCCAGCCATGATCCAGATCCATGGACCTATAAATACAAGCAATGGCACTCCACAGCCTAGTTGGAGGTGTTGGGAGTGCGAGGATCTTGCATGAAGGTTTCATACAAGTTGTACTGTCCATCATCGTCTTCCAATGTAGGCACGTCCTCCTTCTTTGCTGTTGGTTGTGGTCTCAATGGTAGGACAAGATCATAGTTGGCGAGGCTGGCCATCGATGGAGATGGTGACGGTTGCTCAGTGAAGCGGCTGGCCTGTGCAGCGGTGACAGATAGAGTAGGTTTGGCCGGAGAGACAAGGCGAAGATGGTTGTCCATGGCCATTGACAGTACGGATGATGGAGACGGCGGCATCTCGGTGAAGCGGGTAGATTGTTGATGCGCCTGCATAGGAGGAGAATAGACGGACTGGATCCGTTGGCGCATGTGCTTCTGAGTCTGACGCTGCATGATAGCCTCTTCTTTCTCAATTGCTATCTTGGCAGCATCTCGTAAGATTCTCTTCTCCACTCGGGCTGCAGACTTCAATCTCTTGACCTCTTCCCTCTCTGCCGCATTGGCTTCGTTGATAATATCACGTTCCCTCTTGCGAGTGTCTTTCGTATCTTGACAGATCTGACACAGTTGGTCTCCTGGCTTGTTGACATCCCTCTTGCAGGCTGGGCGAGAACACTTAAGATCAAAGTGCTCCTCGCATAGAGGCTGACCACGCATGGCATAGGACTTGCACTTGGGACGTGAGCATCGGAACTCAGAAGTATCTAAAGTGGGAAGATAAGTACAAGGTAACTATAAAGCTATAATTACATCATACTTCCATACCGTTTGTAGAGACAGTCATTGTTGTAGAATGGCTTGATCCTACGCTCCAAGAGGGGTATTTATTTGGTCATAAACATATGAGAGCGATCTCTCAAAGCTGATTGACTGTTCTAAATTAGGCAGTGGGATCTGTATCTTTAAGGTGAACACTCGGTGAACAGTTGGTGAACAGTTGGTGAACAGTTGGTGAACACACACACACACACATACACACACACACACTCTCTCTCTCTGTCTCTCACACTTACTCATAGCTGTAGTAGTCTACAATTATAAGTAACCGAATTTCTTGTATCTCTGTTCCATCGCTCGCGCTCGCTTCTCTTCCCTTCTCACATCACTGTAGCCAGTCGCCTCTTTGAATGGTACTCCTCGATAACGATTCAACAAGAAGCGCATGGCATGATACCCGCACGTGTCGCTGTTGGTCGCCTGGTCAATCACCCTGTTGACTTTAACTTGAGATACACGTCTGGGTCGATCTCTCTCACCAACTGCTTCATCCTCCTCATAAAGTCAGTGCTCGGGTCATCACCAAACGAGTCATAATACTCAATCGACTTGTCGCCTTTGGCATCGATGTTGCACGCCACCCAATGACTGCCCGGCTGACTGCTCTTGTCGAGGTTCATGATGAATGACATGCGCTGCTTGGGCTTGAGCTCATCCAGTTGATCACTCGCAATGACTCCATCGAACCCATCCTTGTGGAACGGCTGCATCAACTGCTCGATCTCGTAGTCGTACAACCCACCGCCCTCCTCTCGCTTGCCGTTGCCCTTCTTGATCTGGTGCGCCTCGTTAAGAATAGCATCCACCAACATGTCCTTGTTCTTATGATTCTTGAGCTCCTTCTTTAATAGTGTCGGAAGGTCCTTCCAAGTGATCGCATTGTTCCAATAGCGTGTGACGAGATCTGTGACTTGAGGGGCGAATGACTCTAGAACGTGTCGCATCGATGCCATGTCCTGTACTCGCTTGGCGTGTATCGCATCATCTTTGAGCTGTCTCTGAAGATCCTGCTTCTCCTTTGGGTCCATTGCTGCGGGCCTCAACTCTTTGCCCAGATGATAGTAGAGCGTTATTGGGTTTGTCATGGTCGGGTCCCCGTCAATGTACTTCTGAATGATTGGTTCGATCTTGGGAGTTAGAGCTGCTGGTACGTCTCGCAATGCCTTGACACTAGATGCTGGGATAGAGAGTCTCTTGTTAGTCGTTGTTGTCGTAGTAGTTGATGTCGTGGATGTTGTCGGAGGATTGGTTGGTGTCGTTGTGGTTGTTGATGTTGTCGAAGTGGCTGGAGGATGAGGAGGAGAGCTGTAAGGAGACCTCTCCTCTGGCTCTGGCTCTGGCTCTGTCTTTACCTTTGGGACTGGCTTGGACATGATAGATGGCACGGGCTTCTTAAGCAACGAGGGCTTGGGCTGTTTGGGAGCAGCAGCAGCAGCCATGACCTCCACTGCTTTCATGTGCTCGACAGTCTTCTGCTTCTCTCTCTCTGCTCGCTCCATCGCTTGCTCCAATCGTTGTTCATTGACGGCTTGGTCCAGCATCCTCTTGACATCGCCATCGTCCATTTGGTGCCTGATGCGATCAATCTCTCCATCTATGTGTTCAAGCTTGTCTGTGTCGCGTGGCTCCTGCTTGCTGATTGACCTTCTCTCTGACAACAGCTTGTTGATTTTTGACATCGCGCTGTTCTGTTCGCGCTCACGGTGATCTGCTAGCTTCTTCATCTCCAGTTCGTATCTCTTCTGCTCCACTTGCGCTTCAATCTCGAGCTTCTCCATGTCCTGTTGGAATCGCTTGTTGAGTGATTGCTTGATGTCCATGATGTCAGAGTGAGCCTGTTGTAGTAGTCCATGAGTTGAGGTCTGTCGCTCGAGCAGTCTGTCAAGGTTGTTGCCCAGATCATAACCATCTCATGGGCAGCCGCTGGTATTGCTGCGTCGATTAATAGTTGATCAGGTGCTGGTAGTGCTGGTAGTGCTGGTGCTGGTAGTGCATGTACAGCAGCGTCCTTGATGATCGCATCGACCTTTGCTCTAGTCTGTTGTTCCAAGTCCCTGGCATTCTTCATCAGCGCTTCCCTGTAGTTGGCGTCCTGTATTGATCTAATGTATGATCCTTCTGTTGGAGTGATGTGAGATTGGGCAGTTGACGGTGTCAGTATGGGTTTGGCGTTGGATGCCTCTGCCATCAATTTCTTGATCAACTCCAAGTCTGACTTGCGAGAGTTGATGTACACCTTTCTCTTCTTATTTCTGATGTACCTACCCTTCTTGTCGCGTCGAAGGCGCGCTGGTCTGATCTTCTTTATCTTGACTCTGAGCTTCTTGCCCTTGGTATCATTGATCTCTAAATGGACGTCATGTCTAACCATTATACATATATATGATCGTTAGAATTTAGTCAGAAGTCGGTGTTTGAGTAGATCAGATTTGAGGGGAGGACGTACTTGTTGTTGTTGTTGTTGTTGTTGTTGTGCGATCGGAATAGTTGGGACGGCAGCAGTTTGAGCGATGATTGGCTCTGGTGCTACCTCTTTGGCCTTTTGCATACTATTGGACAGCGTACTGAACTGGGCCATCAGCTCGTCCAACTTCTTGTCCAACGCATCCGTCTTGTTGACTCTGGGCTTGTACTCTCGAGTAGGCTTGGCCTTGGGCTTTTCTGCCTCTATCACTATTGGTTTGGCATCTTCGATTGGTAGTTGATGATCATCATCATCATCATCGTAGATAACCAAATCTGATTGTTGTTGTTGTTGTTCTTTCAATGCTCTCTGTTCCTCTCTCCACTTTGCCAAGTTGGCTGCTGATCCTGCGTATCCTTTCTTTATCGGCATCGTTATATTTTTTAGTTGTAATTATAATTAAATCAATGAGTCTGATTACCCACAAGAGGATCTTTTATGTCAATTCACTGAACAGGCTATCGGGCACGATCTCTAATTTTAGATACAACATTGAGTGTTACGAACACGATGAGTTCGATCGCGTGGCTGTGTTGCAGGCTTGCATCCCCAAGTCATTTTACACTGTGCCCAGGAATAGAAACACTTTCATACTTCGAGTGGGTGATCAAGAGGTTGTGATAACAATACCTGTTGGCAACTACTCAAGGCTATCACTTCAAGACACAATACAGGCACAACTAAATCAACAATCACCCAACCAGTTGACGTACTCAATCACATGGCCAACATCCAAGCAACCCAATACAGGTAAATATACATTCATTTGTTCAAGTGGCAAGATGCAAGTATCATTCATATTCAATGATGCTGACCTGTTTCATCATCTAGGTTTCAATCAAGATAGCATCAACTACTTTGAAGATGGTCAGTTAACAAGCACCAATGTGATCGACTTGCAGATTGAGAACATCCTTTACATTCATTCAGACCTGTGCAGCAATGGATCAGATGATGTGCTGCAAGAGGTATGTACTGCGGGAGTTCCTGACTTTGCGTATGTCAATTGGACTAACCATAATCTAGAGGCCTACTCGAAGCAGCTAGTGTCCAAGACAAAGAAGACGTTCTACATTTATTTAACAGACAAGGATGGAGTTGAGATCTTTCTCAATGGCGTCGACCTGAACTTGACGATCATATTGTACAAGCACAACGATGTGTTTCAGCTGATACGAGGATATATTGAACTCTTGCTTGTGAAGGACCATGAGAGCATTCAAGTGGGCGACGAAATTTGATCAGAGCAAAGCAAGCCCGAAATATAATCGATAATATATCGTTACAATATAATATAGATGGAGAACGTCGTTTCAAAGGAACTAGATTACACGCCACTGCTCGTCGCAGAACCAGAGTATGAATACACTCGACTGTTCCCGCAGTCGGGCACAACMTCAACAACAGTTTACTCAGGTGGCAATGATACAGTATTCGAGATACCACCGTCCAAGGCCTACAACTTGTCACGATCATACTTTAGGTTCATATTCACTCTCCCTGCTGTGGCAAACAAGCAGGCAATGATGTTTTCTGACTTTTGTCCATTCTTCAGACAGATCCAGGTGTACACAAGAGGTGGCTTGGATCTCATGAATCATACCAACTTCCATCTCCATGCCAAGATGGTGACGATGAGGAATAAGCCATTGGTCGAGACAGAGAACACATTCGCCTCTTATAGAATGACTGATGATCAATACATGATTCCATGTCTTTCGTCTAAACTACCAAGCTCATACGCTGCTGGAATGGTTTACAACCCCAACTACACTGGCCAGGAAGCTGCTGTCCCTTACATTGAACCAAGGTATTTACTAGCAGCGGCACAAGGAGAGACAAATATTGTTGTGACCATCCCCTTCAATGAACTCTATGAATCTATTCTCTGCGTAGACAAGGACATCATGTTGAACGAGACATTACTTGTACGATTCGTGTGGTCAGAACTCGCTAACATTGCTTTCGCAGCAGATCCAGCAGCAGCACTTCCTGAGAACTCACCAGCAATCCAGCCACCTCCATCTCCAGATCCAACAACCAACCCCGTTGCACTACCGGCACCAGCTGCGTTCAATGTCACAAATATGGCAATCTATCTGGCAGTGGAGAAGAACCTCGCGATTGTCAATGAGCTCCAGACCAAGATATTCAGCCCAGAGGGATTCTCGTTGATGATACCATACTCGTATTCTTACCAAGCAGCACTCACTGGACAGAATCAATCGGTCACTCTAAGAGTCAATAGACAGAACGGTATGACATTGGAGAGAATCTATCACAGTGTGTTCCTAACACAAACAGCAATAAATACTGCCATTTACAACAGTAACTTTAGAAGCACTCTATTGGATCACTTTTACACAAATATTAACAACAATAGGTTGATGCAATATGATTATTATTTAAATCTTAATGATGATTACATGGCATTGCGATGGATTCTTAAAGACTCATCGCTATTGACACCGAGAATTCATAATAGGAACTGGTGTTGGATTGAGGAGTTTGGTGATGGCACCTCAAACTTTAACAAGGACAATGCAATTACTGGCATTGATCTCAATCTAGGTGAACAGAAATGGGATTTCGTTGGATTCCTCAGTGGTGCCGCCAACTTGACTCATCAATCAACTGTGGTTTGCAAGCGCAAGTTGGTCATCACTCCAAATGGACTGGTGCTGGTGTAAATATATTAATTAATATCCATTAACTAATATAAATGGGCTACTCTAAATCAAAATGTGTAAAGACAATATTTGTTAATGCTGTATTCCAAGGATCAGGAGGAGAGGATCCACCTCCCAATGGAAATATAATAAATGTTCCCATCAACATTGATTTCGTTCCTGATGCCATTATTCTCAAGTCATTCTCATCATATTACAACGCCGAGGGTAATGACAAGATTATCCAAGTTAGGACCAATCTCATTCCAGACAATATTTTATTCTGCTCTACTGAACAGGTTTGTTTCCTTTGTCCTAATTATATTTATTTAAACAAGAGTGAGAGGTGGATCCAGGGCAATTATCAATTTGAATGTGTTGATCAGAATGGACTGAGGTTAAGAGCGGATGTGACTGCTACCTTTGCGATTGAGTTTGTAAAATATTGATAGGGAGTAATATAGATGCTCAAGCTACAAAAAATAAATGACGTAGAAGTGGAGCCAATCAAACTTCCGAAACAACCAAAAAATATTCAAGGGCACAAACTCTTTAATCAAGTCAACTCCAACATACTCATATGCGCGCCCAAGAACAGCGGTAAGACTGTGACAATCAAAAAGATAATAGATGAGTGCGCTGGCAAGAACACCAAGGTGATAATATTTTGCGCCACAGTAAACAATGACCTAAGTTGGGTCGCAATCCAAGAAGACATGACCAAGCGCCGTATTGAATTTAAGACTTTTACAAGTATCAAGGATGGCAAGGTGAATTTATTGGATGAGTTTATTGCATCATTACAACAACCTGCTGCTCCAGTAGTTGCACAAGCTGATCAAAACAAATTGCCATTGAGAGACCCTTCTCTGCCAATGATTAAGACCTACCCATTGATAGGGCCCTATTCATTACCGCCCCCGCCATCACAACCTCCAAAGCCCAAGTTTGTAGCTCCAGAGTATACATATGATGGACAGGGAACTGAAGCTACCAAGACCCTCGTTCGTGTTGGTTTGGAGACAGTAATTCAGAGGTCCAAGGAGTTGGCCAACCTCTGTATTTAACCCAAGTACACCAAATTAGTTCTCGACTTCTATTTCAGTGTAATGTTCATCATGGTGTCAGTCTATAGACTCATTGATGCAATATGGTATCAATTGGATATTGATCCTTTATACATCACTGGTAAGTACATTATTGATTAATCTTTCAACTTTTAATTCATTAATTCTAACAATGTATTTTATTCATTACTTCTAGGTGCAGTTGCCAACAATCTGCTTGGGTTGCCTGCCATCAGACCTCTACGTGAGGAGATGCACTCTAACATCTTTGAGTCTTTGAATGCCATGACGAGGGGTGCAATTGACAACATCAAAGAAGATAACACTATATTTAACGTCTTATACAGTAGTAGTAGTGCTCGTTTAGTTTATACCCTTAACGATTTGTTCTACTATGCTAGCTCCCAGTTTTTGCCCCATTGGCCCGTCCCTGGATCAAGGACAACATGTCCACCGTCCAGACACCTGTTCACAATGTCCCCGACCATGGCAACTCCTTCATCTACCGCATTGATGGTGCCAACTTCCGTCCCAACCCTACAATCGAACAAGGTGTATTCAAAGGTACCCGATTAATTCCAGAGAAGGACTCCTTGACCAACTGCCATGGAACAATACTCTCATCCAAACCAGCTCTCAATATCAAGTTTGCCAAGAAGTGCTGTGTGCGAGTGCGAGTCTACCGTCAATATTCCAAGTCGGACAACTACAAGCTTAGAGTTCAATATGAGAAGCCAAATGAGGACCATGGAATCTTGGGTCTGATCAGTATTGCTCCAAAAGGTGAAGTAGTTGATACCATCCAGGAGGTGTTGAATTCAACAACCTTCACGCCAGAATTTTACGATTCTGACTCTGTTGTCTCTGGTTTCACCACCTTGAAGAAGCTGACCAATGTGACCGAGATCTACCTCACTCTCTCTATTGAGAAGGAACCTTCGGTTAATCTGACCATTGGCAACATTAACATTGGACTCCCACTGACTGGTGCCCCTACTGAGCCTGAGATCAAGGGAGTGATCAAGTTTGTGGAGTTGATCATTACCAAGAACTAAACTAAACATCTGGAGTGAGCGAGCAAGAGTGGATTTATTAATAAATACGTTTGGAATCTGATTGAATGATTGATTGGTTGTTTGGATTGATTAGTCAGGAGTAATGCTGGCCAGTGTCTATTATTGGTTGGATGATTGAATTAACTGTTCGTTGTAGTATCGGTCGTCTTCCAAAGAATATATAATACATGGGATTATATGGTAACAACTGTTAAATGATTGAATAATTGATTGATTGATATAGTTTAGCCTCGAGGCGATAACTTTGGAGAGTGTCGACCAAATGATTGCTCCTCGATCATGAAGATCAAACGACCAACTCTCTCAATCTTGATAAGGATGGGTGCCAGTTGTTCCTTTGTGTTGCATCGAGCGATCTGATCTGGAAGCTCTGCCAGTTTGGAGTTGACCAATGCTGCATCGCGTTTCAAAAGCATCGCCTTGTTGTTGCCATTGATGTTGTTGCTGTTGTTGATATCAACACTGTTGTTATTGTTGGTACCGCTCACCAACAACTCCTTGATAATGAGTGGCAATAACTGCTCCTCCACCTGCGACACTGTTCCAGGTGCCGAGATCATTGTTGATGTCGTGACGGACATGGTGGCGGTGAAGTATCTGATGGTCATTTGCAGTGTCTCCTTGATGTTGGCTGTGGACTCGGCCAGTGACTCGTCGGCCATGTTGACAATGCGATTGGTGATCTGCTCGGCAACGTCCGACAACAACTCGCTAATGTCGTTGAGTTGGGCAAAGGACGCGATGTCCATAAAGTCGATAAACTTGTTCATCTCCTTCTCGATCGACAGCGTCAATGCGTACAGATCCTGCAGCACGGGGGTGAACGAGCTGATGGCGTTGGGGCTCAGGCAGTGCAGCTGGAGGTTGCTGAAGATCTGTGTTTGTGGCTTGATGGGCGCGACCTTCTCGGACGGGCCACCGGGGCTCGTTGTGAGATAGCTCGAGGCCTTTTGCCACTCGTTGAACGAGAGCTGCTTGGTCGTCTGATTGAGTATATCCACAACGCTCGAGACAAACTGGATGTCCAGTGTCTCAGACACACGCTTCACCACCTGGTTCAATATGGCGAGAATCTGTTTGGTCGACTGCTGAGCGCCAGTCTTGAGCGTGTTGATCAGGGTGATGGCACTGGAGTCCTTCTTGTTGGTCTGCGCCAGACGATTGCCATGTGTGAGTGATCTCGACTTCCTTCGCGACACCTTCTCAGTCATCTTCTTCTCCTTGGCCTCCTTCTCGCTTTGTAGGTCGTCCTCAAAGTCGACGAACTTTGTCTTGTGAGTGATGGGTGCCCAGCTCTCGCCACGATATAGACACAAGAATGAAGGCTTCTCCAACATATCATGTAGCTCATTCCTCTTGGTCGATGTCAGGAATTGGAACACGTACTTCAACATCTCCGTCCTGTTCTTTCCAAAGTCTGTGGCGTACTGAGAGAACAATCGAGGCAAGCTTATCTGTGAAGGGAGAGTGGTGGATGGTAAAGGGTAAGTGTGTGTCCATGTGATTGATTKGTTCGACGTAACACGTACCTCTTTCTTCTTGGTGCATATATCTATCTTTGAGCTGCAGAACTCCTCGCCACACTTGCGGAGGTCGTCGTTGAGGGTCTCGGGCGAGAAGATGCGCAGACAGGGCAGGGTAACATTGACGTTGCACAGGGCAAAGTGATAGCGCGGGTCTAGTTGGAGGACAAACTGTCGCTTGGTGTCACCGCCACGCAACTGCCTGGTGCGCGTGATTGAGTTCTTGGGATTGGCACGCAACACTCCGTTCAGGATATCGTGTAACGAGTAGATGTTTCCACCAATGTTATACTTGTGGATGGAGAATGCCCTCCTGCGACTCTCACTGATGGGTGGGCCGAGCAGGAAGTGCATGTGGATGATCATCAGATTGAATGCGTTCAAGAAGAACGACGCCATGTACGGACTCGAAGTGGACTCGAATGTGATTGTCTGCAATTCCTGTACATCGCGCTCAAACGAAGCAAACTCTGGCGTCTGCTGGACCAACGCCCAGTTGAGTGGCTGTAGGTTGAGCTGCATACTCTGTTGTTCGCTCAACTTGTTCTGCTTGCATATCGCCACGATCTTGCGTAACAGATGGAGAATGACCACGCTCGCTGGTCTTGGGTTCTCTCTCCAATCGAACGCAACATTCATAATCTGATTGATTGAGCGAATGAGTGAGTGAGTGATCAGTGATTGAGTGAGTGATTGAATGGATACATACCACCTCTTCCTCCCTCTGCGAGGGGAAGTTGGAGATCACATTGAGGGTCGGGGTGATGACGGTCTGCTTGGCGATCTTGAGGTTCTTGGAGAGTGTGGTCCACTTGGATGTCTCTTTGCCGTCAGAGCCGGAGCTTGATCGCGACTTCTTGACCTCTGACGACTTGGGCGGCGAGCCCGATGGTGAGGATGAGTTGGAGCGGTTCTTGAGCTGTGCCAACAGTGAGTGTGACATGGTTCCTGCACGCTTTGACGCGTCGATCGCCTCTTGGAGACGCTCAGGCTTTACCAGATCGGGACATCCCAGTGACTCTAGGTTCTGCATGACACGCTCAAGGTTCTTGTCGAGGAACTGCTGGATGTAGGTGATGCCCTCGGTCAGCGCATCCTCCGTGACGATCATACCATCGATTGTTTGGTCCTCGCTTGGACGTGAAGCCAGTCGCACAAAGAAGTCGTCCAAGATGGGTGAGTTGGACACGATGAAGTCGTTCACCGGCTCCATGTAGTCCTGGTTGAATGTCACCTGGTTGGACAGGTTCTGCAGACACTTGGCAACGTGGACTAGTGCGCGTCTCTCGGTGATACCGACACGGCCCGGAGAGATGATGCCAGAGTTCTCTGGCGACACACACGCTGGACAAAACAGACGCAGGAAGATGAAGCCACCAACGGCCGAGCGCCAGTGGTTGGGGAACTTGCGGCTGACGATCTTCTTGAAGTAATAGCAGATCTCGATAATGGACTTGGGGCACTGGTCGATCGACTGGTAGATGCGGTCAAAGAACTTCTGCGACATCATCTTGAGGTTCTCAATGTTGGCCGCGACGTCCTCGTCGGGCTGCAGCTTGGTCGGGTCGACCTCGAACGACAGCGTAGAGGCGCACAGCTCAGTGACCAGGGGCGTCAGCGTCTTGGCCAGGTAGTGATGCGCGGTCTTGTGACCATAGGCCACGACCATCTTCATGGCGACACTGTTGGAGCGAAACAGCGTGCCTGGGTCGTGGCACGCGTTCACCTCCTTCTTGATGAAGGTCTTGAGCAGATGCAGAAGCTTGTGATGCGAATGGAATATGTCCACGAGTGAGCGAGCCATCATCTGCGCCGAGGAGATGTCGATTGCGTCGCAGCAGGCGTGAACCAGTTGAAGCTTGGATGTGACGAGCATGTCGAGCAGGTCGCGGTGCAGAGACTTTAGACGCACCAGCATGGGCAAGCTGCTATTGAGCTCGTAGGAGATCTGCAGCTGCACCTCGGGTTCGTCCGATGTGAATGACAGCTCGTCGTTGCTGTCTGAGGAGGGCGACAGATTGTCGCTCGATGTCGAAGATGATGGGCCTGATGTGGTCGCGTCGCTGCTGAAGCTGAGACGATACCATCGGAGACTGGACTCAATGCGCAGCGCCTCCTCTGCCTCCATGGAGCTGTGGAGCGATGGCGAGGATATCGAGTGGTAGCCTGGTGTGCCAGGGCCGCCGTGTCCGCCATTGAAGAAGAAGTTGGGTGAGCCGGAAAGCGCGCGCTCGCTCGGCGAGGGTGGCGCACTGGAGCCGGCATGTGACAGCGACGATGAAGAGGAGGGAATGGCGATGTGTGGCGCCGATTGGTGAAGAGGTGTTGTGTGGATGGAGCCCGTAGAGGCGCCCAGCTGGATGGGCAGGGGCGATGACGAGCCCACATACATGGGCATCGTGCCCACCTGTGGGGAGTGTCTCGGCGACGACGTTGGCGATGCATTCGACGCCAGTGAGCTGTATGATGGGTTGCGGGGGAGGAATGGTAGTGTTGAGTATTGAAGTTGAACGTTGACCTTGGCTATTATGGGGGAGGAAGTGGGAGTAGGAGTGTTGTGGCTGGATGAGGAGGAGGATGAGGATGAGGATGATGATGACTCGTCTCTATGTGACTTCTTCTTGAATGACAGATCAATGTTGGCAGAGACGTGTGGCACTTGGAAGACTAGGGTGTTCTTCTGAAGGCCGTGCTCGGACTTTGGTCGTCGAAGCACCACATCGATTGGATGGTAGTCGACGCCTTCGATGTTGGCTACACATAGAACTGCGCCATCCGTACCATTCAACACCTTTGTATTCCTAACTGCATTGATCTTTACAAACAACAATGATGGTCCGACTTCGCCGCCCATCATTCTGAAGCTACCTGTCTGTCTTGTCTTGTCTAGTCTTGACTTGTCTTGACTCGCCTTGTTGACTTGACTTTCCTTGACTCGCTCTTTGTTGTTACAATGAACTAATATTACACAATGATTGATTGATTGATTGATTGAGTTGATTGAGTCGGTTGATTGATTGATTGATTATAACTTGGATGAATGAGTAAGGTCAAAGAATGAATGTGCGAGGGTATGTCGGTGAGGGTATGTGTGTGTGTGAGGGTATGTGTGTGCGAGGGTATGTGTGTGCGAGGGTATGTGTCTGCAAGGGTATGAATTAATTTGGGCTCGTCAATAATGATCTGATCAGACGATAATAAGTTTAAGTAATTTGATTGTTTGATAAATAATAATTATAAAGTAAGTAAGTATGTATACAAATAATAATAATAATAATAATAATGTATCGATGTGATTGACAATGATATATCGAGTGAGAAGCGTGAATGTCCATTGTTGTTGTCCTGCCTCCCTACACTGTCTGATGGGCTTTGAGTTGGGCTTTGCATTGGGTCAGTGTAGATAGCGATCGTGCGCACACACCCTTTTCCTTTACCAAACATTCTCACTCTCTCATACACACATTACATTTTGGAGGCCAATCCATAGTGTCGGTATGGTTTTTGGCCCTTACCCAAGGTGCCAATACGCCCATCCAGCAACACAATTCGCAAAACACACTGATTCCCTCTTTCAACCCCATCACACCTTGAAAAATCTGATCACATAAATCGATTACTAATTTATAAATAATAATAGTTATTATTAACTTGTAATGAAGAGAGGAAACACAAAAGTGGGTGATTGTTTGATGGACCTGGTTATGGGTTCCAACTCAAGAGCTCACCTATCATCATTCTCTTATCTCTCAAACATAAATATAAATAATAATGAACGAATGAATTAATGAATGAATGAATGATTGGAAAGACACATAGAGTCTGTCATAGCCGATGGCATCGGCGTCCTTTTGTAAGCTCTATGTGGCTCATTTGCAAAGCCCCACGAACGGGGCCAAGGTCTTTATTATAAGTGTGTGGTGTTTGTTGTGTGTCAGAGTGTGTGTGCTAGAGTTACCACCACGCCTGTCCAATCAAAAAGGTAACCAAAATTGAAGTTGATAATCATTAATTTAATTAAGTGTGTTAAGGTTAGGCTTACCTGACTTGATGTCTGTCTGTCTGTCTGTTAGTCTTTCTGTCTTTGTCTTTGTCATTGTCTTCATAATACAACTAAGATTAGATTAGATACACAAGTAATAGTTCGTAGAAATAGTAGTAATCAATCATGGATAACAAAGGTATATATATATATATCTCTCATCAACTTCAAGTTGAACATTCATTCACAATCAAACTTACTAACTAACTTACTTACTTACTTACTTACTCACTTACTTACTTACTCTGAATGAATGATTGCATGAATGAACGAATATGAATGAATGATTGAATGATTGAATGAATGAATGAATGGAGTTGTAGTAGGATATGTTAATGCAACTGATGGAACTAGGGTGGTTCATGATGACCCTTGGTTAGAGCATTATGCTCCAACGTTGCGTCGTCGTCATAGTCACATTCATTATATGCTCAAACAGTTTGAGGAGAAGGAAGGTGGTCTACTCAAGTTTGCACAGGGATACACTTACTTTGGATTCAACGTTCAATCAGATGGAGTAATGTACCGCGAGTGGCTCCCTGCCGCCCATGCAGTATTCCTTGTTGGAGACTTTAGTAAGTTACATACATTGATTGAATGATCGATTGAATGAATCATTGACTCATACGATCAATCAAATATAGACCAATGGAATAAGATATCACATCCATTGACACGCGATGAATATGGAAGATGGAGTATATTCTTACCAAATGATGAGAAGGGACAGTGCCCAATACCTCATCAATCAAAGATCAAGATATATGTGCAGTTGGAGAATGGTAGTTGGGACTTTAGGATCCCAGCGTGGATCAATCGAGTCGAGCAGACAAAGGAGAACCCGGTGTTTGACGGCGTCTTCTGGAATCCCAAGCAGAAGTACGTGTGGAAGCACAAGTCGCCAAAGCCGCCCGTCAGCCTGAGGATCTACGAGGCGCACGTCGGCATGTCGTCTGAGCATCCCGAGATCTCCACCTACAACAACTTTAGAAAGTACGTACTGCCACAGATCAAGGAGCTCGGCTACAACTGTGTGCAGCTGATGGCCATCATGGAGCACGCGTACTACGCCTCGTTCGGCTACCAGGTGACCAACTTCTTTGCCATCTCCAGCCGCTTTGGCACGCCCGAGGAGCTCATGGAGCTGATTGACGAGGCACACAGCATGGGCCTGCTCGTGTTCCTGGACGTTGTGCACAGCCATGCCTCCAAGAACGTGCTGGACGGCCTCAACCAGATGGACGGCTCTGACCACCACTACTTCCACGGCGGTGGCCGCGGCAACCACGACGTCTGGGACAGTCGGCTCTTCAACTACAGCCACTGGGAAGTGATGCGTTTCCTGCTATCCAACCTGCGCTTCTACATCGACATATATCAGTTTGACGGCTTCAGATTCGACGGCGTCACCTCCATGATCTACTACCATCACGGCCTGGCACCAGCCTGCTCCTACGACGACTACTTTGGACCTGCCGTCGACGAGGATGGCCTTTACTACCTGGCTCTGGCCAACGTCCTGTGCAGCAAGCTCAGCCCCAACATCGTCACGATCGCAGAGGAGGTCACTGGCATGGCGTGTCTGTGTCGCCCGGTGGCCGAGGGTGGCTACGGCTTTGACTTTAGATTGGGCATGGGCATACCCGACAAGTGGATCGAACTCGTCAAGACCAAGAAAGACGAGGAGTGGGATATGAGCACGATCACACACATGCTTTCCAATCGTCGTCATCTCGAGCGCAACATCAGCTATGCAGAGTCGCACGATCAGTCGCTGGTCGGTGATAAGACACTGGCCTTCTGGCTAATGGACAAGGAGATGTACGACCACATGAGCGTCTTGCAGCCAATCACACCGATAATCTCACGCGGCATGGCCCTGCACAAGATGATACGTCTGATCACCTCGTCACTGGGCGGCGACGGCTATCTCAACTTCATGGGCAACGAGTTTGGACATCCAGAGTGGGTGGACTTCCCACGTGCGGGCAACAACAACAGCATGCACCATGCACGTCGCCGCTGGGACCTGGCACGCGACCCCAACCTCCGATACCACCACCTGCGCAACTTTGACATTGCCATGAACAAGTTGGAGGAGGAGTTCCACTGGCTGTCATCGGACCAGGCCTACATCTCTTGCAAGCACGAGGGCGACAAGGTTGTGGTGTACGAGAGAGCTGGACTGTTGTTTATATTCAACTTCCATGTGGAGAAGAGCTTCTCGGACTATCGCATTGGAAGTCACAACCATGGCAAGTACGTCAACTGCTTGGACTCTGATCGCGAGGAGTTTGGTGGCTTCAAACGCATTGGCCACGGTCCACACTTCACCCAAGAGGTCGCTTGGCATGGCAGGAAGCATTCGCTCCAAGTCTACATCCCATCAAGAACATGTTTGGTCCTAAAGTTGGAGCACTAATCTTTTAATCTATCGATCGATCATTGTCCAACATTCCCTCCCATCCTCCCGATCAACAATCAATCACCTTATGCCGCCACTGTCCAATGTCAACGTTGTGGCGTCATCAGGCAATAACCAACTACTTATAACTTTATATTAATACAACAGGATGACCCTCAAGAAGGACCTCCTTTATTTACATTGTCGGGCTTGTTGTTGAATAGTCGCAGTCTAGTCTTCCAGCTGCGTCTTTGTCATTGTTTCATTCTTTTGAGAACTTGCCTGCTGATCCTTGGCGGCGGTAATGGGTTCAGCATGTTCCTGATCCGGTAGATTCTCTCTCAGCATGTCTATCTTGTGACCAATGGTCAACGCTTGATTGTAGATGTTCCTCAGACACTCCTTGCGACTGAGGAAACCCTTGAGGAAGCGCAGTCCGCCATCTTTGGTGCGGATCTCTACACAGGTGCCCTTGCCCGGCAGGAACTTGATCACTTTGACCTTGTTCAGTGACACAATGTCCCTGATGGGCAGTGTCCATATTGGATTCTCTTTGGCAAATGCATTGGCCAAAGCACTTGGATCGAAACAGATGTGGAATGGACAGATGTGTAGAGTGCCCGATTGGAACGAGTCATTGGCGCAAGAGTATGCAATGATTGAGAACTCGCCCTCTGGCAGATTGAACCTTGTCCTAAACTCCTTATCCTGTTCGGCAACCTGTGACATTGATCTTATTGTATGTACTGCCGCCATCTGATCAGTCTGTGTCCTCTGCAACTTTTCATTTGTCTGTTGTAACAATGCCTTGTATCTTTCATTTGCCAATTCCAACTATAGTTTGTTGGGTATATTGATTGATTATTAGTGACCATCATTATCATTATCATGATCAATAGTATAGTTCATCATACCCTTGTAACTGATGCCTGTAATCTTGCATTATCATCCTTCAATGTAAGATTCTCATCATAGTAGAACTTCCTGTCCTGATTCAATAAGTCTATATCTGTTGATTTAAAAAGTGATGTCTTTGTTAGTTAACTAACATGATTGATTGATTGATTGATTGATTGATTGATTGAATATGAGCATGTAACATACCATTCTTTAACTTCTGTATCTCACTAATATTTGATTGTACACTCTCTTTGAGCATCAAATGTTCATTGATTGAATCTCTCTTTAAAGCAGCTGCAGACATATTTATTATTATTACCTTGTTTCTATTATTATGTATAACACCAAGATTAATCAATCAATCAATCAATCAACAATTCAATTCAATTCCCTATGACACTACAATATCATTCGTTGGATATGAGGTGGGGGAAACAACTGATGGTGAGGCTTCACCCACACACTTGAGGAGGTCCAAAATTAGCCTGGGTCTCAATCAATGATTACCATGACCAGTGCAGTGTTTGATGATCAGATAGATATTATCTTCTTCTTTTATTGGTTGAATATGAACGAATAGTGATGATGATTAAGGGTGTTGTAGTTGTTGCTGTTGTTGATCAATCATATCAAATCACATCACATCATTCCAGGGTTATGATAGGTGAATATGATTGTCTTGATCTCCAATGGATTCAATGTTACTTTACCATCTTGACCTACACGGATGGTATCTGGTGACAATGGATTTGGAACTGTGTATGCCTTCTTATCTTGATTCTGGACTCTAATCGATTCATGTGAACAATTGAATGTACTCATACATTCATTCTTCTTTGTGTTGATATCAATGTATCCAGCTATTTTGTGTTGTATGTGTCATTGTTAGGGTCATTCATTCATTCATCAATCCATTCATCCCAATCAATATTACATACCACCATATCCATGAACGAATGTCTCTTGATATGATGATATTGGTGAGAAACGATTGAATAGTCTTGAGATGTCAATGACAACAGGTGATCCAGTCTCCTTAAGATTCTCCAAACGAACCAAATAATCATTCTCATTCAATCTCTCCAATGACATGATGTTGACACTTCCAAGGTCAGCGGCTAAAGTTGGAAATGATTGAATGATTGAATGAGTGATCAATCAAAGAATGAACGAATGAGTGAATGTACTATAACATACTTAATCCAGCATAGTTAAAGTTGAACTCTGAGAGTGCTTGGACTGGTGGAAGTTGGAAGTATGGGTTGGGACTATTGAACTGTCTGGATTCTTTGATGGACTTTTCTTGGACATTCTGGTATGTTTCAATCTTACAACGATGCTTAACAGTGATTGTTGTATGATCAATTGGATATACATCCAATCCGCATCCATCATCACTATTAGGACTCCTATGTAACATCATATCCATCGTTCCAACCCTTGGTGATGTAACACCCTTGCTTCTATCTCCATAACACTTTGTGATTGATTGAGTGAGTGAGTGGGATTGAGTTAGTGAATGAGTGTGTGAGTGGATGGGATGGTTCCAGTTGGTATGGAATACTTACAATGAATGTCTCGGATGTGGAGTCATCCTTGAGGTAGGACATGTGGACTGATGGGAAGACGGATAGTTCGACCGAGCTCCTTGGACTTTGGATTGGACGCTTCTTGGTCTCATAGCCATCATCAGTGTATAGTATTGAACTATTGATCGATGTTTCAAATCGTACCATGTTCTCAATACCATCCACACCAGTGATAGTGTACTCAATATCGATGTACTGATCAATACTAGCATATCCTGTTGTATACATTGTGATCATCACCTCATTGCCATCCTTGTATCCAACTCTGACCATCTTTCTAAGATTGCCCAATGTGACCTCATACTTTGCCGGGTCACTGATCTGAATAAGCTGATCAGTAGTCATAATATATGCACCTGTTCTCCATCCCATTGTGTACTCGATCAACTACATTGTTGTGTGAGGGTTAGGGCAAGGGTTTGGTTAAGGGGTTAGGGCAATGGTTGGGTTACCTTTTGGTTGAGCGCGATGGACTGGCCATGGATATCAATGGACTCAAGCAAGTTGGAGGCTCCAGGGCCACTGGAGAAATGAAGTGTGAATAGGTTGTTGGTGAGGGTGTGTAGCTGAGATCCAGATGGTCTTAAGAGTGGACCAGGGTTGTTTGTCAATCCAAAGTGATATGTATGGTATCCAAACACAGGGATACTTGGCAAGAATGATATATCATATAATGCACCATCGGGTAAATCTGCAACCTTTACACAGTCAATGGTCAATTGCTTTGAGATATAGAATACTGCCAAGGGACATGTGTCGCCACCTTTGATCGATACAACACGGATGGTGTGTACCTCAAGTCTTGGCGAGGATTGGGAATTGAGTATGATGACTGGTGTGAATGTGTATGGGTCTACAACTACAACTGGTCCATCAGTCACAGGAACATGAGTAAATTGTTGAATTGACTTCTTGAGTGATCCAATCGACAAACTCATGGCATCGGCCATTCTCGAATGATAATCCACATTAACAGGTGATCTACTTGTTCCAGTGATGGCATCATGATGCATCATGAATGAGCAGTTCTAAACATTGATGGATGAATTAGTATGATTGATTGGTATGGTTCCAGTGGTGTTGGGTACCTTTTGAGCTCTGTCCAAGGGCTCCTTGTCAATGAAGTGGGTGGGCTGGAGGGCATGGAATATCTTGGCCATCCTCAATAGGTTGTCAGCATGACGACTCATCTCCTTCTGCTCAGGTCTGTTGGAGTAGTATCCTACCCATGATGCACCCCTGTTCTCATAATAAGGCATCAAATCATATGTTTGATACAAATGCTTGATTGGTGTGCGAGTCTGTTGATACCATTGTCTGACATCCCTGAAGTACTCTCCAAGAGTGCTATACTTCACAGTATATCCATACTGAGAGTAATGTTGATTAAAGTAATCTGAATGATTGATTGAGTGTGGGTAAGCGAGTGCGATTGATTGATTGATTGGAATGATTCCAACTTACCAATCAATTTATCCATGGAATTGAATGCATTGATGGCATTACGGAATCCAAAGTCAGTGCCAATGGTCAGGAGTACATGGGGCGAACGGTAGTGATCACGCTTCATCTCGGACATCCATACGGTATCATGTATCATAGTTTCCAAACTTGAATATGCACTATTGATATCAACACCAAATTGTTGATAATAAGATTGATCAAGTACATGTGCAAACAACTCAGAGTTGATACCATCTGAACCACGCCAGATGAATTCCATATCCTTGCTTGCGCCAAGATCATCACGAATACGTTCATCAATCCTGTGCAATATAATATTCTCATAATTGGCATAAGAGAACAATGCTGGAGTCTTGGCAGCGTGTCCAAATGGATCTATTTGCCATGCACTTGATTGAGTGATGGGTGAAGCATTGGGGATGGCGAGGGTCAGGAATAGTTCCACCACAGGAGGACTGAACTGTATACATACTTCTTTGCAATGTACTGCTCTCCAAAGTGTTGAATAATGAATTTGTTGCCCTCTTGGAGGTTGTTGATGAAGGCTTCGGCAGAGGTACATGCCTCATCACTCATAACATATCCTCCATTGACAAATTCAATCCTTCCTTCCTTGACCAATCTGGTAAAGATATTCTTTGTATCATCTGATTGATCCTGCCACCAAAGATCCAAGAAACCACTATATTGGATAGAGTTAGTTCCAACTTCCATTATCCATTATCCAACCTTTATCCAACTTACATGTCTGACCAAGAGAACTTTCGAAGTGTACCATTGTTAACTGCTTGTGTAACAGTGTAAAGGATATCTGATACATCATATCGATAATAATCCTGGAATGTAAATGAATGAATGAATGAGTATTGGTATTGGTGTATGTGTGTTTATCTAAAATATATCTACTTACATTGATTGTTCTTAACCATCCAGCATCACAATGTGAATGACACATCAAGTGAACTGTGAGTGGTTTGATTGGAAATGGTACTGTCTGACTCTCAGCTGACATTGCTGTCACGGCCAACAACAGGACCAAGAATATCCCAACCACAATTTTATTCATTGTGTAATGTAGCTGGATTATTTGATTGATTGATTGACTGGCTGACGTGCTAGATTGAATAATAATAATAATGGATTGAACTATAATAATATTTATAACTTAGATCCAAACATTCTCCAAATGAATGGAGTTCAATGAGTTGGATAGGGTATGGGTAAAGGTAGGAGCAAATTGAAGTGGATGTATGTATGTAATTGTAATGGACAATGATTGAGATGAGATCACTCGTTGTTGGGCTTGTGTGATGTGATATGAGTGGGAGAAAGAGTAGTGGAGGCACGGTATCCATGTGACCTGGCAAACAAACAAACACATAATAATCATGCTCATTCGCTCCTCGCAGATGGTGTGTGTTTGAGTGAGTGTATGTGTCCACGTGTGGTAAGGGCTGATCAGAGATCAAGCCACTCTAGTTGTAGCCCACCAAGTATATGTAATGCATTGGTAACAATCACTATTACTTTAACACTCATACTTCTTCGTTCATATGATCAATAATAACATTATAAGTATATGATTATGATCAACAACATCTTCATCTTTGAGTTGATTATGCTTGCTACATGTAAGAAGAATATAAAGATGGTTATTATTTGTACTGATTGTTGGTTGGTATTGTCCTTTTAGATGAAGAACATATGGTGGATTGAATGATTGTGTGATGGAACGAACTGGGTGATGGTTCGGGTTCGGGAACTTGGGTCGTCTCATTCCAAAAGTATCTTGGATAAATGAATAAAATGGTGTTCATGCAGGACTCAGACTTCAACAACCCGATCAATCACATTCATTTCAAACAACGATCTCATTAAACATATATATATATATATATATAACTTACGTACAGATATAAATAATAGATAATAATGGCCAAGCAAACATTGCACGTCACCTCCCCAGATAACTTCCACGCCACCGTCGCTCAGGCTTTGGCCACCAACGACCCGGTGTTTGTCACCTTCATCTCCAACGTCGGAGCTGACGGACAACTCTGGTGCCCAGACTGCAGAACCTGTATGATCCTATTGGGTTGACGATCGATCAATCGATCAAACACATATAACTAACATGAACATCCATCATCAATCATCTTCTAGCTGAGCCAATCTTTGCTAAAGTGTTCGACAGCTTGCCAAACTACTGTTTGGTTCAGTGCTCTATCCCAAGAGACGGGTAAGCATACATCAAGCTTGCTTCATGAGTCATTGTAATCTTCACTTACACTTACATATATCAATCATAACAGATACAAGGGTAACCCAGACCACCCATACCGTCTTGACAAGCAGATTCTGCTCAAGTCTATCCCATCTTTGGTCGCTTGGAAGAATGTATGTTCAATCAATCAACACTCAATCAACATTCAATGAATGAATAATGAATGAATGAATGGATGAACTAACGTATCAATAACTTTGATCAAACAACAACAATAGGACTCCCAGGTGATGCTCCGTCCAGAGGATGACTGCACTGTTTTGGAGAAGGTTTCTGCCTTTGTCAATGCCAACCTTTAAACACTCAATCAATAATACACACTATATTGTGGAACATCAATCTGGTTGAATGATTTAGCCACGAGACAAAAGGTATACCTTTGTTTGATTGTGTCGTCTTGTCTCATGAATCGATGGATGAACCAGGGCTCAAGATTGTATAAGCTTCACAGGATTGTGCTTGTTGTCAACGATAATGTGAGGTTGGTGTGTGGGTTGAAGTTGTGAACTAAGATGACTTGTGTTTAGTGTTTCCAAAAATGGACAAGAGACAAGAAGTATGGTTATTATTAATAATAGTTAGAATTAGGTCTTCGGGGTTGTTGGTGAGACTTGACTTGAAGAAGAGGGAGAGGGTCTGTGTTTGTGTGTGTGTATGGTCGTTTATTTGTGTGTATGTGTATCATTGAATGAATGAATGTGATGTCAATGAGGCTAGAGACGAACGAACTAATTATCCTTCTCAAGTCCAATTTACAACAACAAAGTAATAATAATATAATAATATTTTTGTGTACATATATATATTTATTTATATATTTTAATAGGTCCTGTTGAATCAATCAATCCATCGACTATTCATACATATTCATTTATTCATTCAGGACCAATTGAGAGGACAGAATAGTAGTATGATATCAATAAATAGTAATCCTTCATCTCCAAAGAATCCCCATCTGTCCAAACATGGAGGTAACAATCACAACAACGACAATGGCGGCGGAAGCAGCAGCAGCAGTAGCAGTATAAACACATCAGGGACCCACAACAACAGTCATGGAAACAGTAGTTCCAGTACTACCACTACTACTACTGCTTCTAGCAGTTGTGGAAAGAATACATCATTTCCACAAATATCACAGTTCAAAGCCACCAAGATGATCTTGAACTCGGCCAAACATAAATTACATAGTCCACATTCAATATCTTCAAATCATCCAACAGTTAAACAACATCAACAACAGCAACAACATAATGATCAAGATGTTGACAAGACCAATATCACATCGTTCACTGGCATCATGTACAAGATGCTGGTGTTTATCATCTCACTCCTGCCCGGTCTGCTCATTGAGAAGTTTCTCATGCTCTTTGCCTATGTACAGATCGAGCTGATCAGGGCCAAGGGCAGAACTATCGACCCGGAGCGTACATACTCCAAGCTGAAGAAGAAGAGGAAGTTAAAGAAGAAGAACAAGTCCATCAAGCTATCCCATAGTGCTTCGTCAAGCCGGCCAAGCTCACCACTACTCACTGCAATCAAGGAGGATCCAAACAACGGCTTCCCATCGCCAAGTGATATGCCAGTGCTCCGCATCGTCCCTCCACAGACAGATGGTGCTACTCCTACCACATCCACATCGAATCACCATCCCTCGGACATTGAGCATCACAAGTCGCCAGACTCCCATCTATCGATCCCTTCATCAACATCACATAGTCACGGACATACCAAGTCGCTTAGCACCGATGGTACACACCAAATAGACAATCCTGAGTTGTACCTTAGACAACAACATGCTGCGGCATGGGGCGCCCCAAACGTTCCATTGACAGCGAGCACCAACAGTGCTCAGTCCCAGCCGGCCACCCCCGCCCCAAGCATGCGCATGCGCTCCGACTCAATCTGCACCTCTCAACCATCAAGATCAATCTCTGAGATCAGACGAGTGAACAGTGAAGCAACACTCTATCAGACTTATGAGGACCAGATGTTGTTTGAGGCCAATCAACAGAGTCGCAAGGAGTTTGAGGACTTCCTTCGTTCGGTCAAGGACATCAAGGACGTGCGCAACTGGTTGCAGAACTTCAGCAGTAGCGAGTCCAAGAAGATTGCCATCGTCAAGATCAGCCGACGTATCCTTGACACACAGTTTGGCGTAGACCAAGCAGCCGCAGCACTCTGCTTCATGTACAAGTTTGGCCTGTACCCAGTTGTCATTCATGGAGGTCTCAACGACATTGCCCGTCTACCCGTGTCTCAGGTGATCCAAGAGAGGCGCTCCAGGTCAGCCATATTGAAGGGTGAGTAAACATCACATTCATTCATTCCATGTTCACCATACTAACAATCAATCAATCAAATAAACAAACAGAGGCAATCAAGAAGAATGGAGTCAGCTGTACAATGCTCACACCAGATATATGTGAGATTGAGCCGAGCATTCAAGACATATCGGACACGTTGTCGGAGGAGGAGTTGGAGTTTGGAAAGGAGGACACGTTGCCAAACGCAGGATTGGCCATGAAGATTGATAGCTTTGACTACAACATCCTCACTCAAGCGTTGGAGAAGGGCAAGATACCAATCTGGGACTCAGTTGCCGAGACTACCGATGGTGTAGAGATACCCATCAACTCGGATGTCACCACCTTTGAGTTGGCCAAGCGTCTCCAACCATTCAAGATCATCTTTGCCACCAATGACGGTGGCATCCTGGACGTCGACCACAAGGCCATCCCAGTGGTCTACCTCAACGAAGATTTCAAACGTCTTATGCAATCGGAGCACACCACGGACCGTCGTCGTGTACTACTGAAACAGATGAAGCGCATAGTCGACCATCTCCCTTCGTCCACATCAGTTATCGTCACATCCATCGAGTCCATCACTCATCAAATCCTATTCCCACGTCTGGCCAATGGAACAGTGATCAAGAGACGCCAGGACAACAAAGTTGAACACTTTGACAGAGATGTAAGTTCATTAATCAATCACGCATTTGGATGGTTATTAATACTAATTGTTATTTAATAATTATTACTTAGACTTTGGACAATGTGGACAAGGCCAAGCTGAAAAAGTTGATCGAGGATAGCTTTGGCAGACCATTATCCCCAGACTACTTTGAGTATCTCAAGGATAACCTATTTAGACTGTACCTATGTGTCTCATCCGAGGGTGAATACAATGGTATGTACTTACTCACTCAATCTTCCAAGTTGATACGAATGGGACTAACACTCAATCAATGCAATGTATAACAGGTTGTGCAGTTGTAACATTCAAGAAACCAGACTACATACCTTATTTGTGCAAGTTCTGTGTACAAAAGTCAGCTCAAGGACTTGGACTTGGTGATCTGATATGGAGAATATTACAGAGAGATATTGACAAGTTGTATTGGAGGTCAAGGAACAACAATCCACTCAACTCTTGGTATTTCCAGAGATGCCAAGGATCGTTCCGAGCCGACGACCACTTCACCGTGTTCTGGTACGGCGATGACAAATTTGAGGATGGCAGCATGATGATAGAGGAGGCGCTACGCAAGCCTATCACTGTGTTGCCCGCCATCGCATCGTCCTAAGGTTGCAGCTCCGTTCCCTCACTCCTCCAACCTACCAACCAAACTGTCCAGACTCTACTATCTTGTCCAGACGTGGCAGGTCTGCCAATCTATCCAATCAATCAATCCTATCATGATCGATCCAGTCCATTCCTATCTTATCTTGTCTGTCCCGTCGTGTATCCAGGGACATCATGTCCCAGAGCGCAGTGGTCCACCACCACAGATCGTCAGCTCGTCGTGGGATACAGGACATGTGTGTGTGAGGCACGGTGGCCCCCATGACCATTCAACAGGTATGGTAAAGTAGCGCAATAATAAATGCACTCACTCTCTGTCAGACACGACGGTGGCGGCGATAACTTACAAATCAATCCATCGTCTTCCCAAACAAACGAGGTCCTAATTGTAGACCCCCACCTGATTAACACACTAAACGACCACACCCACGCCCGCACGTGGTTCTCAAATCATGCAAACAAACACGGACGTTCAATCCGGAAAGGGAATGATGGTCACGGAGCTCAAACCCAGGCCCACCCAAATGCAGCCATCTGGAACCCCCTCCGTAAACCACATGGCATTGTCAACTTCGTTTAATTGAACGAGTCATTCATTCAGTCAGGACGTGATTCAAGTCTGCTCGGTTCAAGAAATCAAAGGTACCGAGGCCCGAAGCGCCGAATTGCCCCCCGAAAAATCAAACCAATCACTTACCGAGGTGTTTGGACTCACCCCCCAGTGTGTGACCACTTTGATTGCCCACACGATCGTCGATCACACATACAAACGTCCACAAAGGGTACCCTATCTTTTTACCTTTGTAACCAAACTTCTAATTGGATATGGGAGCGTCAAGGGTATGGACATGTCTTCCTAATATGCCCCAGGGTCAGAGACACCTATTTACGAATCTGAATCACAATGGGTGTGGGGGTGAGTAAGTGAGTGTAGTCCTAAGTATCTTGATTTGTATAAAATTATAAAATTTTATGTAGGTATGGATTGTTATTATTATAATTGTTGTTGTTGAAGCAACATGTGAGGGTGCCCTATTATGTGGAGGTCCTCCAGTCAGCACCTGGACGAGATTGGGCTATGCCCAACAACAACAACATGACCACCACTACCACTACTACTACTGCCTATCTATCATCATCGGAACCTATAAAAACTACTTTGGAAATGGTCATTGGCGGAAGGTCATCTTCAACAACAACAACAATACACTTTAAAATCATTTAATCCTTCATTCGCTTATTCCATCAATCATTCCTTATCCAACTCTCTAAATACAACAACTATTACTACAACTACTCTACTCCAAGTTCCAACTTCCCATTTTTTTATTCTTATTCAATCCAAACGTTACTTTGGTAAGTTATAACTATACTATTAATATTATTATATTATGTGTATATTCTATTCTGTGTCTGTTTATACATTGGTGTTTGTATTGTGTCTGTCCCTGTGTCTGTGTTGGGTGAGAGGTGGAAGTGGAAGTGCAAATCAGTCAACACTCCTGGTCGATCGAATGCGTTGACCTGCAAATGGGTGATTTGTAAATCGCATCTTGCCAAGCCTTTCCAACTCCTCCATCCTTAATAATAATAATAATACTTGCAAATATGGCACACATGTCCAACAACCCTTGTGTTTCTACACAACCGACATATGTAACACGCACGATCAATCAATCACTCGATCGTGTTTTACAATGTGCCAAGTGTCAACATCTGTCAATGGTTATTAATGGAAACAATTTGACCAGGACGATCGTGTAATCTTATAATCGAGTTCATCATGATGTTTTTATAGTTTTTGTGTCAAGGTTGGAGGTTTATAGGTCTAGGTCTAGGACTTGGCCTTCAATCGACAGATTGATAACCTTAAGTTGGTTTTTTACCCCTGACGGTCTGGACTAGTCTGGACTGGACCAGACCACCTTAACCATGCATTCATCCATACATCCATACATCAACCCGTCCATCCACTACATCTATTCATCAATCCATTTGATCGGAGGGGCATTGGCCATCTCGCACAGTCATACCCAAACTCAAACTTAATCTACACACGACTCACATACTCTGTGTACGGTTTTGTTCCAATTCATTTGGACAAAGATGTCGCTTGTTGGTCCAATTTCAGATCCCCCACACACTTAAACATTCATTCGTCAAAACCTGACGACAAACGACGTTACAATTCAATACCCCACACTGCACGTTGCTTCTCATTTCGACATTATGACCTATGTTTCTTTTCCAAAAGGGTGCCCACCGATGACACCAGTCAGGGCTTCGTTTGGTTTTTCCCTAAAGACAGGCAGGCACGTTTGTTTAGTTTTGAGTGGGAATTCACACCCCCTCTCGAAGCGCTTCTAAACAGGCACACCTGAGCGTGTCTCCCCATAGCCCACCCGACACACACTTCGCATGCATGTACTCGCTCACATCCATCCATCTATCTATCCTGGCATCACAACACACCAACACTCTCCAAAACCAAACCAATGTCAAATGTGTGTCATGTCATGTGGGCTTTGGACCGCACATGGTCACTGTGTGTGGGTGACTCACATTTAGAGACTTGGAGATGGCATGTTATGATGATCTCACCCCCCCGTTACTCCTTTAGTATAATGATCCCACTCTACACACTACTTACTTTATAATATATTATTATTTAATTTGTTTGTTTGTTTGAAAGGACCTCTAGAGGTAACACGTGGTGGGTATGTGATACCTGTCCCCCAGGCATGTCGTCAAGACCAAGACCAATGGCGAACGTCTTGTCCTGTCATCATTAGTCAAGCGACTTCTCCCATTCCATCATTTGTTTAAATAACTCTTCTTCCGTCTTCTCACACACACACATACACACACACGTTTCTAACTTCTCGAGAACACGTCGAAACATCATCACTTCAGCCCCATCTTCACGCCTCTACAATCAAAGAGCCAAACGACTAATCAACAACAAACATCAGTTTGATCATTCATTCAAACATTACATTATATTAACTTAACTACATAGTTATAACAACATAACATTGCACATTCACACATTTACACCACCTTACACAACTTATATAATACTTTGTTTTTTTTTAATATCTAATTCATTGTTGTACAACTTAATTAACTAACTCTGTATATTCACATAACATTACAATCAATCAATCAAATAGTCAGCACTCAAATATATTTTTTTAAAAAATTAATAATTAATAATAGATAATAGATAATAATAATGGTAGCAATATCACAAGATATCGACTTGCAATTCTTGTCCAAGTACTTCCACTTACCAATCAATGATGTTGCCAAAGAGATTGGTGTATGCGCCACTGTACTAAAGAAAATATGTCGAAAGAATGGTATCCCAAGATGGCCACATAGAAAGGTAATTATCCCAGCAAACTCAACTCAATCACATTCAAACTAGTTTGCAGTCCAACTCACCCACCCCATCCCACACACAAACAGATAAAGAGCATTGACAAGATGATCTCAAATTTGGAGAATAGTAGTCCAAAGAATGCTGATGAGGAGCATCGTATTAAAGAGGAGATATCAACGCTAAAGAAGAAGAAGGCATACTTGATCAAACATCCAAATATCCTGGCAATTAAATCCTCCATCAAGCAGAAGGAGGTCGAGCAACTCAATCAACGTATCAGCGAGAACCAGTTTGAGTTGTCCCAGGTCACCGCGCCCCAGGCCAGTCTCCTCAGTCAGCGCTTTGGTCTGCTGGCAGCCGCTGCCGCATCTGTTGTAACACCATCATCACATTCATCACACTCATCATCACCATTCTCCGAGACCAAATATCCAAATATCCTTGTATCCAATACTCTTCCACAACATCTCAGCCACAACTATAACAACAACAACAACAATCACTACCACAACCACAGCAACAACACCAGTCCATACTCATCATCACCATTACATCGATCAAAGTCAACATATTTGTCAAGTGCGCCACTGTCCCCACCCAGTCCACCATCACAGGTGGTGTCTTCGGCATCATCCTCATCGACACCCTCGTCGCTGTCCCGACAGAGCTCACACCAGGACATCACAAGCCTGCACTTGCTGGCCAACACTGGCGCCGACACACTCCAAACACTGAGACACGCTGCCAACTCGTTGGAAATGAAGAAGTCCTACTCCACCCCTCACATCACCACCACGGCCCCCGCTCAGGGCCAGCCCGAGATGTTCAAGCTCACCAACCTCGAGTTGCCCAAGCTTGCCAACATCCCCAGCATCGAGAGCCAGCTCAACACATTCAAGACTCTGGAGCCAACCCTATTCAAGCGATCGAGCTCTGTGGTTGGATCGCCCCAGTTGGAAAGCAGCAATAACAACAACAACATGGTCATGGAAGGCGGCAACAGTGCAACATCATCACGCTTCTCGCCACTGTCACTGCCATCAATCGCACCACCACAACAACATCGTCTGCCACCATGGTTCAAGGAGGATGTAGTCGATCACCATCATGCCTCTGGTGCCACCGCCACCTCTGCCTCTGTACTCCGTCTGCCAATCAACAACGTCGTCGTCTCCAAGAAAGCTACCATTCCATCGATCACGCGAGTGGACCAGCTCATATCCTCTGAGGATGACAACTCTGCGGTGCCATCACACCTGAGCCCCTCCTCACCCATCAGCTTTGATTGAATAATAAAAGCATTATGCTGTGTTCCGCCACAGTATATATATCGACAGAAGCCAGTATCATTGCGTATGTGTATGTGTAGTTTGTAACTTCAGGAAAGCAAGTTCAAGGACGAACCAAGGTCCTTGAGGCCTCGATTTCTTTTTTCGTGCGGATGTGGGAGGGTGTTGGGTTGGGTCGACGACTGGCGACCTCTGCTTTAATGGGTTGGGTGAATGCCACAGACAAGTTGAATGAACTTGTCAAAGAGGAAGAAAACGATCACCCCAGAGTAGAGATACTTATTGATGTGGGAGAAGAGTTTGATCATTTTGATCACTTTTTGTATTAGCAAAATTGAGTGTGTGGGATCACTTATCGCACCCAACCACACTCACTATGAGTGATTTGAATCGGGATCCGCACTTGTGTGAGTGCCCATCCGTATAACATCATAAAATTAATTATCAACCTGGTGAGGTAGTCTGATCTAAGACAGAGAGAGCCAGAGGAAATTAGTCCTCGAGCTGGAAGAATCAACGAACTTTGATCCTTTTAAGTACAGTCGGTGGACCCCCGATGCCCAAGGAAGTGCCTTGCGAAGGAGGACTGCTGTGAGTGAGTGTGACACTCTACACCTTTGTCTAAATCAACCGGTCTTTGCGAGTTCCTTTGATAATCTACTCTACAACTGATCGACTAAGTAATCGTTTGCAGAGCTGCCTCCTTCATTCACTCAATCACTCAATCACTCACTCAATCATCACAATCACACATAATTGAACATATAATAACTCATACATATAACATATAAATAACTTATACAACATATATATATATATATATTTTCATATAACTTAGGGATGGATATTGATACAATGATAAATAGTACGGCATTGTTGGATGATTTGTCCGACCCAGCCATTCAAACTTATCATGAAGAGGTGCTCAACACATTCACACACTCCATCGGCTTCTTCCTGAGCACGCCAGCAGTGCTCTTCCTTATATCAGTTGCCAAGATGCGTGGTACCAAATGGCATCTGATATCCTGTATAATATATGGCATCTCTCTAGTATGTACCCGCCCTCACCCACACTCAATCACCCCTGGAATCATTCCAATCACCCACCAACCCCACCCATACTAACGACCGACCGACCCCCCGATCAATCACAATCAATCATATTATAGCTTAGCATGTTCTTTTGCTCATCATTATATCACTCTGTTGGAGTATTCCGCATGGAGGAACATAGAGCATTCTTGAAGAATGTTGATCATAGTGCTATATACTTGCTGATTGCTGGCACCTACACGCCACTCACTATGATCAATCTGATACACAACAACTGGAACACCAATAGCTCCACACCAAAGGTCGTCAAGATGGGCTGGCTGATGCTTATTGCCAGCTGGACGATGTGTGTCGTTGGCGTGCTCTGCAAGATGATCGTGGGCGCCAACGAGATCCCCGACTACTTCTCCAACGGCACCTACCTGTTCATGGGCTGGCTGTCTGTTCTGGGCCTCCGCGACATGATCACACACCTGCCCCGCAAGGGCATGAAGCTGCTGGTGGCCGGTGGCCTCGCCTACACCTCGGGCATCTGCTTCATGATGTGGGAGACCACGCCCTTCAACCACGCCATCTGGCACGTGTTTGTTGGCGCCGGCTCTCTTCTGCACTACTTCTGCATACTCGAATGCATCATCCCCGCCAAGAAAGGTTCGGCCACGCACGCAATCCTAGACAATATTGAACACGCTGACAAGCAAGACAAGATGGCCTTTTTCGGCAGCCAAGGCTATCGCCAACGTTTCATCGTCAGATACATGCGCGTTCTCTACCGCGCCGTTGTCGGTTGGGCATCCAGATCCAACATGCATCTCAAGGCCATGTAAAGGGGAGTTTGTGGCTGGGGTACTACCTGAGTCCCGAGACTCAATCGATCACACACCCCATCACTCGATCACCCTCACTCACTCACATCACCTGATCAATCAATCAAATTTCACTTCACTCACTCATTGATTGATCATTCATTCATACACATAAATGGATACATTACCCATTGTAATAATAAATCAACTGGTCGACTACTTAGAAGATGTGGATCGAGTGTGTCTTGGTCTGAGTTGCAAGAGGCAACACGATGTGATGCGCAAGTGGCTGCCACTGTTTGTCAATGATTGCCCACCTAACAAGCAGATACGCTCACCAATCAGAGAAGTGACATTCAGCAACATGTTTGATCATCCAATCCCTATTGGCTTCCTTCCTTCAACCCTTACCAAGTTATCACTTGGCGCCAGCTTTGATCGTCCAATCATATTCAATGATACCTCAGCCGGCGCGACATGGCCTCAATCAATCACAGAACTAAAGCTCGGACATCGTTTCAATCAACCTTTGGACCATTCATCACTCCCTCGATCATTACTCATCCTGACGTTTGGTCTTCAATTCAATCAGATCATCAGAGTTGGAGTGTTGCCAGGATCATTGACGCAACTCTCCTTTGGGTACTCATTCAGCCAGCCACTCGAGACGGGCGTCCTGCCTCCATTCCTAACCAGTCTAACATTCGATCGATACCCTCTACCATTTGCACCTGGTGTGTTGCCCTCATCAATCACACATCTTTATATAAGGGGTCGTGGTGGCCTTGACAACATCATCGTGCCAGGGGTGTTGCCACCTGGACTCAAGAAGTTGGAGATACAGCAACAACTTGCTCTAGATACAGTCCCCACAACGTTGGAGGACCTGAGGTTTGGAGAATACTACAACTACCCCATCCTGTTGAGCTCATTGCCTGAAGGACTGACCAGACTTCATTTTGGTGACATATTCAATCAAGATATTAGGATTGGAATTATTCCAACGACTGTTCAATCATTAGACTTTGGAGTCTACTTCAATGTCAAGATAGAGCCCGGATCCCTACCCTCTAGACTCACAAAGTTGAGCTTGGGCGAAATGTTCGACGAGGCGATAGCGCCAGGCGTGCTCCCTGCCAGCCTCCTAACCCTCAGCCTTGGTTCCAATTTCAACCATCCTCTCCCACAACTACCAACCGGACTCACAACATTGTTCCTGTCCGACAGGTTTAATCAACCAATTGCAGCACCATCCATATTGCCAGCTTCCCTGATCCAGTTGTGGATTGGAGAGCGCTTCAACCAATCACTCGAGTTTGTTGTGCACCTGACACACCTCTCATATCTCAGGCTTGGAGATGCCTGGGACCAGCCAATCTCACAAAGTACCTTTCCCAAATCACTCCGTACTTTGTTGTTTAACCGGCCGTCTGCATTCAACAAACATTTGGCAACACCAGTGGCGCCAGCCATCACCAAGCTATCCCTTGGCAACATGTACAACATACCGATTCAGACAGGACAACTTCCCGAGACACTCACATATCTGAAGTTGGGATCTGACTTTAACCAGCCCATTGAAGTCAACTCCTTGCCTCAATCGTTGATCAAACTTACATTTGGATTGACTTTCAATCAAATATTGCAGCCAGGATGTCTGCCATCATCATTGGTACGAATCAAATTTGGCGAATTCTTTGATCAACCTCTCGAGCCTGGTGTGCTGCCGCCCAGTCTCCAATCCCTACGTCTGTCAAACGAGTTCAACAAGCCGCTACCTGCTAGCACCCTGCCCAGTGCACTCCATACACTCCACCTCGGTATCAGATTCAACCAACCTCCAGACTCGGTCATCCTACCCGGCAGCTTGACAACCCTCAATGTTCCCACCCTCATGATGCGAGTATACCTACCCTGCCACGCCTTGGGAAGGCTATCCAAGATGGAGATCATAGGTAGTGATGGACAACTCATATTCCCATCCTTTGATAAGTTGGTTGAAGGTAGCTGCCCCATCGTCAGCACCAGTGTTGGACTCCTCTCATTGGCTTTTGAGATCAACTATCCAAACGGTCGTCTGTTGCCATCGCAGGTAGCACATCTATACTCACTGATGCCCAACCTCGAGCAACTCTGCATCCAAACTACATACGTTCGAAGGTACCATGTGCGATACCTTGATCCTGTGAGCAGGACCCATGTGCTCTGTGTAGCCGAGTATGGTGGCAGCAAATCCATCAGCATTGCCGAGTTGTCATCATTGTACATCAATGGCAATGGACCATTAGCAAGGCTTTAATCTTATTGTTAATACAAACTCTAGGACAGGACTGTCGTCTCACTTAAACTGTTTGAGTTGCCAACCATTTCCATCCTTGGACTGGATAAAGTGGGCTGGTAGCCAGTCTACTGCCTTGTCGCGTCGCTCTTGTGCCAGACGGCGCTGCTCCTCCTCCACCTTGGTCTTCTCCTTGGTGATGGCTTTGGCACCAGCCTGAGTCTGTGCAGCTTCAATGACGCCGCGCCAGACAATGGTGGAGTCGGTGGGCAACACCTTCTCAGCGGGCAATGGTACGAATGTGCCAGGGACCAATTTACTTCTCTCCACAAACGTCTCATACTTGTCCTTCTTGTAAGGTGATGAGCGCACCTCTCCATCCCACTGACCCTTGAACTTCATAATCTTCTCCTTGCCATTATACATTGTCGCCTCGATCACATTATAGTTTCCAAAGAGCAGTGGCTAATTATCATTGATTGATTGATTGGTTGATGGGTCAGTGATTGATTGATTGTGGACAACTCTGGAACATACCTTGGGGAAGAAGCTAGTCTTGATTGAGTAGTCTGATTTGTCGCAGGTCATGATGGATTGGCCAGCAAGCTCGGCAAAGCCGCGGAATATTCTTAGAGCCATTGGAGGAAGGGTGATTGAGTAGACTTCTTTGAACTTGTCCAGTGTGACGACAAAGTGTCCCTCTGGCGAGATCCTGAGATAGGTGCCCATGAAGCTGGCCTTGACTGGCGAGTTGTAAGACACTTGAATGCCCAGTGCGACGTTGTACACGATGGACGAAGTGATTGGTGGATGATGCGATATCTGTTCGGACAAACATGTGGCAACATGTTTCTCATCCTTAAAGTGCGTGGCCAACTCGTATGTCTCGCCCAACACTGGATTGAGCGGCTTTTTGCGCATCTCTTTGGGCACCCATCTCGTGGACAGGAAGTAGCGATAGACTTGCAACATCCTCTGAAGCGGGTCATTCATGCCATTGCACGCCAACAGTAGGTCGAAGTGTACCGAGCAATTCTCGGCAAAGAATGTCAGTGTGGACTTTGGCAGAATGTATCCACCTGGTATTGTGACCTTTGACAAGTCTGCTCCAACCTTTAAGCTCTTCAATATATTCAACATACTACTATCCTCTCCTCCTTCAGTTGTTTGTGTTGTTTGTGTAGTAGTTGTTGTATCTTCCTGTTGAGGTACAGTCTCACCAACATCCTCGTTGACCTCATCTTCAATCACTTCCTCTCCATCAATATCCATCTTATCCTCTTCATTGTTGTTGTTGCTCATTGTGTCTTTAGTATGTGTATATATGTATACTATCAAGTAATAATAACTAACTTTGGTTATGTATCAAAGTGTGTATTTATGTTGGTAATCTAACTACACCAACAATCACCCTTAGAGGTCAACTCAACTTCGGCTTCATTACAAAGAGTAAAGTTCTCCCGAACTTGATCGACACTTTCGTGACACATATGCAGGAATGTTGCGTCCCCCCATTACTTGATTTGGACAACTGCACCCTTTTTGATCACGACTTCACACTGACAACACTGCGCAGGTTGTCATCATCAATGGGATAATCACTCTCCACCTTCACCTTCATCCATTCATTCATTCTTCATACACTCCAACATACAACATTAAAATAATCAAATATATAAAATTATCTATTTATCTAATAATAACTATCTCTTCTCACTCTTCATAATGTACAGATGAATGAATGAATGAATGATTGAATGATTGAATGATTGATTGGAACGTGAACATCGTGCATCGACTGTCCACTGGACCCTGGGGTCAGACATGAGTACTGTTGGTGCGACATGTTGGTAAGGTCAGTAATTTGGAGGTCTAGGGTAACACAGATTCAACGAATTACAAGGGTCAGTCATTGACAAGCTATAATGATGCATAGCTACCTGATCAATCAAACCAAACCAAACCAAACCATTAATAACTAATATAACTCATAATGTGAGCGAACCCACTCACTCAAGAGAGAACGCTACACATTGAGCCTCACGCTCTCAGCTATAACCCCATCATTGATGGATAACCTATTACCCTGCATAAGGCAAAACACCCGTTTTTCACACGAAACAGGACAAATTTAGATGTGGTTGGTCCTGGCGATCAAGGAGGGACTCATTTGGTCTCGAAATGAGCGTAGTCCATCAAATGTCAACCAATTAACAACTCTAGTTAATTGTGTAGCAACATGTGAGCAGACGGATGATGGTGCACCTCATCTATCTATCCATGCATCCATCCCACCAGTCCCATTGATCCAACGAAAACGATCATACCCCACACCACCATCCATCATCATCAATCGATGTATTGCTCACCCACCTCCAGCGACCCACACTTCACTTTCCACCTCCTGAATGATCACTCGTTTCCTTATTACTGGAGAGTGTGCGCCTCTATCGGTCCTTAGGCTTCCGGACAGAGTCAGAACTCTGCCAACCATCACTCATGTATAAATAGGATTACCCGGGTAATTACCATCTTATACAGAAGTAATAATAATAATCTACAACAACAACTACAACTACAACAAATATTCATTCATTCATTCATTATTCCATTATACATATACTTTATCAATCAGTCCAATCAATCTATCCAAACAATCATTTCCAGATATTACCAATATTTTCCAATCACATCACATCAATCAGGAATCAACAACTTAATCAATATTTATATCATTTATATATATTTATATTCCAACAACAATGAAGGAGTTTAATAATCAACTTCGTATATTACTGTATAAGAATTATATATTGAAGAAGAAGTCCAAATGCGCTATTGCATGCGAGATATTGTTTCCCTTGGTCATTGTATCAATCTTGTTCATGATCATGGGTATTGTCAAGTCATTCACTCCGGACTATGACCTCTACCACACTTCCCCGCTGGCCGCGGAGATGGGTCCACGCGATCGCCTGCTGTTTGGACCAACGCCACTCACCACCGATCAAACACAAATCATGGAGCTGCTCAAGACAAGGATTGCCGTCACCAATGGATGGACGATGGACGAGACCAACAACTATTTCCTGCCATTCTCCAACTCAACCGTTATGGATGGCTTCTTTGCCAACAACTCCAAGTCGGTCATTGGCGCAGTCTGGTTCAACGGCACATATCCAGCCACCGCCGCTAACCCATTCCAATACTCCATTCGTCTCGACGCCGATGAGGTGTCTCGCACTGACAAGACATTTGGCGGCAGCTCTGACGACTCGCTGAAATACATCAAGGACTCCTTCGAGACGATCCAGGTGGCAATGGACGAGGCCATCATGAACTTCTATGGTCTGAACAACACAATCACAATGACGAGCAAGCGTTACCCCAACCCATTCACCGCTGGCTGGCAGGCATGGAACGAGGGACGTGACAGCATCTTCAAGAATGCCGGTGGTGTCTTCATCTCTGCCGCTCTACTTATGTTTGCCTTCCGTCTTGTCACTGACCTGGTCATGGAGAAGGAGACCAAGATCCGCGAGGGAATGAAGATGATGGGTATGATGGATCTGCCCTACTTCCTCTCATGGCTCATCACATCCCTGATCATCTGTATCCCAGTGACCCTTATGATTGCTGCCATCGTCAAAGGTTCAATGGTAGTCTACCATACCTCATGGTTAGATATCATCTTTGTATATCTCCTGTACACTCTTACTCTCGTCCTCTTGGGATTCATTGCAAGGTATGTGTCTTTGGCGGCTACTTCAATCAATCAAACAAATACTAACTCAATCAATCATTCAAATAGTGTATTCTTTGATCACTCCAAGTTCGCTGGAATCCTTGTGTTCTTTGGTCTTCTTGTTATCTCTGTCATTGGTATCTTCATTGCCAAGGCCAACATGTCCAAGTATGTCAAGCTACTTTTGTCTCTAATGTCACCAGTTGGTCTTGCCTGTGCCAACTACCACATGGCCGTCCAAGACCTCACAGACCTGGATCCAATGCCAGCCAACACAACCACCTCAAAGTAAGTCACTCTGTCGCTCAATCAATCAATCAATCAATCACTCGATCACTCACTAACTCATTCAATCAATTATTCAAACTTAGGGACATCATTGGACTGATGTGTGTAGATATTGTATTATATACTTTGTTATATTGGTACTTGAACAATGTGATTGCTGGCGAGTTTGGAACTGCCAAGCCATGGAACTTCTTGTTCAAGAGCTCATACTGGTTCCCAACCAAGGACCACGAGCTGATCGATGTCGAGTCCTACGGCAGCAATGAGGACGTCGAGGGCATCCCCCTGGACCTCAAGCGCGCCGCCACCGTCTCCATCCGCAACCTCAGAAAGGAGTTCTACACTGGTGACGGTGTCCGTGTTGCCGTCGACGGTCTCTCGCTCGACATGTACCCCGACCAGATCCACGCCTTCCTCGGACACAACGGTGCTGGCAAGTCCACCACCATCGGTATGCTCACCGGTCTCCTGCCACCAACTGATGGTGACGCCTTTGTCCAGGGCTACTCAATCCAGCGCCAGATGAACAGTGTCCGCCGCACACTTGGTGTGTGCCCACAGCACGATATCATCTGGAAGGAGCTCACTGTGCTTGAGCACTTCAAGATCTACGCCGCCCTCAAGGGTGTTCGCGGTAAGGACATTGCAGTCCAAGCCGACAAGATGTGTGACGAGGTTGGCCTTGGCGAAAAGAAGAACGCCCCATCTGGCACCCTCTCTGGTGGCCAGAAGCGCAAGTTGTGTCTTGGTATCGCATTCATTGGCCGCAGTGAGGTGATCTTCCTGGACGAGGTGACCAGTGGCATGGACCCACTGTCGCGTCGTGGTGTCTGGGACTTCTTGCTCAAGTACAAGCAGGGAAGAACCATCATCTTGACCACTCACTTCATGGACGAAGCCGACTTCCTCGGCGACAGAATCGCAATCATCTCTCATGGCAAGCTTCGTTGTGACGGCAGCAGCCTGTTCCTCAAGAAGAAGTTTGGCATTGGTTACCTGCTCACGATGGCCAAGATCGCCAACTCCTGCAACACTGAGGGTGTCACCAACTTTATCCACCAGTACATCCCCGAGGCCGTCGTTCTCTCGGATGCCGGCACTGAGCTGTCCTTCCGTCTGCCCACATCCAGCGTCGACCAGTTCGTCCCATTCTTCATGGAGCTCGACCAGCAAAAGGCCTACCTTGGCATTGGCAACTATGGTATCTCTGTGACTACCATGGAGGAGGTGTTCCTGCGTATTGGCCAAGAGTCCCAGGGCGGCCAGTTCAGTCTCACCGCCAACCAGAACCGTAACGAAGAGGTCATCAAGAAGGCCATCTCGACATCAACCACCGGCACCACATGGCGCCAGCAGATGAAGGGTCTGATCATCAAGCGTTTGATCACATCGTACAAGGATCTCAAGACATTCCTGCTCACAGTGTTCCTTCCAATCATCCTGATCGCATGCTCCATTGTCATCTACAAGAAGATGAGAATCGAGGCCGACTACTTCAACAACATCACCACGCCACTCACCTTCTCCATGTCCACATTCGGCCCCGACAACAAGGTCTACGTCAACACCATCGACGGTAATCTTGCCGGTCTGTCCGCCTCACCCTTTGCCTCTCAACTCCAGTCGATGCCCGTTGGCACCAACCTCGAAGACTACCTCAAGACGCACTACAACTCTTCAGCTGGCTCCCTCAACTTCACTAGCGAGGTGGCCGCACAGCAACTCGAGTACAACGTCTACTTCAACAAGGGCTCGCTGCACTCGATCCCCACCCACGTCAATCTGGTCCACGACGCCCTGTTGCGCCAACACAACGGCATCGGTATCGCCACAACCAACGCTCCATTCGCTCACGTTCTCACTGCCATCGAGGCAGCCGTCTCCTCTGTTGACATGAACGCCGTCGTCTACTTCAACATGTTGTTCATCGCTGGCTACGGTCTGATGGTCGCGTCATTCGCCGCCAACATGTGTGTTGAGCGTGTCACCAACATCAAGCGTCTACTCTACATCTCTGGCTGCAAGAAGCACATCTACTGGCTGGCCAACCTCTTCTGGGACTACACCCTCTCGATACCTGTCGTGTTCATTGTTTCTGGTGTCCTGGCTGGCGTCGAGACCAAGTACGCTGATCAGTTTGGCATCATCCTCATCGGCCAGATCCTCTTCTGTCTTGGCTGTATCCCACTCAGCTACCTCCTGTCCTACCGCTACAACACCCACGGCAAGGCCATTGGCGCCATCTTTGGCATCCAGTACGGCATAGCCCTTGTGATGATCATTGCCAGCATCAACATGCGTATCCAGATGGTCATCAACCAGTCCGAGGGTCTGCAGCTCGCCTGTGACATAGTCGACTATGTCTTCTACATAGTCTCGCCATTGTACGCCCTGGGCCGTATCATGGTCATGTGCGTCAACTTCCCAGGCACCATGCGTCTTGGCCAGTGGACCATCACCAACTATTGGGACGTCAAGATCACTGGCGCACCCTTGCTCTTCCTCGTTGGCCACGCCATCGTCTGGACCACATTGATCCTCGTGTTGGACTACTTCCCCGAGATCAGAGGCAGAATGAAGAACCCCAAGAACACCGCCTCGCCACAGCCACCCGCCGACGAGGACACTGATGTTGCCGCTGAGCGCATGCGTCTTGGAGGCCACCACGCCACTGATGATGTACTCGTCATGAGAGATCTCCACAAGCTGTTCCCAGCCAAGGGCAAGCACCCAGACAAGATCGCTGTTCACAACACTACCCTTGGTATCCCCCGTGGCCAGACATTCGGTCTGCTCGGAATGAACGGTGCTGGCAAGACAACCACACTCTCGATGCTCTCTGGCGACATCTCACCAACTGCCGGCTCAGCCACCATCAATGGCTTCGACCTCATCTCCCAACGCTCCAACGCTCTTCATTCAATTGGCTCGTGTCCTCAGTTCGACGCCCTGATCCCCCTGTTGAGTGGCCGCGAGCAACTCTACTTGTACTGCCGCATCAAGGGTATTCCCGAGGATCTCATCCCAACCACAGTCGAAGCATTCATCACAATGATGGACCTCGAGGGATTGGCCAACACCAACGTCGGTGGATACTCAGGCGGCAACAAGCGTAAGCTGTCACTGTCCGTGGCCATGATTGGAAACCCATCAGTTGTGTTCCTGGACGAGCCATCAACTGGCTGCGACCCACAGGTTCGCCGCTTCATGTGGAACGTCATCTCTGAGCTCGGCGCCAACAAGGTTATCATCATCACCACTCACTCAATGGAGGAGTGCGAGGCCCTTTGCCAGCGCATCTCAATCATGAAGGATGGCAAGTTCACCTGTTTGGGTTCCAACCAACACATCAAGTCCAAGTTTGGCAGCGGCTACTCGCTGGACTTCAAGATAAAGAAGGAATACCTGGACACTGCCGCCGACATCATCGGTCGCACATTCCCAGGCATCGAGCTGCTCGATAGCCACGACCTCATCCTCAACTTTGAGTTACCAAGCAAGTACAGCGGACACTCTGTCAAGGTGTCTGAGATCTTCAATGTAATCCAGCAGCAGTTGCACTTCCTGGTCGAGGATTACTCCGTCAGCCAGACCTCTCTCGAGCAAGTGTTCCTCAAGCTTACCTCTGCCACCTACGAAGCTCGTCTCAATCAATTGTCCGAGTCCCAACAGAACGCTCAAATACCTCTATAAACCATTAACTATTTAATTAATAAACCAAGATGGTTGATACTCGCTGCCATTGTATCTGCACACGTCTGTCTTTGATATGTTTGAATGCCACTGGTTGCATATGTCTGTCTTTATAGTATAATTAGTCTTGGTCCACTTGTCTTAAACACACAACTCATTCACTCTCAATCATTTACCTTCACTTCCATCTGTTCACAACATTATCTGTATACGTATTATCACTCAACACAATTACAAATAATCATTATCTGTATATTTATTATTTATCACACTCTAATTATCTCTCACATACATCATTCCAACACTTATTATCTATCATCGCTATTATACACACACAATAGTCAACCACCGAGATGGAAGACGATACTCCAACAACATCAACAACGTCAACATCCCAGAGCAATCCTCCTTTGTTCGTCCCCACCGATAAGACAACACCCGCTGATCTTATTAAGCACCTTGGTCTTGAGAAGGATGACAAAGACACCATTACCTTGAGCACAAACAATATTGATGGTTACTTCTTGTTGACCGCCACAAGCATTGACGCTCTGACTGAACCGTCTCCCAAGGGACCTGGCATTACGTAGAGCAAAGAGACTCTTTGACCTCGCCCATCCCAAATCAACGAGTAAGTACAAACAATATCGGCGCAATGTCTTCATTCAATACTAACATACACACTCAAGCCCCTGCTGCCCCAGTATTGAGGTTGAAGGCAATAGTTAGATGTAAGTAAATAATAAATTCGATCACACAACAAGAGTCCTGACACCACGGTGACCATTCCAGCTGTAGAGGGAGTATCTTTCGATGATCCTCACATCTCGAAGAGGACAAAGACTACAGCAGACATTTGGAAGGAGATTCAAGAAAAGCATTGTGTCTTCTTGAGGTCCCCGCCATTCACTGGGAAGACATCAATCATTCAGTTGCTGGGTGCAGCGATGCGGTCAACGTTCAATGTGGTTGTGATGACCTTCCTTGGTTGCCAAGATGACTACGACCAGCACTGGATCAAGGTGACTGGGAAGACCTTTGAAGAATGGTCTCTGTGCACAGCCCCAAAGAGTCTTGATATGACCTCACTCCTCCTCTCTGACGATGAAATCAATGAGCTGACAAATAACTTCAATACTGTGTTCAACTCAATCCAACTCAGAGCCACAGTCACGCCACTCATACAACAATCTTTGAAGTCAGCAACAAATGGCCACGTTGGACTTTTGATGGCTTCCTTCTTTGCCATTGAAGACCATTTCAAACTCCTGTCCAGTCCGGCATCACAAGCTGATATTTTGGCATTCCTCTTTGGTGGCAAATATCTGTCAAAAATCAGGTCTTCAAGAGGAATGTTGGATGTTGGAACGCTCACGGCCCAACAAAAAGACTTCCTGGATCGCAACTTCACACACTATCATCAACAATTCGCAACTCACCTTGACAATTCACTCTCCCCTTGTCAAACATGGAGTACTCATCAACATTGATGGCTCATTGAAGTTCTCTTCTCCCCTTGTCCGTGCTATCTACTTTGAGCAACGATACTCCAAGGTTGCCCCATTCCAATCCTTGCACGAACATTGACGACTTCATCATGGCGACCCTCAAGGGGATCAAAACATCATCACAACCAAAGCAGTTAACGCCAATGAGTCTCTTTCTGAGTCTTTCTGGCAACACGAGTTCTATGCATCATCAATCGCAAATCTTCCAAACAACACATGTAAGTTTTGTTAGTTTTGTATCCAAACACACCGAGCTTTGATTAACTCTTCCCTACATTAGCCATCAGCCCAAACGTTGGACACTATTTTGGAATTGATGCCTACATTGATTTCTATGTCAACAATATCTACAAGTGGGGAATAGAATTGCTGGTTGATGGAAAGAAGATATCCAAGCATGTCAAGCGATTCACAGAGGGATATTACAAAGAATTGATCGATGGTGGTCATATTTCCGAGCACAGGATCTTGGACAGTGTGTGTATAACTCAGGGGGCCCCCTATCCAACATTACATCCGCTTCGCTGATTCCATTTTTTCCTTCAACTTTATTAATTTTATATTCTTTTAACTTCTCTCTTTTATTATTATTATTTTTTTTGGGGAGTTTGGGGAGGATAATAATAATAATAATAGAACAAAAAGTGTATCTGTCGCAACTTGGGGAGGGAAGGGAGGGGAATGGGGATAGGGAAATTGGGGAAAAAGAGGATGTGTATCGACATAGGGAGCTTGGGGAGTCAATGGTGGAAACTTTTTAATAATTGAAAGTATTATTTGTATTCTTTAAATTCTTCCACCATCGACTCCCTGGCTCCCTGTTTCGATACTGATGCTCTTTTTGGAGTTTGGATCATCCCTTGTCCTCCCTAAGTGAAAGTAGTGTGATTTCCATTTGGACTGGAAAGAAATATATGACTCCAGAATGTTACATGAGAATGTTTATTGTTATCTTGCTAACTGTTGTGTATTAATATGATTGAAAATGTGAATTTATTCATTAGATTGCTTGGCTTGGCTTGGGATTAGTATCAAAGCTGTAGCCCCAGTTATGGTCCATTGTGCCGGCAACTGTCATCGACATGTATCCATACTTAGTGAGGCCGGTGACCTCCGAAGGCAAGCTGGAGTGACTGTGATGTCCTGGGAGCACAGAGTCATGATGAAGACCTGGTCGGGGAAGTTAACGCCGTGCATGTTGCTTTCAAAGAGCACCTGGAAGTTGGCTATTGGTCCCAGGTAAATGTCTGTGATGAGCATCTGGGTGGTGATGTCTGTAAGTCCATCAGGGTCGATTCTCACTTTGACTGATGTCACCCGACAGACATGCACCAACCACTCTTGCAATATGCCAAATCATTGACAAAAGATGTTGCTCTGAGTATGGAGATGGTGGATCACTTGGGCCATCATCATCATCATCGTCTGACGACACCGTGGGTGATGTCGTTGAGCTGGCTGCCGTCCTGTTTGTTCTGGTCGACGTACACAAGGTGCTGAACGACCACGAGGACTTTGCCCTTTGAAACCACCTACCCCGAATGAACACCAATTAGGAAGTCCATGGTCCAGTGTGTGTCGGAATAGGGGGTGTGGGATCGGAATTGTAATTTAATTTAATTAAATTGGCTGGGCTTCTCTCCCAATATGGTTTAATTCGACAAAGAGGTTTTAAATAGTTACTCCAGCAGGCTACCTCAATTACACCTTTTATAGGTTTAGTAGACTTTGATCAACATGTACACAGAGTTCAGGTTCGACAAGAAGAGGAAGGTGGGCAGACCGATCACCAAACAACCATTCCAGCACCTTGGTTCTACATCTGTTGAAGGAACGATGAGAATGACGGACCAACATAATGTAGTGTCAGCTCCAGGGCCACATCAGGAGCGCGCGCCGGCTCTAACAACTCGGCCAGAAGTGGTGACATTGGCTCCAACAACAACAGAAGTGAACCAGCAATCCAGAGCGGTCATTGATGTGTCGACACCAACAGTGCAACGTCAACAGCTGGGCGCTACAAGAGTGGTGAACCTGGTTGAGAGCAGCAATGATGATGACGATGATGGGCCACTCAATGCTCTGTTGAGTGTTGCGGCCCAGGATGAGATGGCACCAACGATGACGACGACGACGACGACGACGACGACGACAACAACGACACAACGACAGGAGCAGGAGAAGGAGCACCAAACCAGACAGTTGGTTTGGATAGATGCACGGTGCATCATGCACCGTTCGTCGAACCTACAAGGCATCACATTGTCAGTGAAGAGCATGAACATGGACATAGTGTGGTACAGTACCATTTGAATCTTGTGAAGAGGTTGGTGGTGCCAGGAGCCAACAAGTGTCGAGTGGATGGATGCGGTCATGTGTCCAATCTGAAACAGAATCTGTACCAACACATTCGTGGCCAACACAAGGCGGAGCTAGATCATTTGCAGCTGACCAATCCCTTGGTGCCAAGTATGTCACACGAGCTGAGGTACGTCAATGGGAAGGCGATCGACAAGGCCTGTGAACATATTGGCTGTTTCATGGTGGTGTCCAAGAAGAACTATGCCTTGCACATAAAGAGGACGCATCATCACGATGACCCTTTTGTTGCCCATGTATGCAAAGGGTGTGGAGTTGTGGCACTGGAGATGGCAATTGATACTATAACGAGAAACTTGAACGCAGGTGCCAACTCTGGTAAGTAGCTTCATGTAGCAACATCAACAACAACAACAACAAACACACAACAAAAATCATTGTTTGGTGTCGAGTCATTGGTCAATATCCCGCTACCAGAAGCGGATGCGCCACTGTATCCATTGAACAGCGAGGTCAATGTTCTGTTCGCACCAGCCAACGACCACGAGCATGAGCTATTTGGAACTTGGTGGGACGCCACTGTCGTTGACTACAATGCTGTCACTATGTTGTACACTGTCTTTATAAGAAGGCGTAAGTTAATGTTCAGCAATGTGGCATTGTGATTCAAACGACTTACGGAGTTGCTGGATCAATATCTGTAGACAAACAGGTAAAGACCAAGAGAAAGATACCTTGGGTGTGGAGTTCATTACCAAGGGCAATCATCTGACGTTGGAAAGAGATGAGATTGTCCATGGAGGATACGTCATCTACAAACCTGCGCGTGGAGGAGCATTCCGAGCAGGTGCCATCCAAACGCACAAGGGCGACGAGGCAGTCTCAAAAACTCCCGCTGGCAACGATAAATGTATGATCACTGTTGAGTTGCTTCCAACAATCAATGATACAAACGACGAGGTCAAGCTTGTCCGCTGCACAATCAATTGTTGTGCGAGGCTGCATATCTCTCGACAGCAGTTAATGAGTACTGGATGCTTTCAATTATAAAGAATCGTATTTAATATATATGACTGGAGTTGACATGTAGACAAGCATATAGTGAGTGAAGTGACGTCTTATAGTCACAACCTGCATCTTGTTATTGTTGTTATTGTTGGTTGATGATCTGTTCCAACGCGACTGCTGCTATTGTACTTTGTCTCACTTATACATTGTTTTGTATAAGTGCAAGTGGATGGTGCTGTTGTTGCCGCGTGCTTGTAGTCAAAAGACCAGGCATCCCTCCTGTTAGAGAGTCTGTTACATTTTTCACTTTTTCTTCTCTCACACCAGCTCAAGTACATGCACCGCACCAGTGAGATAGTCATTCACATCTATACCAACATCTTCAATACATACAAGACTAGTGATAGACTGACTCATCCCACAGGTATCAACACGAGCTCGCCAACCCTCGCTAGATACATCACATTGGTTATAGACACACCTACGCTATAACACCTCCTGGCTGACTGGAAGGCCTTCCACGCTTCCCCTTTGATGGATCAAGACTCCAAGAGTTGAACATGTTCCTAGACTACAAGTTGTATAACAATATCTATTAAAGGTTAAATTGCAGTAGCCGAGGGGCACATAAAGCATAGTTCTCCTACCTGAATTTTTTCCATTCTTGGACGACAAATAATTATTTTTAATTAAACTTAACACGCACCTTGGTTGTCCCCGAAGTTTCACACACCTTTTGACAAGACGTCGCTTTCCTTATTCGCTCATTGGGGGTCAGACTTATCGAAGGGTCTCAGGCTTTGAGGGCAATTTCAACTGATCAATCGATTTATTTGGAAGCGACCTAGCAGAATCACGAGTCGTGATTCACGACGACACACCCGAGTGACAACAAGAGGACACAAATCGACTCTTCCCATATTCATTTACCTCACTCACTGGGATGATGCCAGAATCGCGCGGTGGTCATTGCGCGAAATGATCAGCACCGCCACCAACTACCAGCCATCTAACGACACTAGAATCGTTAATAAATAATAATTATCATTTGGTTGTAATGATGCCATTATAATGGTGTCAGTCAGACTGATGATTCATTTCATTACAACATATTGTTTGTGGAGTCCTAGAACTGTTTGAATATCCTCCGGCTCTGGTATCTTGCCAGGTTCGCGCAACGTTTTGTTGACAAAGGTGAGGTTGTTGAGGAACAGGGTGATCTGGTATTTGATTTTCTCCATCCAATAGGTGACAGAACATTCCGGTGAACCCTTCTTCACAACTAACGAACTGTGTCAGTGCATATCCAATTCTGTCATCTTCGTACTCCACAATTGGTAGTGCCTTTTGATATAAATATAATACCTGGCCAGGATACGAAGAATGTTCAATTGTTTGAATTCTATCACTTGAGTTCATTGCAGTTAGTATTACTCAGATGAGCAGAGTTCTTTAACAACTTACCATTCGACCCTGGACGTCATGTCAATGATAGCAATCCATTGAGAAAGGATTTCACTGTTAAATCCCTTGTTGAGGAGATATTGTTTGATAACAGTGTCATCCTTAGATTCCAATGCCCTTTGCAACCATATCCAAATCTGAGGTTCTCTGATGTATCTTGGGTAGTCCAAAAGTGGTCCATAAAAAATTTGTAGAGTGGTGTAGAGGAGGTAGTCGGCTGAAAGCCGTCTTTGTTGGTCATTGCCAGCAACATGTGTGAATAGGGGGCTGGCCAACAGTTCCTGAATGATCAACTGGTTCCAGGTATGGGGGTATCCATTGGTTGCCACGAATTGAAATGTCCAACCTGAATGTGACAGTGTGCGAAGATTGCGCAAATGAATTGTATCGATATCGTATTGATAAGAGAACGACAATATCTTTCCTGCTTGAGATCGAGAAAGGAGTTTGCTGTTGGTAAACAATGATGTGCAGAAGATACATGGGAAGTGATAGGTGTAGATTTCGATTGATTTGGCTTTGATGAGTAAATGTTTGGTGTTGTCTCTTTCAAAATATCTCATGATTACTTGTTCGGTGTGCCAAAATGCTCCACTGGGGTACGATCTATCCAATTTTTGAAAGCGTTGGAGGATGAATGTGTTGCGAAGTTTGTGGACACCCTTGTTGTTGTTGTTGTTGTTGTTCAGCAGTTTGTTGTTGGGAGTTTCTTTCAAGATTTGATTCCACGCTGCCTTGTCACTGAAGTTGATAAGTGTTGCAAAGAGGAGTGGATCGTTATCATCTGCTACTAGTTCTGCCTCTATTATCAAGCCTGATCTGTAGCGAATCTGTCCAAATAAGAAATCTTCAGGGAAGTCCGCAGTATGGGGAATCCAACCATTGATGGCTAAACAACCCCATTGACCAGTAAATCCAAGGTTGAGATGACCAGACTCTACAGTACTAGCTAGGTTATCTGACAAGGCAAGTGCAACAAAAAGTGCAAGGTGAAATAATATGAATATTTGTTTCATGTTGGCTGTGTTGATCGATGAATGACCTTGTTGTTTTTGGTTCAATGTGAACCACACGAACTAGAAGAAACTTCACCTGGCAGTTACATAAAAAACAATTTAAAAATAAATAAATTCTCACAGGTCGAGTTCTTATGTGTCATTGACTCAAAAGCAATTGAGTGTTTCTCATGCCAAAAAGTCTCATTTGTATTGTGGGTCCCCAAATATACTTGTATTTGAAATCAACCCAACTTACACCTCTCCTATCTCACAGCCACTACACAGCTGGTGGTATCATGACAGATTGACCAGCATGTTGGACTGGCTTCTTATTATAARATATTTATTTGTCAACCATCCTTTTATCRATATATTAGATAAAGTCAATATTCAATCATGTCTATCTTATGCTCTGGTGTCAAAGCGATGGTTCATATCAGTGTCACAACTAGCTCCTGTCTCCTTCACACTTCCTCTTCGTGACGTTCACTTCATCGATAGATGCTTGTCTTTGCTGTCGGAAATTGCGCACAACAACGAGTGCCAACAACTGCACATTGATCGACACTGGATCAAGAAGGTGACGATCGATTGTGTACTGGACGATCTTATCCTACACGAGCTCGAAAACTATGACCTCAAAGACAATGCCAAGCTTGTTGTCAACAACCTCTATCTTTTGTTCCCCAACATCTGGCAGGCCTCTCTCAACTATGTTCCAACCTTCTATAGCTTCAACAACGCATATATATATCACTTTGGCATGCTGCCCACAAATGTTCCACTCTCTGTCGTTGTCCTGCCTGGCCAATTGGAGCAGTTCCTCAATCATGTACAACAGGGCGATGTTTCGGTCAAGCATTTGACAACAACGAGATGGCCAACGGGCCAGTTGCCTCCCAACATACACTCGATGACTCTCAACATGAATCTATCACAGAGATACATCAATATCGCCATGCCCCACAACAAACTGCAAACTACATCACATGCTCTGGACTTGGGCAAACTCAGAAAGCTTCACTTATTCGACTACTACCTTGACGACCAGGATCTGGCCACAGCCTTCAGTTCCCCAACGCTCAAATCAATCATGATATGTGTCCCCTACAATCCTCACTTTGGCCACACTGGCGGCCACAATGGTTCTGCTACACTCTGCAACGATATCTTTGACAACCTGAAGCGAAACACCACTTTGGAGTCGCTGCGCATTATGGAGCATTGTTATCCAGTTGATCAGTATCCGGTGGCCGACACAGTGGTCGTTGATGCAGTCAATCAAAGCCTCGCAGACTCGTTGACGCACCATCGATCACTTCGTAAGCTTGGATTTCTATACTCCAAGTCCTTGGTCAGCAACAAACTCCTCACGGCCATTGCGAACAATAGGAACATTAGCAAGATCGAACTGATGTGCGATACACTGGATGACGGTTTACTGCGCCATCTCTCAGAGTCTCTTATCGGTGCTCACAGTTGTGTTTCATCACTCAATCTCTCTTCAAACTTTGGTATCTCCAACGAACAACCAATCGTTGAGATCATAACGCGACTACAGTCACTCAAGCAACTCATTCTCTTGAATCTCCGCAACCTATCTCAACATGAGCAGCAGGCCCGTATAATCAACTCACTGGATTGGCACCATGTACTACAGTACCTCCATCTAAGCGTCTGCTCCAAGGCACAACTCCATCCAACTCATCGCGCAGGAGTTACAATTATTCAAGAGATGTTTGATTACACTGTCCACACAAAGTATGATCCCAACAACTATTACCAAAGGATCCGATCCTCATCCCCGTCCTCAGTGTCATCAGATTACTACAGCGACGATGACTCCCCTCAACCTCCTTGGCCAATTTACTTATTGTAATGACAATAAAGTTTGTCTTACCAAGCTTGGAACGTGTTGCCTATGGCGGAGGTAGTCGTGGTGATGCGGTCGTGGCAGTGGCTGGGCGACAGAGAATGTACATCGATGCCAAGGGCGACAAGTCTATCGAGTCACTACAAATTCTCTGCACTAAAACTTACCCACTCACCGGTAAGATTTGACAGTCACACCTTGGCGAATGGGTCCCACTTCAAAGTGTGGGGGAACAATCTTTGTCTAAAATGTTCCCGCACATGGGCGAACCAGCCATCATTATGATTACTCAGTTATCATTTTCATTACATCAATGAATTATGATTGAATTGTGATGAATGACATTATTATTCAATTATAATTCACTGATGATAAATAGATAGATACTATAAATATAGATAGATATATATATAAATGGTTAGATGAAGAAAGAAGTCAGTAGTTAGCATTCAGCAGATAGCAGTCATCATTGAACAGAACAAATATATTACGACAGCTTCCATTCTTGGTCGCACTTGTCCAACTACATCTTATGTCTACACTCTGCCACTAATTGTATAGATTGGCCGCACATTTATCATACATTCAATCTTTCATACATTCAATCTCTCATTCAATCAATCATTCGGCGACGATGTCATGGATTGCTTACTACAGAGGTAAAGTGATCCAGTTCAGTATCCGTCAACGGCTTGACAGTGCTTCACATTATAGGTATCTTTGGACCAAGCCGAGCCATGACTGCCAACAGCCTCTCCTTCACTCGCTTACCAACTCTGCTACCATCCACCTCAATCTTCAAACATGTCTCTAGCCATTTGAAATGATTCTTTACATAAGTTCTGATGACAGCCACCAGGACATGCAATAGATCAGGTACCATATGACTTGTTTGGATACAGGTGATCAATGGAGCATTGTTGTATCCACCGTTGGTCCTCGCTGGTCCTGTCGGCTTCTCAAGAGGGATAATTCTTGGCCGTACGCCCTCTGGATCAATCGAAGGTACCAGGATTCGAGCCATGTCAGCCTTCTTGATCATGCACCACACGCATCTAAAGTTGCTAACTGTCTTGTAAACAAGCATATAGTCCAAGCAGGAAGACAAAGACAAACCATGTCAACTACTAATATAACTATAGGTTTGTAGACTTTGTCATTGAACTCCTAAATAAACAAATAAATAAATAAATAGTTATGTTAGTAACACATTCATCAAAACAAATAACAATGAATCACTCAATCATTCATTCATTCAATCATTCAACATTTCATACAGATAATATAGATATATAACAGTTATAACATATATATATATATATAATATAACACTTACATAGGTATTCAGATTGTTCAGGGCAGATAGATGATCATGGAACTTGCTCTGACTGAACCAAATTGACAAGTTTGAATAAGTCTCCTCCCCATTGGCCACAAGGAATTGATACACATTGTAGGACTTCAAGGTAGAGGTCTTCTTGGAGTCGTACACCAACTGCATTGTGCCACTCTCTTGATTCTTGCTGCGCTCGATTGTGTCCTCCTTGAACATAATGGCTCCATCAACATCAACCTTGACAATCACTATTGAATACGTATGTCGATCGGTGGGTGTCAGTCAATTGTACTGTCATGTCTAGTAGTATTGAAACTTACCAACTTCATCTTCTGGCTCCTCTGCCTCCATAGCATCCTTAAATAGCTGATAGAAGTCGTAGTAGGCATAATGAGTTGGAACAGCACCGGCAGCATTGATGGTGTTGATCTTAAGCATTGTCTCTTCAATCTTTGTCTCGAGCTGCTTGGATATCTTCTTCATCTGCTGGAGAGAGAAGTCCCCAGGGTTCAAGTTGGCAGAATGGAGGACATACTTCCATTTGTTGTCGGTGATACCAAGGACATAACGCATCAGCCAACGCAACGATATCGACCTGGCCAGCTCGAAACGTTCCAGCGTCTCTGTTGGCTTGTACTTCAAGTTTAAGCTCCTTCTTCAGTGCGTACTCACAGCCAGGACACTGGCTGGGCACTGACACCTTCTTGTGGTGTTTGGTACCCCAGACATGACGACTGAAGTCCTTCTTCTGTATTTGTTTATCACATCCAATGTGGGAGCACTTCCTCATCCAGTGAGCATGCCAGATCTTTTGGTCAATTGATTGGAGCTCATCATGGTCCAACTGTGCGACCTGTCTGGCGACATGTCGTGACGATGACCCTTCCAACTGAATGCCATCGAATGCCTTGTGGAGCAATTTGGAGAGTTGAACAACTGGACTATGGCTCTCGTTTGGTTCGTGGATGCATTCAAGCACAGCAACAGCCACGTCATCTGTAAGAGGATCATCAACACCTTCACTGCTGCTCGTGTCACTACTAACCATATCCTTTATCGTCTGTAGCATCGACTCCCTTGTTTGACTGATGTCACCCGACAGACATGCACCAACCACTCTTGCAATATGCCAAATCATTGACAAAAGATGTTGCTCTGAGTATGGAGATGGTGGATCACTTGGGCCATCATCATCATCATCGTCTGACGACACCGTGGGTGATGTCGTTGAGCTGGCTGCCGTCCTGTTTGTTCTGGTCGACGAAGCGATGGTCGTTGGCCTTCTCCTGATCGGCGCGCGCGCGCTGGTCGTTGGCCTGGTGGTCGAGACCCTGTTGGACGAGACTCTGGTGGACGAGGCGATGGTGGACGAGACCCTGTTGGACGAGACTCTGGTGGACGAGACTCTGGTGGACGAGGCGCTGGTGGACAAGGCGCTGGTGGACAAGGCGATGGTGGACGAGGCGATGGTGGACGAGGCGATGGTGGACGAGTCGCTGGTGGACAAGGCGCTGGTGGACAAGGCGATGGTGGACGAGTCGCTGGATGAGGCGATGGTCGACTCCGTCTCCATCAATTCATTGTGTATGCTTGGCATTGGCATACTGATCAAAGGCGAACCACTGGTAGCACTGACCGATGAACTAGATGTGACAATTGACTCGCTGGGTGTAGTTGACACCAATGCGCTTTGCTGCCGTTGTTGTTTGGCCATCCTCTTTCGACATATGATGCAATCAAATCCCATAGCAGCACAGTGGTGTGTAGTCTTGGAAGAATGACTATCACGAGCATTCTTAGTCGCGAACCCCTGGCCATTATTGTTGTTACATTCACTATGCTGACAATTAAGTCTGGCAATGGATGAACCATCCACTGGTGGAGCGAGTCGCGCTCCTGGTTTGGTCATTATATATATAACTACCTAATTTCAACTAACTGTACATGTCCAACTTGATCAATCACTTGGTTGCACAGGTGATCAAGTTGGACATGTACAGTTAGTGATCACCACGTGATTTAAAAATGAATATAAAATGCAGATAACTCTTCCATATGGAGGTTGACCTTCATTCTTGGGTAAGTTTTTCGTTACGTTACCTCATGCAAAATGAACCAACCCACGCAAGACTCGTCGTCGTTTTCCACGATTTTTATTGCAGAGAATTTGTAGTGTACCTGATCGATGAACTTCTTGAACAGCATGTTGCCGTTGACCCTGCCAGTTGGGTAGAGTAGGGCATTGTGCTTGTTGTCRTTGATCAGGTTGAATGTAAGYCCTAGCTCCTGGGCAAAGGTGAGGTCGTAGTGAGTATAATAGTTGTGCTCGCTGGGTCTGAATGCTCGATGCTCACCTTTAATGATTGCCCTGTAGATGCCAAAGGGGAAGCGAGACTTGGCGCTGAGCTCCTCATCAGTCAGTTGATGGAACTCGCCTTTCTTGATGGGTACTGAGAATGTGCTGCTCTTCATGATGGCGGCGTACATGCCAGAGACGTCGTACTTGTAGAGAGGGCCAGTGTATGTGTCGGCAAACCTCAATGGTCCATTCGATGCCTTGGATATCCACTTGGCCTCCTCCTGTTCGATGATATCTGGAATGACATGCTTGTTGTACTTGCTGAATAGGTTGAGGGCCTTGTTAATGTTTGATCCTGTAAAGTACAAGTCGATGACGCCATTAAAGGTACCGGTACCTTCTTTGAGCGCGTTGGCGTCTTTGATGAAGTCCAGCCATGTCTCCTCCAGCGTCTTGATGGGCTTCTTGCTCTTCCTCTTCTTGGCTGCCTCCACTTTGATGTATCGACACTTGCCGTCGAACTTTTGTTTCTTGAGCTCATCGATGAGCGATGACTTGCTCATCGTGCTGTATGTCGTGCCATTGTAGAGCTGCACTTGATCATTGTCGTCGTCCCACTTGTACGCCATGACTGGCAGTATCCTGTCATCGTTGTATCGCTTGAGGATGATGCCCTTGGGCTCAAAGGTGCCCTCCTTGTCTAGTGTGTAGTGCTCGTTGGTTAGTTTGAGGTGGACAACTCTGACGTAACTCTCGGTCGAGATCTTTCATTAATCACCTTTGACATTGATGCGCCCTCTTCATCCTCGTTGTCATTGTCGCCGCTTTCGCTGTGGCTATTGCTGTTGGTTGTTCTCCCATGGTGGTACTGTGCCGTTGCGTCCCTTCATCGTGTCTTCAAGGTAACTCAACTGTTCTTTCTGGACCTCGACTCTGCACATATCTTTAAGTTGCTCCTCGAAGGTGTTCGTCAGCGCGTAGAAGTCAGTATCATCGTTGAATTCTAACGAGTCGATGAGCGCGTTGATTTGAGCAGCCAGCATCGGGAACATTCTCAATGCAGTGGTCCTCTCTCGCAAAGATTCCAAGTATCCATCTTTGAAATACAACAATGGTGTCTCGATCAAACGCTCTAGCTTGCTCGCACAATTATCCAATGACGAGCTCTGAAATGTCCAATACTTTTTGTGTATCCAACCATTGTCAATGGGAGTAGGTTTATCTACACCATTCTTACGCACCCTCCCATGAGTCACTCGGGCACCACTGCAACCTGATCGCATGGCGCACTTTGATACTATTAGTTGATGATAAATTCATTGGTACTTAGAGCAAACACTTACCTCCTTGTTTGGTAGTTGGTCAAAGTAGTTTTCGAGGTAGTGTTTCAATGTTGACATGTTGTTGGGATAATAAGTTTAGAATTATTTGTTGGCCATCAAGTGTTTGTGAATGTGGCTCTGGTTGTCCAAATGGTGTTTGAAGTTCACCAAAAAATTAACGATTATCAATTTAAATCAATATCTGATCAGTGGTGCTTGATCATTTGGTCAGTGGTGCTTGATCATTTGACAATCAGAGCCAAATTCACAAACACTTGATGGCCAACAAATATTGTTTAGACCCCAGTTGTGCCTGCCATAGCCTCACAAATGAGCAACTGGTTCTTCTTGATGCGTCTCTGCACCACCTACGTTACGAGTTAAATATGCTCTGCACGGCCCTCAATATGGTATGTATCTATCTATACATATACTTATAGGTCGACTAACAATTTATGTAGGATTTATCATCAGTTTCTGATTTCGTCAAGAACACAGTTGTTGAATCTGCAGCAGTTCACTGGCGACAGATTTATGAGGCTCTCCACAATCAACCAAAAAAAAGAGTTCCTGACGACTTGCATCCCTATCACTGGGACAGCAGCAAGTACGGATTGAAACACGATCCCAAACATCCACTCCCGTCTCTCACTTCAGACCCAGATCTCAAAGAGAGAGTTGACCAACAAATCGTCCACCTGACTGCTCTCAGATATGGAAATGGAACAAGTGTCAAAGTAAGCCGTGCTCATTTAGGCCCAACTACCAAAGAGTTTATCCAGTACATCAATGCCTTGCTGGCTCGTTTCAGCATCCTAAAACACCGCTTCGAGGATCTGGACAATAATAAGAATGTTGGTTTCTTCCCTGATACTGGTGTGCCTACTGTGCCAGTTGCCCTTCCTGGAATCTCCCTCCCAATATCATACACGAGTCCTACGGGTCCATTCTCAACACTGCCAGCGCCAGCGCTAACCCCGACTTCAGGTCCGAGTGGTACAGTCCCCAGTTGCATGTTAAGCATGCCCCCAACTCCACCCTCTACTACAAGAGTCACAGATATGTCTGGTTCATTCGTCGAGGACAAGTAGATGCTAGTCATCTGTCAACATTAAAGATGTAATCTTCCATCCCCTCCTCTCCAACAACCCCAATCACTCACCACATCCTCTCAGGGAGTCTCAGGGATGATCAACTTATCCAAAAAGAGTAACAGTGTCCAAACAGGGAGCCAGGGAGTCGATGGTGGAAGAAATTAAAGAATACAAATAATTTCTTCTATTATTAAAAAGTTTCCACCATTGACTCCCCAACCTCCCTATGTCGATACACATCCTCTTTTTCCCCAAATTCCCTATCCCCATTCCCCTCCCTTCCCTCCCCAAGTTGCGACAGATACACTTTTTGTTCTATTATTATTATTATTATCCTCCCCAAACTCCCCAAAAAAAATAATAATAATAAAAGAGAGAAGTTAAAAGAATATAAAATTAATAAAGTTGAAGGAAATAATGGAATCAGCGAAGCGGATGTAATGTTGGATAGGGGGCCCCCTGAGTTATACACACACTGGACACTCGCACTCGCAACAACCAACCTAACAAGGAAACCAAATCTCTTGCCAACTACTGGATTCCAATACGACAATGGTTTCAAGTTCATGGCGAATCCAGTCAAGAGGATACCCCTCGCAGCTGATCTTAGTCTTCGAGATATGGTTACCAATTCAACGCCACAGTAATTACCCAATCGCTCAATCAACTGACTAAGTCTCTCCTTTTCGAACTTCTTTTACCATGGTCTCAATGAGAGTAGATTGGAATAGTTCAACTAAGATGCCTTGGAAAACATTGTTTAATTTTAATACTCTGGAAACTACCATAGTTTACTTTGGCATTAAAGATGTGGATTATTTATTAACCATATTTGTTTCTTGAATTGACTTTGAAGACAGAGCATGGCGGTATTGTTATCAATCAATCTTAGTCGATATATACAACTGGTTGCTTGGAATTCAATAACATTGACATTTGGAAATAAATGCAACATGAAACTAACGCAACAGATCAATCCTAGTGTTGGATATTGTTGACATGTACTAATGTCATAACAATCGTCATTGTCCTCTGGGTTCATTTCTATATACAGTGTGTCCGATGCAATGACCATTGGGGCTGGCACTTCAGTCAATAAACCATCCACATTATCATCGACATCATATCTACAAATAAATGATTCTCTAAATTGCATTAAATCAATGACCTTGATCGACTCAAAGTGATAACTTTGACGCGCCATAGTGTTGCCAATGCATTTGACCAATCTGATTTGATACATGTCAGAGAATTCCAGATTGACAAGGGTCTCAGGTAGCCAATCCAGGTCAAAACTAAACTTTCTGCGCAGTCTCAATGAGATGAGGCCAGTTGGCAAGTTGTCCTCAGTAAGAGGTTGGTTAAAATAGCAACCAAACTTAAGGTCGGTGATTGAGTTTGGTAGCGTCTTTGGTTCGATGGGATGATTGAAGCCAGATCCAAAAATGAGATTGGTAAGAGTTGGTGGAAGTGATCCAGGTGTGATCGGTTTTGAATAGTCCTGGCCAAGCTCCAACTTGGTGATGCCCGCTGGAAGGAAATTGTCAATCACTTGATTAAATCCAAAGTTCAAAGATAGTGATCTCAAAGAGCTTGCCATTGTCATAGGTAGTGTTTGGCTGGAAGTATCCCAATCACTGCCCGACCAATGGAGTGATATGAGTGCCATGGACTTGAGTTGGGCAATCTGTTTGAAGCTCGTGCACACACGTAGATGCAGAAGGGAGCTTGGAAGTATGCCCTCGCCTACCAAGTCATGAGTGTAGTTCGTGCCAAGTAATGTCAATTGCTGGAGTGATGTTGGTAGTGCACCAGGAATGAATGGGCGATTATAATATAGACCAAGCTTGAGTACTTTGAGTTTGGCAGGGAGTACTCCTACCCCGAATGTTTGATTGTACTTGACATCCATCAATAGCTTCTTCAATGATGATGGCAGTGAGCCAACTTTGAACTCCTGATCATAACTCCATCCAAACTCCAACTTGGTAAGAGATTGAGGGAGACTGTTTGGAGTGATTGGCTGGTTGAAGCTGATGCCCAGGTAGAGCCTGGTGATTGATGATGGCAATGTACCAGGCTCAATCTGCTGGTTAAAGTACCTGTAGATGCCCAACCGTTTGAGTGATGGCACTTTGGCCAGGGTGTCCATGTTAAGTGTATCGCGATAGACGATCATGGAAAGATGAGTGATTGATGGTCTCAGGATGCTGGACAGAAGTGAGTTTGATCCCAAATCAACTACCAACTTTGTGATGGTTGATGATGATGAATCCGAACCATATTGTATTGGTTTGGTATACCTAACCTTCATACTTTCTATTGTTGGATGCCTCCATCTGTTTATCAATATGTTATGCAATCGTTTACAAGTCATTGACAATGATGCAATATCATCAATATTAGTCAATGATCCATCACACATTGATCTAATGATAATAGTTGGTAATTGATCCATTATATATATATCTTTGTCTTATTATATGATCATCTGATCATCTGATCAATTCAGTGCACTCAAGTGCACTACCGATCAGATGATCACAATCACACCACACAATAAATTTGATTAGTATGAACTTAGAAAGAATCTGGTCAAAGTTATACAATGAATACAGAGGAGGCGGTATCATTACAACATAGTATATTCAGCTTTATTAACATTGGCGACTCAAACAAGGCCATTAGATTGCTGGAAGATGATGCTACATTGTTGTTTGCGACAGAGGACCACTATGGTCTAACAATCTTACATCTGGCCGCTCAGAAACGAATGGCTACACTGATCAAACACATACTCAAGACTTCGCAGGCATTCGATCACTTTGACATTGACAAACTAGACTCAAACAACAACACGGCACTTCACTACTCATGCGCTGACTCCATCGCAGAGATCTCGTCGTCAGCCGCCACCCAGATGCTGATGTCTCAAGGCGCACCATCATCACCGAACGCACAACAACAGGTGGTGGTGTTGAGTGATGATCATGATGAACAAGACTACGAGTCGAGGGAGAGTCGACAGCTGGACATTGTGAAGAGACTGCTGGACAAGGGAGCCGATCCCATGGCCAAGAACAAGTTGAACTTGCAGCCCATACACCTGGCCACCAAGTCAGCGTCATATAGCGTATCTGCACTGCTCGTTGAGTATGGTGCAGACGTCAAGCTGCCACACGAGAAGCTGCTTGACGTTGACTTTATGTCACTTCAACTCAAGTCCCTGTTGCCACTGTCGAGCTACGAGCAGCGACGAAGCGACGAGAGGAAACAGAAGATCGTTGAGAGGTTGGGTGGCACGCGAGGTGTCGTCAAGGATGGCCCAACATGTCTACACTATGCACTTGGCAATGTATCAGCATTGCTGCGACAGATCAAGGAGCTGCACTCGATGAATGTGGAGGCAGAGTCGTTGTGGGGCCGAGACATACCCTATGTGTCGCTCATTCAATTGTTGCTGAGCAAGGGTGTCAATCCCAATGCCATCGACATTGTCACTGGACACACGCCACTCTCAGAGTTCATTCATCGATTCCCAGACACAATGGAGCTGTTGGAGCAATATGGACTATCAGGGGGACAACAGCAGCAGAAGTTGCTGCGCGATCATTTCATTGTCGTGTTCCGAAGGATACTCAATCTGATTGTGATCGATCATTCATGCGACCTATCCCTGTGCGACCAGCCAAGCATGGACGGCATGGAGTCCGGAGACAATGTGCTGACAAACTCTTCATCAAAGCCATCAAAGTTGTTGCCGCTAGTATGTTTGTTGCAAACAATCAAGAGTCTTGGAAGTGGCACGGACAAGGTATTGGAGGCAAAGAACAGCAAGGGTCAGACAGGACTGTTTGTCGCATGCTCAGTGGGCAACATTGATGCTGTTGGACGGTTGCTAGAGGCTGGTGCCGACGCCAACACATCGGATACATTCGGAAACACACCAATACACGAAGCGTTATCATTCGGATATTCAGACATTGCCAAGAAGTTGGTTGCATGTGGCGCCGACGCCAGTCGACCAATGGCCGTATTCCCACAGTCGACACCATTGCATGTGGCCGCCCAACAAGGTGACCTTGACCTCGTGGAGTACTTGCTCAGACATGGTGCACTGCTTAGCGCGCTTGATGGGGAGAAGCGAACTCCAGTTCAAGTGGCCGAGAGCGATGAGATTGTCGACTTCCTGCAAGGACACGTTCAGGTGGAGTTGGTCAACAAGTCAATGTTTGTGTTGCCAAAGTATGACTTTCAGCGCGAGTTGGACGTGGCCATTGGGAATCAATATGGAAATGTAGCGAGCAGGACACTACGAGTGATTAGCAAGACTGATGAACAGGTCACAATCCAGCTGGATCAGACATTGTTGGCCAGTGGACTGTCCATCAAGATCAAGAGGAAGGGCGACACATTATTCAAGTTCATCAAGCTTTATCATCGCACTTACCTACATCTAGTTGCGGCGATACAAGAGCGATTCAATGAGGGTAGCGCATCGATCGACAGTTTCCAGCAATCAATCAAGACCATTATATTGCTACCAAACGTTCTGATACAGTCTGATCGCGACCTAGAGTTCCTTGTGGATAGAGATGAGTTGGAAGTGGAGTTCAAATGATTGATTAGTTGGAAGATTGATTGATTGGATGATAGCCAATAAAACATATACTTTATACTTTATTGTTAACTTATGTTCGTGCTGCTGTTGCCCTGAGCACGGTGGTCTGAGCATCGACCAGTTGTCTGAATCGACTGTTTGTTCGGATGAGTGCTGAGGGGTCGTCGTACTCGACGAGGCTGCCTTTGTCAATGACCATGATGCGATCGCTGTCAATGATGGTGTCCAGACGATGTGCGATCGTCACAACAGTCCTGTTGGCAAAGTTATTGGCAATGACTGTCTTGATGAGTGCATCGGTATGATAGTCCAATGATGCTGTGGCTTCGTCCATCAGAACGATGGGGGATGTACTGAGGATGGCGCGCACCAGACAAAGCAGTTGCTTCTGGCCCACTGAGAATCCATCGCCACCCTCGTCCAGCATGGTCTCGAGCTCCAATGGCATTGCCTTGATCACTTGCTTCATGTTCACCTTCTCCAGTGCCTCCCACAGCTCAAGGTCTTGATGCTTGTTGAACGGGTCGAGGTTCATTCTTACAGAGCCTGAGAAGATGAATGGGTCTTGAGGGATGACGGCCAGTCTGCTGCGAAGGTCGCTTAGTCCAATCTTGGTGATGTCTACGCCATCAATGACGATGGTGCCTTGGCTTGGCTCGACGAGTCGGAACAAAGCCAGTCCAACGGTGCTCTTGCCTGCGCCAGTTCTGCCAACCAGTCCTACCTTGTGCTTGGACTCGATCTTGCAGTTGAGGTCGCGAAGGCTTGGGTCCAAGCCAGGTCGATAGCGAACCTCAAGGTTGCGGAACTCGATGCGGCCCTCTGTGGGCCAGCTGTCAGGTGGTCGGTTGTCCTCGCACACTCGCTGACCCTCGGACGGGTTGTTTGCGTACTCTAGGACTCGCTCCACCGATGTCATTCTGACCTCGAGCTCGGTGAACTGTCTGATGGCCCAGTTGAGGATGCCTGTGATACTGATGGCCGATGATACGGCCATGCCCGCAATACTTGGGGAGATGTTGGAGGAGATCATGCTAAAGACTGCGGCGCACAGAACCATCAGACCGGTGAGCATCTCGAGGTTCATGCCTAGCCATCTGTTGACGGAGAAGTTGTGGTAGAACAGACGTTGGTTCAAGTCGGTGTGTTGTTCAAACGCTTGAATGAAGCGTTGTTGTTGTTTGAACGAGCGGATCGACAGCATTCCATTGAATGACTCGCCCAAGTGGCTGTAGATGGGACTTCTCGTGATGGCATCCATACGCTTGAGGTCGCGGCTGGTCGAGCGATAGAACTTCTGGATGTAGAAGTAGTACACTGAGAGCAAGCTGAATGGGATCGCAATGTAGGGCGTGAGGTAGATCATCTGGAGCACAGAGATGATGACCGATGTGCCACAGGTGAGCACATCGTTGATTGATTCGACAACGAGCAAGTCGACGTCGGACATGTCCTTCGAGAAACGGTTGAGGATACGTCCCGAGGGATTGCTGTCAAAGAATGAGCAGGGCGAGTAGAATACGCCGTTGACCAATCGCTCGTGCATCTTCTTTGCTGCGCGGAGTGTGAGGAAGATGATTGATCGGAGCTTGAGGACGACGAAGAAGCCAAATGCAACGATGAACAGAGTGTAGATGCGGAGGTAGAACATGTTGCCAGGGTCTGGCTTGATTGTGGCGTTGGTCCAAACAAGCAGCCAGTAGTCTGAGCCTTGGATGGTCATCTGGGCCACGACGTATGATGCGATCACCATCAGATAGAGGATGGTGGGGCCGCCAGACTTGAAGTAGGGGATGAAGGTCGACTTACCCACGGCACCGACCTTGCGCTCCTCCACTGTGAACAGCTTGCCCTTGAGTTGCTCCATTGGGTCGAGCGCACGCAAGTCCTCGATGATGCAGTTCTCAATCTTGATGTGCTTGGCAGCATCGATCGACTTCTTGAGCTCTGCGGCGGCTGCTGTGCTGGCCTGATCAGGCTGGTCCTGTTCCTCCATGTCGATCTGTTTGGTCTTCATGATGCTCTCAAAGTCGATGCCTTGCGTGGTGAGCTCGTCGTATGTGCCTTGAATGATGCGGCCACCATCCATGACGATAATATGGTCGGCTGAAGGGATGAACTGGAGTTGATGTGTGACCAAGACTCGGGTCTTGTTGGCCATGACTCCTCGGATGCAGTGCTCAAACAGATGCTTGCCGACTTCGGCGTCGACAGCGGACAACGGCTCATCCATAACGTAGGCCTCGGCATTGGAGTAGAGACAGCGTGCCAATGAGATACGCTGCTTCTGGCCACCAGACAAACTGACACCACGCTCGCCAATCTCTGTAAGATCCTTCAGGGGGAAACCAATGAGGTCGGGCTTCAAGCTGCATGCCTCGATCACGTTGAGATACATCTCCTTGATGTAGGGCTTGCCAAATAGAATGTTGTCGCGTATCGATCCACCCAAGATCCAAGGAATCTGCGGAGTGAATCCAATGTAATGTGGTGCGGTCAAAGTGCCCGATGTCTTTCTGATCTCACCAATCAGCGCGGACACCAAGCTGGTCTTGCCCTCGCCGACCTTGCCGACAATGACAGTCAGCTTGCCCTTTGGCGCGACCATACTGATGTTGCTCAGCACAGGCGCAGGCTCGTCCTTCTCTGCCTCGATGGCATTATCAAGAAGGGGGAACATTGTGGTGGTTGATGATGAGGTGTCGTCCAGTGGCAGTTGTACGTCGATGATCGCGGAGGCCTTCTTTGCATCCTCCTTGTCATCCTTGACATCCTCCTCCTCATCCTCAAACTGACCGTCGTGCCATGTGAATGTGCCATTGACAATCCTGAACTCTGATGTCGAGTTCTCCACCGAGTTATTGTTCTCCAAGAGGTCGTCGTTCGTGTTCTCGGGCGTCTGGAGGAAGGCCTCGATACGCTTGCCACATGTCTTCATCTTGAGTGATCGCTGTAGGGCCTCGGGCCACATTTGGATCGGGTTTCGGAGAATGAAGAAGATGGTCAGCGCAGTGAACGCTGTCTTGGCTTGCAGTGTGTGGCCAGTGGCAATGTACGTGGCAAAGGTAACGAGCAACACCACTCCGTTGGTGACCTGCATCAGTGTCTGATCCATGGAGAACGTGGACAGATGCTTCTTGTTGGCCTCCATCTGATAGTCGCGCTGCGTTGTGATTCGCTGGATGAAGAACTCCTCCCAGTTGTAGAGCTTGAGGAAGCGGATGCCGCTGATGAACTCGCCAATGAGCTTGATGCGCTCGTCCGAGAAGGACATGGCGCGCGCAAAGAATCCATTGATGCGCGTGTTGAGATAGGTGGACAGGGGAACGCTGAAGCCCATCGTGACGAAGCCGACCAGGCCCGACGGGCCAATGACGTAGGTGAGCAGCAAGAGCAGCAGCGTGATCTGGATGGGGAACAGGAAGATGTCCATGTACGAGTTCCAAAAGAACTCGCCAAACACACCGACGTCCACAGAGATCAAGTTCATCAGCTTTCCATTGAAGTTGCGTCGCGATGAGTTGTTGAGGCGGAGCATCTTTCGATAGATGGCCGATGACAATGCCGAACGAACGGACAATGACACCTTAAGTCCATACCAATAACTTTGTTGCAGTCCCATTGATTGAACGCATGTCGATATAAAGATGCCAAAGCATAGCAGCCAGCCAATATATGCTGGTCTTTGAGAGTGATCATTGACGAACTCGATGAATCTGGAAGGTCACCATGGTGTGTGTATGTTAGGGTCAGGCTCATGCAGGCGTAGGATGATTGATGGTACTTACGATCGTAGTAGTAGTGGTGTAATGATTGATGCAACGATGTGCAGTAGCTTGGCGACGATGCCAAGATAATGTATGAATGTAAAGCGTTTGTAAATGTGTTTGATTAGTGGTATTCGTGAGGAGAAGTCAATGTCATCCATTAGATCAATGACATGTTTGACCTTTAAGTCATCAGTCAAGTCTGGTATATCTGTCAATTGTAACTGTCTCCTGTTGCCTCTAAATATTGTTGGTCGGACCCACCAAAAGGAGAACTAAAGTGTCGTGTCGTGCGTTGTAAGTATACTGCTGCTCCATGCTCCCAACCCAAACCATGGTACCACGAATGAATGAATACATGACCCTCTATCCATCTACCATCCATCCACTCCATCCCAAACCCAAAAAAAAAACATACCCTTGATAGCCAATTTGAATGATACTCTGGCGAAGGATCATTGAACCTATTTCGATCATAGTACTCGTCGTATGGAGTTTCCTTGTTGTTACTACTACTGCTGCTGTCACCGTTGATTTCTTCAAGCATCGGTTTAACATCAGAAGATGAAGAAGATGATGATTCCTGGAGCTCGACATCATCTAGACCCGACCCATCAGCATCACCATCACCTCCGCCTTCAACAGGACTAAGCCTCCTATATGATTTAAATAACTTATTCTTTAATGATGTTATCATTATTATTATTATCTTTGCATATCAATGCGAATATATATAAATATATATTATTAATGTTATAAATATTAAGTAATATTACTGTAATTAAATAATCCCAACAATAAGCTTATTGTTATAATCCATCAATCAAAGATGTATATGTGTATGTGTGTTTGTGTTTGTGTGTATATATATATATATATAAATATATTTATCTGTATCTCTGTGTGTGATGTCAACCTTTGCTCAATGTCGACTGCTGTTTAAAAGTTGACAGGTGTCTGTATGAGTGTCATACGCTTTAACTTCTTCAAATTTCGAACAATACATTCACACGCATTTCCCAAACGATCTGTTTTTGAACATAGGGGTATTCCTTATGATTCGGTCGTCTTCTTTGCTCAATTTTAATTTATATTTCGGTAATAACACATACACATACACACACATGCACAAGGTACAAGGATAGACAGCACTAGTTGAACTTGCCAAAACAGGATACCAACAACTTGTGTGTTTTTGAGAATAACACAAGATAAGATAACTAAGGGATCATTGACAAGGTTACATGCGTCATTAGCATTCTAAAATGACTACCCATGTCCATCCAATCATCATTCATTAATTACATTGCATCTCAACTCTCATCTTAATATTATATTGATTGATTGATTGATGAACAAATAACAATCAATCATATTGATATCATGATATGTAATGAGACCTTGTTGTCCTTGTTGTTTAAGATGGATGAATGAGATATTATCAACAAAATATCTTTACTTTAATTAAACGACCAAGATACAGAAACAAAGGTGAAGAATATATTGATGAAATAGTAATCGTTCATTCTTTATTATTCAACAAACAAAACAAACAAACAAACACAATATTGGTATAACCATCGATCAATCGATTATTCGTCGCGACCTCCACATGGACCTGGTGGTCGTACCTTTTTGGACGATGATAGCTTCATCTTTTTGGCACTGGATGGTGATGATGACGTTGATTTCTTGTTCTTCTTGGCACTGGATGGTGACGATGGTGCCTTGTTCTTCTTGAAAGGCACCTCTACATCATGCTCAAAGTAGGTTAGGAAGTCCTCGTATCCTTCATGTAGATGAGTGGCTCTCTTGGTAAAGATACGGTGTGGCCAGCTGATTTGGCGGTCGGCGTACATGTACTCTAGGAATGAACGAAGACGGTCGTTCGTCGTCGTGGTCATGATCAACTCAAACAGGTGATTGACTCGTCGACTGAGAGTGGAAGTGTCCATATCTTTCTTCCTCGCAACTTTGCTCTGAGGTTTGAGTAGGTCCCTCATCCTAATCGAAAACCTCACGCTCTTGTTTGGCTTCCTTGGCTTGTCCGACACCTTCCTGTTCACACATTTGGCCCGGGGCTTGGCAACCCTCTTGGCGCGAGGCTTTGGAGAAGGGCAACCATCTGGCACCGCTCCATATTCAGATGAGGAAGAGCATGGGCTGCTTGGATATTCCATTGAATGATCATCACTGCTGGGCTCACTGGTGGGGACACCTGGTATCTCTTGTGATGAGGACAATGACATTGGAGAGGATGGTGGTGTTGATGACTGGCTCTCACTATCATGGGTTGTATCTTGCGGTGGAGTATTGTCTATGAGTGGACCATCGTCCTCTGGTGTTGATGGAAGTTGATCAATACCATATACAATTGATCGTAGTGTATTGGAGAATGATTGTTCTTGTTCTGGATGTTGCTCTGCAAAGATACTGTCAACATTTGGTAGAATGTCATCAAACTCACATTCATCCAATAGTGGTTGACTTTGGTCGTACGATGACGACGAAGGTTGTTGTTGTTGTTCAGGTTGTTGTGGTTGTGATTGTGATTGTGATTGTGGTTGTGATTGTGGAGGAGGTTGGATAACAACTGGTTGGGATGGATAGTGATCGTGTAAAGAGTTGACATCTATTATTTCAGATATGGTATCGGAGAGGAACATGCTAGTAGTGTCTGGTTCATCGATATCAGATTGCATGGAAATGGTCATCGTGGAAGAATTGTCATGTTGCCCGACATTTCCGGGAGGATTGAAAGGACTCATTTCCGAGATGGTCGACTGGTAGTAGTAATTGTGATTGATTATAGTGTTGGCGTTGTAGTTGGACATGTTGATGGGGTGTAGGTAACCAGGGTGTACTGAGGGTATCGAGGGCAACATCCAACTTTGTTGTTGTTGTTGGGGTAGTTGATGACCGGATAAGTACTGGGGAGGCATCTGGTTGATGCCCGGCATCATACCATTCTGGTTAAATGATATGTCATTGTGGTTGGACTGAACAGCAATCTTTAGTTGTTGAAAGTAGCCAATATAATAGTCTATACTCTTTAGATGTTCTTGAATATTTAATTGATCCATATTATTAATATTAATATTTGTTAGATATAAATAATAAACATAATATTAATTGATTGATTAGTTGTATGTGTATGTGTAAGTGTTTTGGATGGAAAGACAACTGAATGATTGAGTATGCCATGCCGGCTTTTGTCCTAAAGGTTGTGTTGCACCTTTCTGTAAGTTGAGTGATGATTGATGGTCACGTGCTTGCCACTCTACACTCTGAGTTGTGAGATAGATTTATTGGGTATTAATTGGACCTAGCTTAGCAGCCTAGAGACCCAGTAAGTGTCGGGTTGAATTGGATAGTCACCTGAGTGTCTGGCGCGTAATAGGGTTGATACCTGAAAACTCTAGACCGCAAGGAAGGATGGTTGGAAATATCCAATCATCCATCCATCGAGCTCTGAAGATGACTCACTCACTCTTTCAATCACTAACGCAATCAATCAATAATCAACACAACAACACACTCACTCAAATACACACATTATTGTAGTAAGGTCCAGGATGATGATGGGCCTTGGCTTAGCAATATGATGTTAGACCATCCTAAAGGGGCAGATCAAGTTGATTTGAGGTAAGGTCCCTTCGATTCCGTTGATTGATTGGCTGTTGCTTTATGGAGATCATTTGGTGTATTGTTCCATCACATATTGTAGGGGGGGGGGTCAACGGAGACAAGAAAGACTTCACTACCATCACTCTCTCTCACTGACCCCAATGATAGTTGTTTGTAGCGTTGAGGCGCACCCCGTTGATTGATTGAATGATTAATTTATTGATTTATTAAATGACAACCTCCTCAACACCATCAACATCATCATCAACATCACCATCACAATCAACAATCAGCTGACTGAATGACTCCCATCTCTGCTTGCTTAATGAAATATCTAATTTAGGGTCACCTGACCTGGTGATCGGGGACTTGATGAGGGATGCGCGCAAAGTATTTGCAAAGTGTATTGTGGGGGGATGCTGGAGCGATGGTTGGTTGTTGGACTGAGTCCGGGTCAGTTGTATGAGGTGAGCTTGCAAAAAACGAACGAGGGGGTGCGCACCATCACATGATCAGGTTTGGAGAAGGGTGAATGCCTGAGGGGCATGCCGATTGATCTAGTACCCAGCACCAAACTCATCATTCAAGTTACTCTCTGGCTGGAAAGGCAAGTCTTGGAAAGGCATCCGATGATTGGTTACTGTTCGATCAACCAGTTGCCTATTGGAGACGAATGATGGTTCAATGACACACACAGACACCAGACACATAATCAATCACGTGGCAACATCAACGCGTGCATGCGCGCGCGTAACAACAACATTTTTAAATGTCTGCATAACCTCGATTGTGAGGTCTGAGTTTGTACACCATGCCATGAAGCCAGCCAATGAGAGGATCAATAGGAACAGGGCCACGGACACTAGGATGAAAGCTACCTTCCAGCCCTCGGAAAAGTCTTGGTGGCTGGCGGCAGGTGCCGGCACGGGCGCCAGCAACTGCGAGAGCACGGGGAAGTATGGCGAGCCAAAGCCCGTCACGGCATCGTAGCCCGGTGTGGCAGGATAGCCATAGGTGTTGCAGGGTGGGCTCTCTGGACAGCTGTTGTCGCCCATTACAATGTCAAAGAACGCTTCAGGGTGCTGTGCGCCAACACTGTACAGAGCAGGATTGACAAAGCCCAGCGGCTTCTCATTGCGGCGCAACAGCATGTCATTGATGATCGATATGACAGCGGCAATGACTGGTGCCGAGGCTGACGTGCCATCCACAGGTATCACACGTCCACCAAGCACTACAAGGTAGTTGTGTCCAAGCTGTAGCGTCGTCGGAGGAGGAGGAGTTAGTATGAATGGGAAGCAGAGCGATGGCTATCGAGGCCGGTATACGTACCGCGGCAATGTCGGGATACGAACGACCCGTGTTGTTGTAGTAGGTGGCGGGGATGTTGGAGAGGTAGGTGTTGACATAGTCAACGACAACTTTGTCTTGGTAAGATGGCCTGAGGAACACATTACTGAAGCCTCCACCGGATGTGATACGCGAGCCAGTGGCAATACTCGAGGCGATCTCACCAATCTGTGTGCATTTGACTGGTAGCACACCACCTGCGTTAATGTCGCAAGCTGGAGTCGTCTGCGTGGAGAATTGAGTGGCTCCCACGGCGAGCACGTAAGGCGACGAACAGGGGAAGGCTGGAACAAACTTGTTTTGGGCCTTGTTGGAGTTGGAGTTGGCGCCCATGTCTCCCGAGGAGAACACGATCGTCATGCCCATGGCGCCAGCCTTGATAAACTCCTCATTGATTCGCTGCATGTAGTCGACAGACAATGAGTCCTCGTCGTCTCCATAAGACACGCTGTGCACGTATATGGTCTTGGGGCTGTTCAGGACGTCGGTGATCCACTCGAGGAATGGCTCCTGGCCAGCAACAAGGCCACCCAAACTCCAAAAGGTTGTGTTGTAGCCTGCGGCCAGGCCCATCAAATATTGAATGTCCAAGGATGCCTCGCCACCGGGCAAGGACTGGTTGTTTGGACCTACGACCGTGACTCGCTGGGCAAGGCGTGAGTCCATACCAGCCATCTGGAAGAATTGGATCAAGTCCTGCTCGCTGTAGTATTGCTCGAGGAACTCGGCCACAGACTGCGAGTTGAGCGTCCAGTCCACGTCTGTGAGTGACTTGTTGGTGGGGAATGTGCCAGTGAGCATGGGCATCTGGTAGCGCGCTTGGATGACCTGTGGCGTGAGGAACTGGCCCGTGTAGGTCGTGGTGGTATAGGGTGCAGATGTCGTGCTATCAACGAATGTGGTCACGAGATTGAGGGCCACGGGCAAGTAGTTGGTGAGCTGGCCTTCGCCCAACTCGCTTGTCATACAGTAGATAGTGTCGTTAGCCAAGCCAAGCGCCTTGATCGAAGCCGTGCATGCGGTTGTGACAACAATGTTGGTCGACTCGTTACATGGCATACATATGAGTTTGCTGTCACCTGATGGCTTCATGGTTACTGCAAACTGCTGAGATGTTGAGCTGATCGTGAAGCTGGTGATGGCTACAGTCGCGTTGCTGCAGAGACCGGCTGGCAGGGCGCCAGTGCCAGCTGGGTATGAGCCATCTTCACAGCGTGGCAACATTACAAAGGAGAAGCCACCGTCGCCTGCATAAAGACGTACGATCGATGGCGCATTCGAGGTATCAAGTACGCCAGCTTCTATCTTGCTAAGGTACTCGTTGTCTGGGCCGAGGCGTGACGACTGGCGTTGGTTAGGGAAACGCACTGTTCCACCGATGAAGTGGACGAGGTCAGCGTAGGACTCGTGGAATGAGTATGGTCCAAGAGTGCGGACGACTCGCTTGCCTGTGACACTGTGTTCAAACTCCTCAAAGTCCGTGTTAAGGTACATGGTGGCCTTGGCAACAGGTACACTTGCCACAATAAAGTCTGGTAGGCTCTTTACAATCTCTGCGTCCATATTTGTTTGAAGCCACACCTTAAACTCCTTGACTCTTTCCTGATCTGGTGCCACCATCTCATTCAACTCGTCACGAGTCATATGCTGTCTATAGTTTCCAGAGTTTGGGTTTGCAATCTCATTGTTGAGTTTGTTCTGTTTGAGTTTGAATCAAGTTAGTTCGTTAGTATGTATGAACGAATGGTACCATTCCCATGCATGACTGTACACATACCTCCAACTCATTGATGTTGTTGAGTCTGAGGGCGAAGGTGAGTGTTACACGCTCAGAGTCCATGTTGAGTGTCCTGTAGGTCTTTGACCATCCATGTGGCACTTGATTATGTGTGAATGATTTCTCCATTGACACTCCTCCGACATGTCGGAGTTGTCCATGGAATGGGATTGGGCCAGGCACTGCCTGATGTTGTCTTGCCATTACAATGGCAAAAGTGGCAACATTAAGCAACACAAGTAATGTTGTTGTAATAAATGTATATCTCATTATTTGTTTGTTAAATTGAAGATTGAGTGAAGACCAACTTTGTAAGATGAGTGTTGAAGTTAAACGAAGGGAAGGTCCTTAACGGGGTCCACAATTTAATTAAAAAATACACTTTGGGCCTTGGTGATTGGACGCGAAACGGTATGTGTGTGGGGGTGAAAGGTCTCGTGACTGACGAGCCCTCACCCTAAGACTCGGTAAACAATGGTTGAGTGAGGGCAAGGTCTTGATGTCTCTCAGAGTATTGTGCCATGCGATCCTCGTGTTTGGACGAGGTGAGCTTGAGGAACACTTGCTCCAGTGAGGTCTGGCTGACCGAGTAGTCGTCCAGGATGTAGGTCAGGTGGTTTTGCAGCGTGGAGAAGATCTCAGACACGAGTACAGGGTGATGGACACTGTTTGGCAACTCAAAGTTGGCAATGAGGTCGTGGCGATCGAGTAGGAAGGAGCCGGGGAATGCCTTGAGCACGATGTCCACGCCGCTGTCCAGGTACTCCTTCTTGAACTTGATGTCGATTGAGTAGCCGCTGCCAAACTTGGACTTGATGTGTTGGTTGGAGCCGAGACAGGTGAACTTGCCATCCTTCATGATGGACAGGCGCTGGCACAGGGCCTCGCACTCCTCCATTGAGTGAGTGGTGATGATGATAACCTTGTTGGCGCCGAGCTCAGAGATGACGTTCCACATGAAACGGCGCACCTGTGGGTCGCAGCCAGTCGATGGCTCGTCCAGGAACACAACTGATGGGTTGCCAATCATGGCGATCGATAGTGATATCTTTCGCTTGTTGCCACCAGAATAGCCGCCAACGTTGGAGTTGGCAATGGCGCCCAGGTCCATCATTGTGATGAATGCCTCTACGGTGGAGTCAATGCTTGCCTCGGGGATACCTTTGATTCTGGAGTAGAGTCGGAGTTGTTCGCGTGCTGACAGCAATGGGATCAGTGCGTCGAATTGAGGACATGATCCAATTGAGTGAAGTGCCTTTGATCGCTGAGAGACGAGGTCGAAGCCATTGATTGTTGCCGAGCCAGCTGTGGTCGTGAGGTCGCCAGAGAGCATTGAGAGAGTGGTGGTCTTGCCAGCACCATTCATTCCGAGCAGACCGAATGTCTGTCCACGGGGGATGCCCAGACAGGTGTTGTGCACTGCGATCTTATTTGGATTCTTGCCCTTGGCCTTGAACAACTTGTGAAGTGACTTCATGATGACAACCTCATCGTCATCGCGCAGTTGTCTGACACGCTGACGCTCGAAGGCAACATCGCTGTCCTCGTTGGGGTCTGGTGTGGGGACGGCGTAGTTCTTGGGGTTGCGTAGTTTACCGCGGATCATTGGCACGTAGTCCAGGATGAATAACCAGCTGAGCCAGACGACAAGGTGAATCGCGAGGAATGTGAGTGGGGCGCCACAGTAGTACCAACGCCACTGATTGATGTCGCCAGTGAAGCTGAACTCTCCCATGCGGGTCATGCCAGGGAACTTGGAGATGGAGATGGTGAGCTTGCCCAGACAGAAGACTGGCGAGAGGACAAAGAAGATGTGATCCAGGATGTCGCCAATGTCTTGGTATTTCTTGGCATTGTTAGAGAATGCGTAGATGTGCATGTTGATGCTCACAAGAATGAAGACGAGGCCGAGCGCAAACAGGATGCCAAAGATGGCGCCCGTGGCCTTGCCTGGTGTGCGGAACATGTATGACATGAGGTAGCTCAGCGGGATGATGCACGCGCAGTACAGCACCAGGCCAAAGAACAGCAGACCAAAGTGATCGTTGAACTCTTTGACGGCGACCACCAGTGCGATGGCCGTGCCAAGTAGCAGTACGAATGCCAGCGTGTAGTCCCACACCAAGTTTGACAGCCAGTAGACATGGCGCTTGCAGCCCGAGATGTACAACAATCGTTTGATGTTGTAGGATCGCTCATAACAGACGTTGCTGGCGAATGATCCTGCCATCAGACTGTATCCACACATGTACAGGATGATAAAGTAGAGGATGGCGTTGGTCTGCACGTTGGTGACGGCCAGCTGGAACGTGTCCAGCACATGGCTGAAGGGCATGCTAGTCGCCAAGATGCCTGTGCCGCCCGTCAAGTTCCTGAGCAGGGCATCGTGCATCGTGTTGAGGTATGTTGGTATCGTGTGGAAGTTGAACGTGTTGAACAACATGTTGTAGCCTAGCACTGGGATGTCGGAGGGGTTGGACGCGAATGGACCCGTGAAGTTGTCGGCGAGCGACGTGGTGAAGTTGAACGCACCGGCAACATCAGTGTTGTTTCGAATGAGGTACTCCTTGAAGTTATCGGCGGTGGGGAACAGTGAGAAGCGAGAGAATTCGGGCGACTTGCGCAGCGTTTCGATGTAGTTGTCGGGCGTCTGGATGGGGATGAAGTTGCGCGGGCCAAACATTGACATGTTGAAGGTGAGTGGTGCCGTCACAAGGTTGATCGAGCCGTCGTCCTTGACTGTCTTGTACACGACGATGGACGCGGCGATGATGGCGCCCGGAAGCAAGATCGACAAGACGAAGCCCTTGAGGTCCTTGTAGCTGGTGTGCAGTCGCTTGATGAACAGGCCGCGGAATTGTTGCCAGGCACCGCGACCTGCCGACGACGTCGAGATGGCCTTGTTGACAATGCTGGCATCGTGGTTCTCGTTTGCGTTAATGTCAAATTGCTTGGCACTGGACTCTTGTCCAATGCGCAGGAACACCTCTTCCATGGTCGTCACGGAGATACCGTACGCGCTCAGATGGAGTGCGCCCAGCTGCTGATCTAGCTCGCGGAAGAATGGTGCGAAATGCTCGACACTGGATGTTGGCAGACGGAAGGACAGCTCAGTGCCGGCGTCTGAGAGCACGACGGCTTCGGGAATGAACTGATGAATGAACTTGGTCACCTGTTGGGTGTTGCATTGGCCGGCCATCTTGGCCATCGTGAGCAAGTAGCCGATGCCAAACTTCTTCTTGAGGAACATGCTGCTGCCATCACAACGAAGCTTGCCATGCGAGATGATTGCGATTCTGTCGCCGAGGAAGTCGGCTTCATCCATGAAGTGAGTGGTCAAGATGATGGTTCTGCCCTGCTTGTACTTGAGCAAGAAGTCCCAGACACTGCGACGTGACAATGGGTCCATGCCACTGGTCACCTCGTCAAGGAAGATCACCTCACTGCGGCCAATGAATGCGATACCAAGACACAGCTTGCGTTTCTGGCCACCGGACAGGGTGCCCGATGGGGCGTTCATCTTCTCGGGCAGACCGACCTCCTTGGCCATCCTCTCTGCTTCCTTCTGGATGTCATGTGATGGAACGCCCTTGAGAGCGGCGTAGATCTTGAGATGCTCGAGCACGGTCAGCTCCTTCCAGATGATGTCGTGCTGTGGACACACGCCAATCACTTGACGCACGTGCGGCATCTGATTCCTCACACTGTGGCCCTGGATAAAGGCATCGCCACCAGTCAGCGGGATGAGTCCAGTGAGCATGCCAATGGTGACAGACTTGCCTGCTCCATTATGTCCGAGGAAGGCGTGAATCTGGTCCTGGTACATGTCGAGGTAGAGTCCGTCGACGGCAGTGCGCACTCCATCACCAGTCTGGAACTGCTTCTTCAAGTTGCGAATGGACACTGTCTTCTTGGTCCTGATGTCCATGGGTGTCATCTCGACATCCATGTTGTTACTATCATTGTGATCATTGATGATTGATTCGTAGCTCTTCTTTGATGGGCGCCAGAAGCTTGGCAACAGGAAGAAGTAAAGTGGCTGGGTGGTTCCAAACTCGCCAGGCACTACCTTATCCAAGTACCACAAAGCCAACAAGTAAAACAGCATGTCCACTGCCAACATTCCAATGATCTCACTATATTATGATTGATTGATTGAGTGAGTGAGTGGAATTGTTCCATGTGATTGATCAGTGTGTGGGTGATTGACTGGACTTACGCTTCAGTGGTGTAGTAGGAGTAGTCTGGGTCAATTCCATTGTAGTCTCTCATTGCTGCGGTGTAGATGGCATTGTTGAAGGCGACTGGGGAGATGAGACTGAGAATGAGTTTGATTCGCTTGCTCATTTTGGCCTGGGCAATGAAGATGGCAGCGACAGAGAATCCAATCACAATGATGAATGATATGATGCCAGCAAACTTGGACTTGTCAAAGAATATGCTGAGTATGCAGCCCAGCAACACCAATGTCAGCATGTAGAATAGGAACAGCACGACCAGCAGTCCCAAGTTGGTGTGATAGATGAGTGAGATGAGACGCAGGATAAGTGCCATGATGATGGCCACCGGCAGACAGATGTACCATGTGGTGATGTTCCAGCTGAGGTAGTAGGCCACGTCGGACATGCCAATCATCTTCATGCTCTCGCGAATCTTCATCTCCTTCTCGACCACCAGCTCGGTGATCAGACGGAACACCGAGATGAACAGCGCCGCCGTGATGAAGATGCCTCCGGCGTTCTTGTAGATCATATCGCGGCCGTCCTTCCAGGTCTGCCACGACTCAACGTTGGGGTCGGGGAACAGCTGGTTCTGGATGACGAGCTGGTGATTGAAGCCGCCCAGCAGCGTGAGGATGGCCTGGTCGACGGCCACCTGGAGCGAAGTGAAGCCGCTCGATGTGTACTGGAACGAGGTGGAGTACTGCTCGCCCAGTGCGTTGTTGGGTGGCAGCGACGCAGAGTCCTGGCGGATGGCGTATTCGAATGGTGTCGAGGGTGATGCCTGAGAGGCATTCGATTGGAACCATAATCCATACTTGACGGTATCACTGTGATTGGCGTAATATTGATCCATCTCCAACTGTGTCTCAAAAGGTATGAAATAGGCCAATGTCTTATTATCATGGAATAATGCCACCTGGGCCATCACCATCTTCAACACATCCTGTTGTTGTTTGTTCATTCCAGCTGATGGTCCATAAACAATTGTATTATTTGCATTAACTATCAATCCCAGTGGTGGCACTGGCATTGGATCATGATTGGCTTTGATCTGTTGTATAATAACTATATTATTTGGATGTTAGTAATTGATTGATTGATTGATCAGATGTGGATACATACTAAGTAGTCCGAGGAGTACACCAATGATTACGATGGGGAATACTACCTCACAGCACATGGCACACTTGGACTTCTTCTTGAGCAAGCAGTTCTTGCTCATGAGGACACACAATTGACTTCCAAACGCCATTGTTATGTGTTGTGATTGAGTGAGTGATCCAGATTGATCAAGATTGATAAGATATCTTACAAAGATTGAATGAGTGACGTGTGAATGAGTGATTGATTGATTATAAGTTATAAGTTGTAATTATATGATCCCTGTATACAATATTGATGTAATGGTTGGATTTGATTGTATAATGGAAGGAACTCCTTGTATTAATACCCTTGCTATTATTAGCAATGGCCAGCCAGTCGGAAGGATGGAAGGAAGGATGGCTTGGGCTTGAAGTCTGGAGTACTGAACGGGGCGCTGGATTATGAAGATGATGGGAGTTTAAGTTATTATTGATAATAATAATAATACCTTACTTCCTACCCTTTTGACATACATATTAGTTGACACTGTACTAGTATGAGGCAGTGCTCACCGTTTTGAATTACTGAGAGTGCATTATAATTGATCGGTCCAAGGTCATCAACCTAATAAAGGGTGGTTACAGTGTCGTCCATGTGATGTGGGGTGAGTGGGGTGATGGCAATGCACGTTGGTAGTTGAAGTGCGAGTGTGTTGGCGAGTGTGGTGCAGGTGGTGGTGATCTGATGTAGGGGTCTACAATCGTTCGTGCTCAGAACCCTTCACGATGGTGTGATAGATCAATCAAGTTGAGTTGATCAACTTATGAGCATTGCATTAGTAAGATAGCTGTTGTTGAAAGTTTGATTGATTGAATGAAAGAGTGATTAATTTAAATCACATCATATGCACTCCCAAAGTGTAGTTAGTAGATTGTCCATTCACTTCGCTTTAGTCATATCGACAACAACAAATGATATGATAATGTATAAGTTATTATTATTTATGTATCTCCCTCACTCTCTTTGGTTGAGATTTAAACGTGTTAGTGGACATGTCCAACTTCATCACTGATCACATTTTGAGTGCACTTGAATGATCACATTCTAGAGAACACGTGCGATATACATAGAAAACTTTACATATTTGAATCTGGCGCAGGAGAATGCTTTGGTATTACTTTAGACCTAAACTTGTCGAAGCCTGACTACTATAGATACATATTTTTAAACTCCAGGTGTACTGAGGAATGCAGAAGAATAGCAATCAGGGTATTCACCGAGTACAAAGTATGGGCGGATAATTGCATTACCATGATTGACAGCACCAGACCTTGGTTGGAGCGACCAGGAGAGCTATCTTTGTAATCAAGACTACTTAGCCTACCTTGAAAAGGACAATGGGGAGGAAGAGGCCAAACTTTGGGGAGAGAAACATCTTAGACACGCTCTGACAAAGAAAGACTTTGAATTAAACTGGTATCGCCACTTTGGGACACCAGATGAGAAAGACCTTTATATTGCCCTACTCCATTCTCAAATTAGCCAAATGCAGGAGCAATTTAATAAATATTGACCGGCTTCGGCTTGAATGATGTTAAGGTTAGATGGATGCAAGAAACAAACTGATTTGTCAATCACGTGATGGTTTATTTTGAAAGAAAGTTTTGGGATGGACACATCCCAGACGAATTCATGAATGAATCCAGATTGGACACATGCAAGGGTTAGTGCACGATGTTGGTTGGTTTGAAGACACCATGTTCCCGGAAGAATGATTGATATAGTTGGAGCTCTGAGGTGTCAATTGGAATTAGTAGTCGACTATAATTCTTCCATGATAATGCCGAGACTGAGGCCGATGATGATTGAGTAGGACTTCCTTCAGGTTGGTCATCAATATTATTCAATCCAATTGGACTGAACAATTGGACAATCAAATATATTGATCTATAACTTCGATATTGTTTGAGGTTATTAATCAGTTGTAGGATAGTTGGCGCTTTGATGAATGGTGTTTTGAATTGATTGGACGTAGTTGTGGACATGTCAATATATTGATCCAAAACATATTGATATAAAATAATAATGTTCGATGCGGCATTGGATGACAACACCTTTAAAATGAACTCTTGGTTGACTTTGAGAGATAATGATATTCTTGACCAAATGAATTCAATCACTTCCAAATTTAGATTGGTGACATCTGCTTTGAACTCTTGATTCCGAACAGTTCTATCTGGTGGTGACAGGTTGAAGAATGACAATACATCCGATCCCAACAACAAACCAGACACTGCCATCTGTCCATCAAACTTATCTCGTCTATTTGTATGTTGGGATGTTTTCAACCACTTGTCAATCTGATTCCTGGAGCTCAATGGCCCATCATGATCATGGCCATCTCCTCCAATATTGATTGAATACAACATCTCCATTAGTTCATACTCGCTAAAGAATGATCCATCATGACTCTGGACATGTGATTCCAAGACATGTTGATTGCAATGCCCATGTTTGATCAACATTTTGATGGTGGTCGAGGTCAGCCTATCATTGCCACCAAGGTGCGTGTACAGACAAAGACTGTGAGGATGAAGAAGTGCCAAGATCTTGTCCTGGTGCTCAGGTGGACATAGATTGATGAATCTCAGACTGATGGATGAGAACTTATGAAATGGTCGATTATGTATGATCGTCTTGATCCCATCCAAATATTCCTCCTCCAATGCTATGTTGAGAGTTTGATTGATATCAATTTTGCGGAAGAATGCCGACCTGTCCTTTGGATGTGAGCTGCTGATGATCAACTCGATCAGCTCGATGACGCCCATCTGCTTGGCTCGGATCGCGTCCGAGTACAGATCCCTAAGATCATGCTGCACCTTCTTGCTCCAGAGTATCCTGTTGACCAGCTCCAACCAGTTGTGATCGGCGAGGTTGGGGTCTGCCACCATGTTGATGCTGGTCACTACCCATTTGTGTCGGCCAAGTACCAAGGTGGTCGAGTATAATGGTGATCGCTTGGGCAAGAACTGTGTCATGTTGTCCAGGATATAGACCGCGCAGTCATAGTGTCCTCGTGACAACGCACATTGTAACAAAGATCGGTCAAAGATCTGTAGGCTGGGACTCTCGTCGAATGTTGCCGTCATGTAGTCTGCCACTAAATGATGTACATGCTTCATAAAGCTAATGTCGCCAACCTCTGCCAAACGATTGAACAACAAAGGTTGTTGGCGGGCGAGTATCTTGAGGGCATCAACACTCACTTGTTGATTGATTGTCGATGAGAGATGGTGTGCGCCAATGCTGGTGCTCGTGCTGGTGCTAGGCGTCGTCGGAGCCACATTGATATGATTGAGTATGACCAAGAGCAAGTCGAACAACTTATGTTTGATCGTGAACCTAACCAAGATGGCTGAGGAGAGTGTTTGATCACCGGAATCAATGTATCGTTCAAGGTCATTGATGATCCTTGCCTGATGACTTTGGAACTTTGGTTGATAGTCCACTTCATTACCAACCATTGTGTACCATACTATTGGTGGACGGGCTGGTTGTAGATGTGAGGAGATGGCCACACACAGGTCCAGGTCGGGGCCGGCATTGTCAACGCCGATCAACGACGACCTCATCATGCACCTTATGATTGACTTTGATCCCAAGTCAGGCATATACTTATCAAGTAATAACTTGATAATTGATCGATTGAATCTATGATGTACATGCTTTACAAAGCTGAACAAGTGTTTCCTATATTGGTGACTACCATGTTTGAATCTCTCCAATATATACTCAACGACTCTAACATTCTGTCGATGAACAGCATGATAGAATACATTGTGTATAGTGTCTAGTAACTCATTGGATGAATGAATGGAGATGCATAGTTGATCTGCTTGTTTGATAAAGGTTGCGGTGTCACCTGATTGAACACATTGATGGAGTGATGCAATGTCATGTGAGTGGAATACATTGGTGATGCCCAACTGTCTATGTCGTTGTGCAACGAATCTAAACAATAAAGTTCTAACAAACTTATTGATCAACAACACTCTCTTTATCGCCAACATCAATCTATTCCCATCATTATTATTATTATTATTATTACTATTATTACTATTATTATTATCCATTAAATAAATCATTATTATTATTATTATTATTATATATTATTATTATTACTATCTCCATCCTTTTATTTATTTGTATCAATGAATGTGATTGATATTAATAGATTAACTGATTGTTTGATTGGAAAGTGGCATCAATGTTGGGATTCTATTTATTTTCTCTGGATTGGATGGATAAGTGATTACTCTCTCACCTTGTAAATGATGATAAATGACCACCATCATATATTGGAATAGTTCCACCCTCAATAATATTGGCTAAGTCATTGTTGAAGTTCATTCCAAAATGTCATTAACCAGCCAGATGTGACCTTTGAATGAATGGTTCAGAATCAAACTCTTTGAGTTGAACTTGACCTTGAAAATGGATACAGATAATAACAATAATAATATGACTGTTGAAGGTGATGATGATGATGTTGCAGAGTATGATAGCTTAGATAGCTTCGTAACAAAGAACAACTCTACTCTACCAAGTGAAGTCACTCAACTCAATCGTTTAAAGGATGAAGACATCAACATCAACAGTATATTGGATAGTATAAACACAGTCAACAGTAGTAGTACATTAACTACAACAGCAGCAACAACAACAACAACAACAACTACATCAAATACAACTATAACATCATTGGATGACGATGATGACGATGATGACCTACCTGCTATCACTTCAACAATAACAAAACACTTTAGTACAGAGGAGGAGATGTTGATGTTCAACATTGAGGATTTGAAGAAGTTCATCGATCAGTTGGAACGATCAAACATGGAGTTGGCAACAGTCTACGCCAATGACGACCCCGACCCCGTCTACTACGAGGCCATCACCGAGAACATGGGCATAATCGACAGAAAGCAACGCGAACTAAAGGTCCTAGAAGACAGGCTAATAGAGAAGCAAGGTCTCTACATGTAAATACAAGTCATTCATTCATTCATTCATTCAATCAATCAGTGGATCAATCACAAGTGGATCAAGGGTACTCTACTCGAGGGAATGATATGTTTATTACTACACAAGTTATTGTTGTTGGGATTGACTCTACTCTTTCTTCTTCAGAGACTGCACGCCACTGGCTGAGAGTGTGCCACCGCTGGCATTCTCACGTGGCTCGCGCATCACTGACAGTTGGTAGAGCTCCTCGGATGATGAAGAGGGCAGTTCCAGTAGCAGTGTATGAATAGGCTCAACAATTGGGAAGTCGTACTTATGCTGCTGCAGTGCCTGCACCTCTGATGTGGCACGATGGATCAGCTCCCTCTTCTGGAAGTTGATCAAATTGCCAAGCTTGTCTGGATTGCCATCCTCCATGAATGTCAAGTCTGATAATATTACAGGTCTAATGAAGGGTGAGAGAGAGAGGTTAGTACATGGACGGGCGATGGGAGAGTGAAGGTCAATGGACTTACAAATAGGGCAAGCTTGGATTGGTTGCATTCTTGAGGTTCTGGCGATAGTGTTTGTATGAGCCACTGGAGTTCATTAGCTTCTCGAGCATGTTGTAGATGGCGACGGCTGCGGGAGAGAGCTGGGCAAAGGTCTTTTTGAGACGCATGATGCTGGACTGATTGAGGCCGGCATAGATGTTCATCAGCGTGTTGAAGTTGTTCATGTCGCGCAGATGTTTGGCAATGTTGAGGAACTTCTCGTAGACGCTGACGCGATCGCCAATGTCCTCCTGCCACAGGATCTGACTGGCCACCCAGAACGAGAACTTGTTGGCGCGGTTGATCAGCTCCATGATGTTGGGTGCGCGATGCTTGGTGGCGTCCTTGCTCCAGACCTGCTGCTGCAGCTCGGTCGGGTTGATGCGCCCAAAGATGCCGCCCTCGATCAATGTGAGTTGGCGCGCAATCTCGCTGTCGTTCATCAGGAGGAAGAGTGTGGAGGGCGACTTCTGGCCCTCGGGGATCATAAGCTCACGGAATGATGGCGTGGCCAGCTGGCGGGCACGCTCCTCCTCTGCGGCCAGACGCTGGTCGATCGTGGAAAGCAGCAGACGCGCCAGGTCACCGTGCTCGTCGGTGAGCAGTCGCTCGTTGGCAAATGCACGCAGCTTCTCGATCAGCTTGTTGTCCAGATCGCCAAAGTTGCGCTCGACCCATGACTTGAGGAAGGAGGCGACACGCACCTGCACCTTGACACGGAACGAATGGTCCTTCTCCTCGGGCACTGTGTAGCGCTGCACCAACTTGTCGAACAGCTTGTGTGTCGTGGTGAACGACAGGTATGTCATGAGGAACGTGCGTGTGTACTTGGAGTTGTCGTAGGGCTTCTCCGAAGTGAGCGACTCAATTAACTTGTTGAGCGTGCCGGCCTTTGGCACGAGACGGCCAGTCTTGCTGCCATCGTCTGAGATCCATTCGCTCTTGAGGTTGGAAGATGAGTTGGCCTCGAGCCAGATGTTGACGTCCTCCTCCTCGTCGTTGGAGCCGAGCTGGTCGTCCAGATCGAGGTCGTCCGCACCGCCGCTAGTCTGCAGTTTCATGCTCTTGATGTAGATCTTGTTGGCCACGTTGTCCAGCAGCTTGGCCAGACAGTCGCAGAACGTGTTGGTAGTGGCAAAGAGCTGCAGCTGGATGTTGTTGTCCCATGGCTTGGAAGAGACTCCAATGATGATGGTCGTCATCTGGATTGCAATGGCGCGTACGGCATTGCACTGTGAGATGATCGATGTCTCGAGCGAACGCTCGACAAACTGGCGGTAGGTTGGTGGGCACGAGACTATAGTGGCGTCGATCTTGCCTGGGCCGCGACCCTGAGACGAGGCGATGATCTTCTTGGTGTTCTTCACGTGGTTCTTGGACAGGAAAGAGTTGTCGTCGATGCGGCTCACGGCCATCGCCTGATCCAACAGGTTGGACAACAGCGAGTAGACGTTGTCAACTGGCTCGGTCAGCGCCACAGTGTCGTTGTGGCCATTATGGATGGAGAACTCGTAAGCCTGGCTCACGAGATCGATAGTATCGTCGACAAAGCGCGATGTTGTGTTGACCAAGTTCTCGCCAATCTCCTCAATGTTGCGTGCAGCGCGGCTGGCGTCACTGTCGGCGGGCGGCAGGATCGAAGGCTTGCTTGGGTCGTTCTTCTTCTTGATCGTGGACAGCTTGCGAGTCATCTTGTAGCGCAAACTGAGAGTCTGATATTGATTGTCGTTGTTCTGTTGCGCGGCATTGGTTGTGAGTTGGCGAATGCTGCTGAGCTGGTTGGCAAAGTTGTGGCTCGAGCGGCTGATGCCGCCCGCACCACCCAATCCGCCTCCACTGACCATGCACTCCTCGACGTGCTGCTTGATGATGTAGTTGATCTTCTCGGTGGTCTTGGCCAGGTCATCGCTGGACATGGCCTCCCACTCCTTGGAGAAGCCTTCGAATTGATTGAGCATGAGGTTGACGATCAGATTGGTCGTTGAAGAGTGGTCGAACGAAGGGTGCAGTGAGCTGCGAGCCACCTTTTTGATTGGCGATGGTGAGTGCTTGCCATTGGCAACGTTGCCAATGTTGAGTGTACGCTCGGTCTTCTTGCGCAGGTATATGCGAGAGGGTGACTCGGCGATGGGCAAGACACTGTTGGGTGACGAGCCCATGTGGGCTGCCTCTGGTGCAACCGACTGCTGCTCTGGCGTGCGTGGCGAGAGTGACACCTGAGGGATCGACACTGAGACCGAGGTGAGTGGACGCTCGGGGGTGGCTGGCGCCTCCTCCTTGATCATCTCAAAGTTATGTGGAGAGAGTGGCACAGACTGGAACAGCTTCATGGGCGATGATGCCACGTCTGGATTGTTCTCCAATGTTGAGAGCGATGCTGATGTGGCCAAAGGCGACGACTTGGTTGGGCCGTCCAAGGGTGGTGTCGATGCAGGTGAACCATTGCTGCTGCCTGGGCTGGTTGGCGACGCGTCGAATGGTATGGGTTGGCGCTTCTTGCTGCCTCCCTTGTGAACCAACTTTGAAAGGAACTTGCCAATGGTCTTGTTGCCCTCCTTGTCCTTGTCCTTATCTTTGCCGCCGCGAGACTTGTCGGCATCCAATGTTGAATCCCTGTCCTTGCCTGGGGGCTTGAGTGACTCGCCATGGATTGTTGGCGTCGATGGTTGGCTCTGGCCCGTCGGGGATGTGGAGAGTGGCGTGTGTGGCGCGCTGTTGGGTGCCGACGAGGCACCAACAGCCGCTGTGGTGTACAGTTTGTCCAACTTCTCGCGCTCCATCCTGTCGTGTCTCTCCTTGATGACCTTGTCGTTCTTGTCGACTGGCTTGTCGTGTTGCATACGAACGACCTCCTTCTCGAGTCGCTCATTGTCCAACTTATCTTGCTCGGCGTGCTTCAGCTTGGACTTTTGTTGGTCGGACGTCTCCTTCTGTATGCGCTCCTTCTCCACCAGCAGCTTCTTCAGTCGCTCATTCTCCTCGACACGCTCACGCTCCATGCGCTCCTGTTCCAGACGTTCCTGCTCAAGACGCTCACGCTCCTCGCGCTCCTTCTCCTCCTGCTCATACTTCTCTTGCTCGATGCGCTCTTGTTCCAGACGCATTGCTAGCTGCTCCTTCTCCATGGCGCGGCTCTCGCGCTCTTGTCGTGCCTGCTCAAACTCTACCATCTGCTCGTCGCCAATGGTCTTGAGTGAGCGCTCGCGAATGATGGGTGGGGCCACATCGCTGCCGTCGTCGTGGCCAGCCTTATTGTGGGATGCGTTCGAGGCGTTGTTGGCAGCGTCCAGACTGTTGGCGTCAATGGTCGCCAGCGACTGTGAGAGGTTGGCAGCAGCCTGGATGCTCGTGTGCTTGATGGCGTAGATGATCTTCTTGATCTCCTCGTTCAGCTTGCCGACGGCCACCTCGAGATTGTCGACGTAGTATTGGTCGTTCTTGTTCTTGAGCACCAGCTTGGACATGTTGATGACGTTGACTGCCGACTCCTTCAACTTGACGCCCAAACCCTTGATGCGCACCTCTTTGGCGATCAGGATCACCTCGTTGGAGATGCCCTTGGCCGCCGTCACAAGGTCCTGGAAGTTGCCCTCAATCGACGCCTCTGTGATGCGGTTGACATTGAGTATGAGGTTGACGGCGCACTTCTCCACGCGGATCAACTCCTCGCTCTGCTCGTCCAGTGTACGCGGCGACACGGGCATGCCCGATGCCGAGCGCGACAATGAGTCGTTGGAGTTTGTGCGGGCCGGTGGTGTGATCGCTGGGAACTGTCGGCGTCTGGCCTCAGACGAGCTGCTATCGCTTGACATCCTCACAGGAGTAGTGCTGCCCGTGGGTGTAGTATTATCGTGTTCATGTTCACCCTGGAATTGGACAACATTCTCTTCGTCCTCTTGTTGCTGTTGCTGTAGTTGTTCCTCAAACTGGAAGTATATGAGCTTAAAGTTCTCCAAGGCCATCACTGTGGCCTTTATACACTCAATCGATTGTTCCTTTGATGCCTTAAAGTTGTTGGACGTCAAGAAGTCGAATGGATTCAATATCATTGCCTAAATATGATTGATTGATTGTGAGTGTTAGTTTGAGTGTGATGTTGGGGGGGTAGGGCTTGGCTGGAATGATTCCAGCCTCCACCAATGATCAATCAATCAAACATACTCTTGATGATGCAATTAACTCGAGAACTAGTGAAGATAGAGACTTGACAGAGACGAGCAGGTGGCTGTGGTACTGATCGATGTGTTGGTAGGGGAAGGGGAACTGCTCGAGCATGGTGATGAGGTTTGAGATGTTCTTGACGAGTGCATAGGCAGCATCCTTTAGGATGCGATCCACCTGGTCCGTATCATTGGTCGGTATAGCATATAATGTCTTGATCTCAATGATCACCTGCTTGATGATGGCAAACAGCTGATCAAAGTACTCTGTTGGCTGTGACAGGTCCAGCTCATTAAGCTGATGCTGATCGTCCGAAGCAGCATTATGATGTGAATGATCGGTCATCATCTTGCTCCTGCTTCCTCTCAATCTAGATGATGGCAATGGCAATGATGGTGATTTTGATGATGATGATGAAGTTGGTAAAGGCTTGTTTGTTGTTGGTGATGGTGATGGTACTGGTGATTTTGGAGTTGGTTTTGAAAATGATAATGATGGTTTGATCGTTGGTGTGATCGTTGGTGTGTCGCCGCTGTTGCTGTTTCCGTTTCCGCCACCGGCAACTCCACAAAAGCTATTGACTGTTCTATAAAGGTGGTCTGTTCGACTATTCTTTAGTCTCTGTATTGTTAATGATTGTACATAAGTATGATGAATGAATGATTGTTAGTTTAAGGTTATTGGATTCATTTGAGGGTCATCCATGGATTGATGCGCGCACCACACATCCAATTCAATCAGCCATCACCATCATCATCACCACACACCCTCTTTTGATGTTGTTTATTTGTTTGAATGAATGTTTGAATGAATGAATGATTGAATGGGTGTGTTTGGATTGATCACCGTGAATGTGTTTGTGTGTGTGTGTGTGGACCTGATTAGATTATATCTCTAAGATGTGATGATATATCTTGGTGTTTGATCGAATCAATCGAAAGTGTTTGGTGGATATTGGGGTGTTGTGTGGATCATTGATTGATTGTATGAATGTGAGTGAGTAAGAATGAATGATGCATACACTTAAAGTAGTTCCTTTATCTTTTAAATATATATAATGTTATATATAATGATAGTAATACAACAACAACAAATTATAACTAAACTACTAATAGTACTAAGTACCAATTTCAACAGTTTTTGGGTGATTTGTGACGCTGATGACAACAACGATAGAAGAGAGAGAGGTTTGGAGATGGGGGGAGGCCTAAACCTGACAAGAATGAATGAAAGAGAGTAGTGTGGTGGGCCTCGAGTTGGCCCATTTCAATCAAACGAAAAACCCTTAAAATTTGCAAATGTGCCCAAAAAAAAGTCTGGTTCTTGCGCCAATGATCAACTGACTCGATCTAAGATAGATACACCCAAACATACATTTACGTTGTTCTGAATGGACAGTTGAGCCCTCTGTTGTTGTCCATTAAAATGGGCATTGTTATTAATGTCAAGTGTGGCCTGGATACGTGATTCTTTCATCTCATCACTGTTGTTGTTATTGTTATTGTTGCTGTCAAATGGTTGTACTTGTTGTTGTTGATGTTGATGTTGTTGTAATTGTATTTGTTGTTGTAGTTGATTGATCGATTCAATCATACCTCGAGGTGACAGGGCATGAGGTGATAGTGATCCATAATCAATTGGGATCAAGTTGGATATCATTTCTTTCGTCTTTATAAATATAATAAATAAATAAATAATGGTTATGGATATGGATGTTTGGTTTTGGATTATTAAGTTTGATTGGACAGAGACACTTTAGTGTTTGATTGTTTGGTTGTTTGAGTATTTGATAGATTGATGGATTGATAGAATGATGGAATGATTGGCCAACTCAAGAGTCAGTTATATCTTTGTCCCCAATACGAACATGAACATGACCATTCATTCATTCAATCACTCCCCATTGTCAAGTACATGTTTAAATACTAGTCGTAGTAGTGTCGTTCACAACATCGATGAGTGAGAGTGAAAGGTGTGATTTGATTCTACCAATCAATCAATCAATCAATCAACCAGTGCCACTCCACCACCATCCAATGCCCATATATATTATATCTTCCATTTCTGCCCCAAGTCATTGGTTGGTATAAGTAAGAATATAAGTGTAAGAGTAATAGTAAGTATATTCATTCATACGAGTGATCACCACCACCATCATCAAACCATACCCCCAACAACAACAACAACATCTTCAAGATGGTCGTCAGTGATATCTATTTATAATACATTCTAAACTATTACCTGACGACAACAACAGTTATTCGCATCAACAACAATGTACTACCTACCTACACTATGTACCATCACCTGATTTTTAATTGATTGATTGATTGGATTCGTCAATCAGACACACTCACTCTGATTCATTCACACACTCTTTGTCATTCTATCGATGGTGAGCCAAACTCACTCAACATGTTTGATTGATTGATTGATTGAGAATGAGTGTTGGTTGTGAGTGTGTGTGTTTGTGTTTACGTAAGTGGATACGCTTCCACCACATACACCATACCCAACTCATCTATTGTCTCGAGACAACAACAACAATCATTAATTATTGTTAATACTTTAATCTTTCATTCATTCATTCATCTATCAATAAAGTCTTGAGATAAAATGATCGACATTACAATACAAAGATCTGTCTTTTATTTGTTTTCCATTGCCATAATGATTGATTTATTCAGAATGGTTGATTGATTCATCAACTCTCTAGAATTATAACTGATATCAAATTGAATGGTTCGACATACCTGGGCAATCCCTGGAATGCCCTCTGAAATTGAGTCGATGTATATATTTGCCAAACACAAGTTGAAATTGAATTTGCCTAATCTGGAAATCAATGTTGACACGCTCAACGAAGGAATGATCTCATGCATCGCGTCCTCCATTTAAATTATAATTGTAAATTATATCCACACACACGGTTGTTGGATATCCTAACACACCTTCATTCATTCATTCATCCATCTAACTCCTCATTCAATTCATTCATTCACTCATTCATCATCTCACATCAACTACATACATACTATTACATCAACTTTAATAATAATGTCATACAACTCACGTATCGAAGTCATTGGACGTCACCTTAGCACCGGCAACCAAGCCGACGAGGTCTTGTCTGCTTGCCCAACTGGTAAGTGATAACTAGTCTAGTCGAGTCAAGGCTATGAATGCAGAGCACATATATGACGACCATCATGTGACATGTCGATGAACATAAGAACTGACTTGATCATCAAATATAATACATTTAGGCGCATCTACAAAGTCTGGAGATGATGTTGTTATTGTTGCACCATTCCGTACTGCTATTGCCAAGGCAAAGAGAGGAGGCTTCAAGGAGACCTCACCAGATGATATGTTGGCACCAGTCATTGCACACATTCTAAAGGTCACCAAGGTGAACCCAGCTCTCATTGGCGACGTTGTCATGGGCTCAGTGCTGCCAAGATCATCACAGGGTGCCACCGAGATCAGAGTTGCCTCTCTGATCGGAGGTCTGCCCAAGGAGGTGCCATGCATGACAGTCAACAGACAGTGCTCATCAGGTTTGCAAGCGATTGCCAACTGTGCCGCCGCCGTCAAGGCTGGCCACTACGAGATTGGTTTGGCCGGTGGTGTCGAGTCAATGTCGCTCAACCCAATGGCCTGGGAGGGTCAGTTCAACGAGGTTGCCATGAACGACCCAGTGGCCAGCGGATGCTACAATACAATGGGCCAGACATCAGAGAACGTTGCAGAGCGCTTCAACATCAGCAGAAAGGAGCAGGATGAGTTCGCTGTCCTCTCGCACAAGAAGGCTGGCGCCGCCCAGAAGGCTGGCAAGTTTGTCGACGAGATCGTTCCCGTCACCGTCAAGACTGAGGACGGAAAGACCGTCGTCATCGACAAGGACGAGGGTATCCGTGAGCAGACCACCCTTGCTGACCTCACCAAGTTGAAGCCAGCCTTCAAGGAGGGAGGTTCCACCACCGCCGGTAACGCCTCGCAGCTGTCCGATGGTGCCGCCGCCTGTTTGGTCATGAAGAGATCGACCGCCCAGAAGTACGGTCTGGTGCCAGCTTTGATCCTGCGCTCGTTCGTCGCCGTCGGTGTCGAGCCAGCCATCATGGGTGTTGGTCCCGCCGCCGCCATCCCCGCCGCCATCCAGATGGCCGGCCTCAAGATTGCCGACATTGACGTCTTTGAGATCAACGAGGCCTTTGCCTCGCAGGCCTACTACAGCATCCAGCACCTGAAGATCCCAATGGAGAAGGTCAACCCCAACGGAGGTGGTATTGCCCTCGGCCATCCACTGGGCTGCACTGGTGCCCGTCAGACTGCCACCCTCTTCAACGAGCTCAAGCGTCGCAATGCCAAGTTTGGCGTCGTCTCAATGTGCATTGGTACCGGTATGGGTGCTGCTGCCGTCTACGAGAGAGACTGCTAAGTGCACGAACGACCAAGCGAGTCTAGAGAGTATCCTGTCCATCACCTCAATGTACAATCACATAAATAACGTCCTTCCGTCCGCTGGGCGACTCTTCTATCTACCATTATAATGTACTATACTTTATTCCTGATCAATCGTTCGATATGTTGGCTCTATTCATTGTGTTGATACTCAGCTGTAGCAGTCTCATGTTATCAATCAACTTCTTAATGATACAGTTCTTCTTGTAGGCCACCATCTTGAGGTCCTCCAGCTCCTTTGACTTTGATTGTGTACTCTCTTTGATATCTATGTTGCTGTTGTTGTTGCCATTGTTGGTGTCGATGCTACTACTAGATTCTTCATCCATTGTTGCATCAGTAGTGCTGCTGTTGGACGACTCGACTGTCTCCAACTTTGATTTGATATGTACAATGTCGATGACGAGCTGTTGTAGCTTGTCGACATAGTCTAGACACTGCGAGTTGAGATGCTTCATTCGTTCATTGTCTTTGTAGAATGTTGATGAGTCGATGTTCAGGTTGAGGTCGCCAAGCTGCGGCTGGTCCGCTCCTCCTCCGCTTCGCGGCGTGGCCGTGCCTCCGCCTGCAGGAGGACTGGCTCCAGCCAGTGGTGTACTATTCGCGCTGTTGTTAACGTTGTTGCCACTGTTGTTGCTGCCGCTGTTGCCATTGCCAGTGTTGCCCATGGCGGGAGGCGAGTATATTATCGAGTGAAGAAACACTGGGTCCCATTGCAATGATTGTAGATGCTTGGTTATCGAATGAATTGAGAGCAACAGGTATTGAATGACATGCTCGCCCTTCTCAGCTAATGAACAAATCAGTTCAATATCATCTATATTGTTATTTGTTGATGTTGATGTTGATGTTGTTGATGATGATGATGGTGGTGTAGTGGTAGTTGTCGCAAGCGAGGATGATTGCTCTGACAATGTTGTTGATGTTGTTGTTGTTGTGGATGTTGTGGATGTTGATGAAGTGTCATTGGATGACAATAACATGGAGGTATCTGTTGAAGGTGGAGTGGACATGATTGAATGATCATCAAGTGAATTCAACAATTGAAATGATTCCAACACTCACACAAACTTATTATCTCTCCAATTACTTCAACTATGTTACCTCGATCGTAGCCAGACAACCTCCCGTTATCATCAACAATTTGTATCCCTTTTATTGATGACTTAAATTATTGACGTGATTGATAAAGAAGTGATCTAGATTGAGCACTGCTAAGCAACATGTTAAATGCCTGTTCTTGAAGACTCTGCTATGTTCAGTTTATTAATCCGTCAAGGGTCTGGAAATACTCCAAACCCAGTTGGAGTATACTGCTCCATCGGCCTAGCTCGACACAATTATACTATAGTTATCCCATCTCGGGCCAAAGGCGCTAGGCGGATAAATAAACAGAACTAAGCGAAGTCGTTTTTTGATATAAATTCGGTGAAAATCACATTTTTCCCTCATCGATTGGTTGATTAGCTCAGTTGGAAGAGCGGCAGCCTTCTAAGCTGCAGGTCGTGGGATCGAGACCCACATTGATCGAAACCTTTTATGTTCTCCAGACCTTATGTTCATGAGGGTCTTGAAGCTTTGTGTTCGCGAGGCCTTTTGTATCTCTGTCTCTATCTCTCGGTCAGGACTTACTCTCTTTTTTTTTTCTTGTTTTTTTTGGGTCATTCATCAATACAATCATAATACATACTCCTGGACTGTTGTCTGAAGGAGGCAGGGTTCAGCTCTAGCAATGTGAATACAGATATAGTTTGAAGAGAACAACCAGCCAACAATCTAGATTGGTATGTTAACATCGAGGTCTCTCCATGATATCTATATCAATCAATGATAAAAGGGATAAATGTTTGATCGACATTGATTAGTATTACATGTATGTACTAACTACTACTTATTAGATCACTTACTCATCACATCATGACACTATGTTGGGTGAGTAGGTAAACTTGATTGATTGATTGATTGTTTGTTTGTTTGATTGATTGAATGATTGCAATATATAAATATTTGTATTTAACCGTAATAATAATAAATATGAAATGATATGGTGAACACAGTTGTAATGATGTGAGTTAGAATGTTTATTTGATTGAGTCTTTACTTTTAAACCCATATTTAATAATATCTAATTTAATTAATTTTGTAATCTATTTTGAATATTCCAAAACTACCTCAAAAACAAGTGTGATGAAGTTAACTGCCACCTGTTCAAAAACACACTAGTCCCACACACACATTCACAATCAATCTGAACAAATATGTAAAGAAAAAGGTGTCTGTTCATTGGTGTATGTTTATATGTACATGGATAACTGTCCGTTGGAAATCGACCAAGGACTCATCCTCTCAATTTAGTAGACGACTATATGTGTGTGTGTGTGTGTGTGGGGGGTACAGGTGATCAAATGAAGATAGATGGATGTATTGATACAACAATCTGACTCTAATAAGCCTTCAGGTTACCCACCCTACACCGTGTGAACAGTCAGGTATGTATGTTTGGAGGTTAATGAACTGTGTAAAGACCTTAGGCGCCAAGTTCGTTGGTTACCATCACACTACACATCACTCCAACTACAATCTCCAATCTCAACATGGACTGATTGATGGACGGGTGGATAGTTGGATGGTCAATTTCTAATTACAAAGATATAGTTATTATATATATATTACAACTATAACAGATAATAATAATAATAATAATAATAATGTATAAATATAAAATTTATTTATTGTTTTTGTTGTTCACGAGCACAACAATAATAATAACAACAACAACAGCCACTTCACAAGCTGTCCAAAATGGACAGGAACATTATTATGATCTTGATTTGAATGCCAGGTGCGAACCATGGATTGGACATCCATTCTGTCAAGGTTTAATAAATGATCCAAGTAAGTATGATACTCACTCATCATCCAGACATCACTCACTCATCCATTCAATCAATAAATCAAACATTTAGATTCAATTTATGTAACACAATCAAGATCACAACAACAGATGTACTCAAATGCCACTATGGCAGAGAACTTGTTCCAATCAACTCCGTCAAACTGTTCATCAAATGATAAGAATAGGTTATTCCTTTGTAATCAAGTATGTATCAATCATCAGTTTGATTGATTGATTGATCAATCACACTCACTCACTCACACTTATACAATCATGTGACTTTAGATATTCCCTGGATGTCAACATATTGTATTGAGTGTTAATGGTAGTACACCGGCAACTTATGCATTGGGCGTACCTGTGTGTTTGGCAAACTGCCAAGACACCAACAATCAATGCTTCAAGGGATCAAAGACAGGTAGTTTATTCAATTGTTCAGTGCAACACAATGGAATATTCAATTATCCAACAAGTTCAAACATGTACAATCTATCACAATATGGTCAGAGTCCAACTTATACAGTCAACTGCTTCAACACATTCCTCATGGTACCCAGCGGCCCCGTCACCCCCGTCAAGCAAGGCTGCAACAGTCCACTCGTGTACCACGAGGCTACCAACTTTGACACGGACTACAACAATGGATATTATCAAAATGGCACCAACTGCGCCCTGCCATGTCCATCACCGATATTCAACGATGAGCAATGGGACACTCTATACACCATCTCATCAATACTCACACCGATAGCATTTGTATTGTCGACAATCAATCTGATAACATATGTTGCAATCAATCGCAAGTTTAGTCGACATACAATGGGCATCATATTCTACTCGTTGATGGTGTGGATCGTATCATTCTCACAACTATTCTACATACCCAAGGGAATGAGTGCATTCTGTCCGGAACCAGGACGTTATGCACGTCAATTCGACACTCTCTGTGCAGCCACAGGATTCATCTTCCAATATGGAGTGATCGCCGCAGCCATGTGGTGGGTATCAATTGCCTTTGATCTATGGTTAGTCATAAGAAGTAGTATGTATCCAAGTGATTCATTATGGAATCATTCCATCACATCCCCCCACATAGACATACTAACTATTTCATTCAATCAATCAATATAGTGAATCATATTACAAGTTATAAGATATATTATATTTTTGTGATTAATATCATTGCAGTGATATTGGCCATTGTACCATTGTTTTACAATCAATATGGTACATCTGTACAAGGACTTGGTTGTTGGATAATGGATGAGAAGTGGCAGAATGGTGTCTTCTGGATACCCCTATCCATCATCCTATCATTTGGTCTCTTAACCATATTCCTAGTCTGCTACGAAGTATACAAGGTATGTCATCCATCATCCATCACTCACTCATTCATACTCATATCCATACTCAATCAATCAAACATCTTTAGATTGTGGCCGCAGTATCCAAACTCAAGGGAGTGAGCGGCAAGACGAGAATGATCAAGATGAATATTAGGACGATGATATTTGTGGTGTTGCTGTTTATAGAGTTCTTGTTTTGCTTCATATTCCATTTGTATATGCAGAGCAATAAGGACATGTATCAGAATGGCATCGTCAACTATATCAAGTGTGTAATGTTCAGTGCTGACAATGAGGCATGCTCAGCCCTGGCCACCCTAGTCCCATTCAAACTATACGCCTGTGTTCAATTCCTTATGCGATTCATAGGCATTGAGACACTGGTCTTCTACGGTGTCACCAGTCAGTCAAGACGCATCTGGCTCAAGTCATGGTGGTTCAACAACGCTCTGGCCGACAAACTCAAGTTATGCGCGCCATCACTGTTCAAGCTGAGTTCCGATGGTTCTGGATCCAATGACAACTCTCGCTGTTCCAAGTCATTCCCTGCTGGTACCAATGTAGTTGGTGGTAGTGATAGTGGAGGTAGTATTAGGAAGATGCCAACAAACATTAGATTGAGCACTGATGATGGCGAACATCATGGTCAAGACAACAATATGAACAACAACAACAACAACAACACATCCAGTGCATCACTTGTGGATAACAATCAATTTGACATTGATATATCTTCAACTGATTCATCATCATCAGTTGACTTGGAGAAGTGTCATCCATGATCATTGTTGTGACCTGTCTTCTGTGCCATTCAAAACATGTAACATATTAAATAATAATTAAAACGATATGATTAATCATACTCATTCATCGAGCTCCAAGGTATACCAAGTAATCTATCAAGGGTGGACTCACTAATTCTAACGGATTATTTGAATTTGAATTTGAAAACAGTTGAAAAGAGGAGGGTGAGTTAATGGCGCTAATTTTGAAATTTGAATTCAATCCAAAAATCCGACTAAAACAGTGAAGTGAGTGTTAGTTGCCAGATTGTTCTCTAATTTTTGTTCTTTTACTCTCGACTATTTATTGATCCCACGTGGGATCATCAAACACACATTGTTTATCAACATCTCACTTCACTCATATCTGTGCAACATACTCTCTCTGCTCTAAAGCATATCTCTACCTACAACTACTTTACTCAATCATTAATCATGTCTGAATCAGCATCAACAGTCAAGCCAGCCGCCACCAAGAAGGCCGCCGCCTCCGCCGCCACCGGTGAGAAGAAGGTCATCAAGAAGAAGAACCCCAACGCCAAGTCTGTCTCGCGTTCGGGCCGTGCCTCTATCATCTTCCCAGTGTCCCGTATCGAGCGTCTGCTCCGTGAGGGCCGTTACACTGCCCGTGTCGAATCCACTGCCCCAGTCTACTTGGCCGCCGTCTTGGAGTACTTGGTGATCGAAATTCTCGAGCTTGCCTTCAACACCTGCGAGCAGGGTGGCAAGACCCGTATCACTCCACAGCACATCAACCACGCTGTTGGAAACGATGCCGAGCTGAACACCGTCTTCTCCAAGGTCATCATTGCCCAAGGTGGTGTCATCCCAAGCACCACCCACTTCCCAACCAGCAAGAAGAAGAGCACCAAGTCATCCTCCAAGTCTTCCAAGAAGACCGAGGCTTCTCAGGCATACTAAGAGCATTAGTGGCTCAATCGCTAATCTACCTAGATCTTAGGTCGAGCAGAGGATTTCCATCAATGTGATCGCACATACCAAAGGCTTTTTTCAAAGCCACTCATACTCAAAGAATGTTATCAGTTACTATAATTATCTCTTGTTCCTCTTGCATTCAATTGCACACTCATTCTCGGCTTTAGGCCGATTCATTTATGATGACAGGTCTGGGGTTAGACGACATAGATTCATCATCCGGGAACTACCTTTTTTTCCAGACTTCAACCTTTATTTGGCATGACAAAGATTTATTGTCGTCTTTGTATGGTTCCCTTCAATCAATCATAGAGATTAAGATAAACATGGCAAGGAAAAGAAAGATTCCAGATGTGAAGGAGATCATGTATGAGCTCTATGAGAAAGTCGACCAGCTTGCATTGTATGATCTTGTGACGAGAGAACATAGTGATCTTAGAGTTCATGGACAACGCTTGGTTAAGAAATACATTCATTTCATTGCTTTGAAGGTCATTGATTCAGATTTCGATACAACACCTGAACTATTACCATCACCATTGATCGACATTGTATGGCGCAATCATATATTGGACACCGAGAGTTATTTATCAATGTGCGATGCAATCAATCAAACAATTCATTACAGACCATTATCAAACTATGACTCGGACGACATGAAGAGGACAAGATATCAAAGGACTTTGACCTTTTACAATGACCAATTTGGCAACACTCCAGACATCACCATTTGGGACCCAAGATACTTGTCCATTAACAAACCAAAAAAGACAACTGCAAAGCGAGCTCCAACAATGTCACCAACCATTGTCAGTATCCAGCAAACCCCAACAACAACAACAACATCAACCAAGTCACCTTTAATTACGAGTATCCCTCCATCAACAGAAAAGCAAATTTTCATTACGAAGCCTCCAACAACAATACCAATAACAACAATAACTACATTGCCACATGTACAAACAACAAACAATGTACAAACATCAACGGAGCATTTGAACTTGGTTATTGACGGTCCTGGAGGAAAACTAGATGGACAGTCCATTCAATGACACCTTTTAGGACCATACTGGATTATTATTTCCAAGGCAAATCAATGGATAGGTTCTCAGTCCTTACGTTGACATATGGACCTCATCGCCTCAATTTAGAAAGAACACCTCTGTCTTATAACATGCGAAACAATGACACCCTCTATATGACTCTCAGAGGGTCCATCCACTGAACAACCATCCAATCAACCAAACAACTAATCATAAACAAAACTAATAACTTTATCTAAACGAATCAATTGACTATCGTAGCTTTGATACAAGTAGCTCGTGATACGTGGTACCAGCTGGTAGACCATATGGATGAGAGGAGTCAGCTGTCAACTCATTTATCTCTACAATACTTCCAATGATTATATCTTTCTTGGATCTATTCATTCATTGATCGATTGATTGGACGAGTGTTAGTTTATGAGTGATGTATTACGGGATAAGTACTACTTACATCTCATCACTATATAGATCAAAGCTGTCATATGAAAGGTAGTAGTGTGGCGCATTGATGTTCACTGCTTCATAGACGTCATTCTTGATGTTCTTGAAGACCACAGTGCGACTATGTTGGAAGTTTGACAATTGAGCCACCTCTTCATTGTCCTTGGACAGGAACATATCCACCATTGACTGCTCGTGTGATTGCATCTTCTCCAACAGTAGTCTTTCGTTCTTGGTGAACTCCTCCAATGTTTTTTCCAACGACAAACAGTTCTCCTTGAGATGGCGTGCATGCGTCAACACAGCCTGTGGCTTGCCAATATCGTACTTGGTGTCCAAGACCACGTGCAGCTTCTTGATCAACTCGAGATAGGTCTGCTTATCCTTGGCCAGACTGTCAATGTGATCGTCCTTCTCCTTTGTCTCCATCTGGTAGACACGTTCTCTCTCGTCCATGCTAGACTGCAACTTCTCAATCTTGTCGTGCTGGCCTATTGAGTTGAAGTTGACACTGTCCAGCTGATCCTGAAGTCTCTTGTTCTTCTGATTGAGTTCCTCAATGTACTCATTCAACTGAGCAATTGTCTCGTTGAACTCTTGCGTGGACTCTTTGTGTACCTTGTCGAGTACCTGTTTCTGTTGATTGCTCTCAGCCATAGCCAATGCTTGAAGCTTTAAAGTTTGTTCCAAAGATGTCACCTCCTGTCTAAGAGTGTGGACGGCCTCCTCCTTTGAATCCATAACAACATCTCGCATTGCCTTCTCTTGAAGTACTTGTTCCATGTCATTCAAAGCCTTGCCAATCTTTTGTTTGTGTGACTCTCGCTCAGATGACAACACCACCTCGAATTGGGCCACTTGCTTCTCCAACGACGACACCTGCTTGATCAGTGCCAACTTGTCCGACTCTAACAAATCATTGCTCGAGTCTCTGTCCACAAGCATCTTGGTCAGTTCTTGCACCTGATTCCTGAGCTTGTCGCTCTCATCCATGAGCTGGTCGTTGTTGGCCAGGTCCTTGTTATGAAGTGCCTCTCTCTCCTTGATATCCTGCTTCAAGTCCTTGATCTTTGACTCGAGTGTTGATATACTATGTGCTTGATCATTGATGACTTCGACAGTGGCAACCAACTCTTGCTCCAACTTGCTCATGGAGGCAGTCTTGCGCTCTAGTTGTGTAGCTAGATCATCACAGTTGTCTGTCAATGCGCCAACAGTATCTGAGTGCTTGGTCTTCCAGGTAGCTTCAATGTCATTGATTTTCTTGTTCAAATCGGTGATGACACTCTCCTTGGCGACAATGGTGGAATTGGCTTGCTCAAGCTTCCTTGACTTGATCTCAAGGTGTTCTCTCTGGCGTTCAATCTCATCCTTGAGCACCTCGACCTGGTTCAACAGCTCTGTCAGCTCATGTCCATCATTCTCATTGACCAGTCTCAGAGAGGACAATTCCTCCTCCAGATCCTTGACCTCCTTGTGCTTGGACTCTTGGATCGACTTCATATCGGCATTCATCTTTTCCACATACACCTTTGATTGATCGATTGATGACTGGAGCTGTTCGATCTTGTTTGATTGTCTGGCCGAGCTCTCGTCGAATGATGCCTGGAGCTCGTTGTACTCTTCGCGGAGTTGTTCAAAGTTGGTAGAGAGATTCTCCTTCTCGCATTGATACAACTTGGTCTCTGCGCGTAGTGACTCGATCGTCTCTTGGTCCTGTGACGCTTTGGCCTCCTTGTTTGCAATGTCATCCTCTAGGCTCTTGATCTTGTCCGAGAGTTGTGTAAGTTGCCATTGCAGATCTGCCTTCAACTCCTCCAACTCGGTCTTGTCTTGATCGAGAAGTGATGCTCGCTCGCCATAGATAGACAGCTTCTCCTTGGTGGTGCTGAGGTCATTCCTTAGTGAGGCATTGGTCTCGCCCAACTCGAACAACTTTGTTTCCTTTTCATTCAACCGAGACAGCAGGTTCTCCTTCTCATACGTAGTGCTGTCGAGAATTCCTTGCTTCAATTCAATTTGTTGTTGGAGCTCATCAATGTGATTGGCCTGGGCTATGCTGTCCTTCTCCAGCGCCACCAACTGCGCTTGCAAGGAGGTGGACTCCTCCAGACCGAGAGTCTCCTTGGTGAGCATCTCTCGCTGAAGACTCTCAATCTTCTCATTGCAGGTGACCAACTGTTGCTTCTTGGTGGCACATTCAATCTCCAACTGGATGATCTTGGTGGACATCTCATGTTCACGCTCATTGAGTGAGTCAATCAACTCTGAGTTCTGCTGGATTGTTGAAGACAGGTGCTCGAGCTCCTGTTTCTTCTCCTCCAGCTCCTTCTTGAGTGATTCCAATTGAAGCTTCAGTCCATTGGTGACTGAGCTGTCGGACTGCATGATCCTGGACTTCTCCTGGAGGTCCCTGTACTTCTCTTCAGTCTTTGATGCCATCAAGAATGTCGACTGTAGTCTGGACTCCAACATCCTAATCTTCTCCAGTTGTTGTGACTCCTGAGGGAGTTAATTGATTGAGTGAGTTGGTTAATTGATTGAGAGTGAACGATTGAGGGTACATACATTCATCTTGGACTCTAGTGATGAAGCACTGAATGATCGTTCATACTCGGGTGGCTTCCTCTGGACTTGGACATGTGATGATGATGACGATGAGGATGTAGCGGTCTTTTGGAGATTCGGATCAAAGCCATCGATGAGTGTAAAGTCATCGTCAATGTCCACGCGCAGTATTTGGGAGTCGCTGATCGAGGGAAGTTGAGTGTCAAAGGGTGGTAGGTGTAGCTGGAATGATGGTAATGGCTCCTTGAGTGAGTTAAAGATATGTGGTGGCAGATATCTATACACCTTCTCAAAGAATGCCTGTCTCTTTTGGTTCTCACTGGCCGTGAATATATTCAATGACTCAATGAAGCGTGATACATTGGCATTGATTGTATTGTCGAATCTTCTCCTCCTTGATGTTTCCTAAGAGTGTTTATGAGTGTTAGTGATTGATGGATGGACACTTGGACAGTCTTGTTGGACTTACATTCAATGCATCGAGATAGGCAGTGGGCATATGATGTATACACTCTAGTTGGAAGAAGTTGTTGGTTTGCTTGGAGATGGCCTCATTCAATACGGAGAAGTTGCTCATCAATTGACGCATCTCTGATTGCAATCTAGAAATGGATCGTAGCTCTGAGAATACATATTGATTGAAACTATTCTTTGACTTGGAGAACAGTATCAAAGTGGTCATCAATATCTCAACATTCCTCATTGAGTTCCTAATATTATCATCCTGTGAGTATTGTATCTCACTGAATGATGACACCACCTTGGACAGCTGATCCAGGTTGCTCCTTGATCCCTCCAATGCTCTCTTGATACCATCAGAGTCTGTCGTCATATTGATTGTGTTAGATTGGATGATTGAATGATTGAATGATTGATTGAGAGTATATACATACATGACAAGGACTCTTGATGTAGCAATTGGAAATGCTTGGTATGCTCCCTTGCTTGGTTTGTTCTTTCCGTCAACTCCTTGATGCTATGGTTGATTGATTGGTCGGCGGGTTAGGAATCATGGTCCATGGACCATCTGTGAACATTGATCATCACTTACTTTATCTCCAAAGGTCTCTTCATATCAACAGAGTCTCTTATTGAATCGATCTGGCTTCCAAGCTCCATGATCTTTCCTTTCAATATCTCAAACTCTCTCTTGCATTGATCGCTCCATTTCCTCATCTCCAACTCTGGTATACAATCAAGTAGTGTACTCTTTGTCGTTGTCTTGAGTGCATCATGTAGTTTGACTTGCTTCAACTATAGTGTAGTTGATGTTAGATGTCTGATTGATCGATGATGATGAAATGACTTACTCGTTGAAGGTCACTGTCGAATGATAGAAGCAAGGACTCGAAATGAGGTGATTGTTTCTTGAAGAGTGCAGAGATGGAGTTGTAGGAGTGGACCAGTTTGCTCTTGTACTCACTGAGACTGTGCAGTGCAACACTGATGCCCTTCCTTTGTGTGTTGAGCTCACTTAGTGTGTTGACGCATTGCAATGTCTTGTTCTCAAATTGATCCTTGAGATACTGAGTGGCAATCACCTGATTGTTCAAATGATACTCCAATGAGAATAGCTTGTTCAATGGATTAAACGAAGCTTCCAACTCTTTTAGATTCTTTGGTGTTGGTAATCTTGGAACTGAATGTAAAGTAATGTTAGTTGTTGTTGGCTCGATCAATCAAGGTGACAAGGACATACTTTGGAAGTCCTGTATGGACAAGTTGACCTCATCAGGTGCATGACTATTGTTTTCCAATATCTTCTTGTTGAATAGGTATAACTCTGTGTCGTGCTGTTGGTGAAATGGTTTGATTGATTATGTCAACCATCAAATGAATTTCCTCTAAAATGGTATCATGATACTTACAACAATTCCATATGATTCCAATGTATTGTCTGAATTAAGACTGATATCTTTGGCTGTTAAAAGTATCTGATCGGAAGGAGGTAATGATGTTACAGTTGCCAATGATTCTTTAATTGTTCTTATCCTGAAATGGGAAAGTTAGTATTCCTTTCAATCAATCATTCAATCATTCATTCATTGATAAGTTATACTTACAATATTGAAGGATTGACTGGTATCTCATAAAGAGAACCTGTATCACATCTGAGTATATTTAGTTTAAACATACTTCAATGTTTTAAAAATGTTTATATATATATTTACAATAATAAAATAATGGAAGTGATGTAGTAATAGTTGTAGAGATATATAGAGAGTATTGACAAATGAGAGAGAATAAGTTAAATTGACTCAACTCTAGAGTCAATTCAATTCACACGATACCTAACCTCACACGTATACACTCACATCCATTCATTCATTACCACTCCTACATCTATTGTCGTGAGTGTGAGAGGGGGGTAAAGCGTGTTTAGTTGACACGTGTGTGTAGATCAAAAGGTGCATTGAGTAGTGGGGGTGAGAAAGGATAAAGACTTCCTGTTTTTTTGTGAACTTTCACAATGAACCCAAGTCTAGATCATCTGCAACTTGGGCTATCTTCAATCAACTAGTTGTGTTGGTTTGTCCATTGATGTAATAATAAATGTACAACTGACTGACTGGTTTAATGTACATTTGCATGGGTCGGTTGGTTGCGAATGGAAGTGCATGGGATGGGATGGGACGGGATGGATGGTCAAGTGATGCAACGACATTGATAATGTTCAGTTCCAACCAACCATCCAACTTAAGTGCACACAGCCACTTTGTGGCGAGATGCATTACCGCTCTGATGCCACACAACCAAACTAGGCCGTCAATTGATGTGCTCAGCTCAGTGCGCCCTGACACTTACACGACGCCAGGTCACTTGTTGGAGACATACAATGAACTCTTCTTCCACAGAATGTTCAATTGCTCCATGAACAAGAACGTCAGTATCGTATGAGGTCCTAGTCTCATGAAGTACGGTCCGAATCCCTTATAGAATGCTGCAATACCTTCGGACTTAAATGTCTGTGCATCAATGAGTCAGTCGAGATATCCCATTCAATCTGCACGGATACACATACCTTTGCAAAGCAATCAATCGTTCCCTTGTAGACTACAGGTTGTGGCTGTTGTACGCCACCAGGTGTAGTCGCGGTGGATGATGCTGGTGTTGACTTCTTGGCATTCATAATCCTTGTCTTGATGACATCGATTGGACTGGTGACCAACGATGCAACGAACGCTGATATTGTACTGGCACTACATTTTGATTGATTGATTGATTGAGTCAGTACGAGGCATGCTTGATCGTGATCATCCGATCATAATCATACATTAGATGTGTCTTAACATTGTCCTGGAAATAGCCAGATGCCAACATCATCTGTTTGGATTGGTCGTAAGATGCGATCTATGAATGATCGATAAATGTGGATGGATGGAGGAGATGACAAGTTAGAATGATTGATAGTCGGCACCTCATTGTGGAGCGAGGTAACTAACTCACCTGTCCTGCAGTCATAAACATCGCTCTGATAAGGTTGGGACTGCATCCCTTCCAGAGACTGAACAGACCCTCTTCCTTTGTGATCCTATACAGTCCATTGAATGCACCAGTGTAGTTTCTTCGTTGTGCAGGTGGCAGCTTGCCATCAGCCTGCATTCGCACCATTATAACATCTGCCGGTGTACCAACGATTGCACCACCGGCACCAGCTAGCATACCAACCAGCACCTTTTTGTGGAAGGGGAATGGGTCGGCAGTACCAACGCTATCTGTAACCAACATATTCTTAAACACTCCATAAAGTCCAAACCTTGTAGTTGTGTATGTTCCTTGTCGAAGTAGTGATGCAGACAGACTGATTGATTGAATGAGTGAATGGATGAGTGATGTGTCGTAGCAGGACAGGAGCATGAACATACCCCTTGTACAAGGTGAACAATCCTTCAGTCTCACTGATATGTGATAACATCTTGAGTGAACCTTTCTCAGGCTTGAACTGAGGGATCTTTGTTGTCGTTGTAGTAGATGTTGCATTTGGTGTTGGATGTGCGACAGCCTCCAACTCACCCTGTAGTTGCATTCTAACCTTTAGTGAATCGATTGGATGTGTGATTGCAGCGGCAGCCATTCCGGAGAGACCTCCGACAACGAACTGTTGCAACTGTGATGAGTCTTTCCCTATATTTGATTGATTTGATTGATTGATCAGTGAGTCCAAAGTCCATTCATTGTTTGTTAACATAGTGATTCGTACCTTGTCCAAATGACATCGTCACAGTACTTGTATCTTAATTATATGTTTGATTGTTATAAGTATAGTAATAGATGAATGGATTAATGAATGGTAGAGTGTTTGATCATCATTGAAGTTGTGTTGAGTTGTGAAGTTGACCATCACCCACTCACACTCGCCCAATCACATTTAAATTGCTTGCTTATTCCAACGAGGAAGACGATGATGATCACATGAGTGTGAAGTTCATCATCAATGATCGGATGAACATAAATAAGTATGGGATTTACAATGATAAAGTGCGCGTAATACTTTATTTCTTCCTGCCACCTCTCTCTTTCAGTCCGAGTGATATCGTCGTTCCAGTCTTTAGATTGTAGTACGCTATCGTGTTCTGATCCTTTAGAATGGACAGACCAGGTGCCTTAAGCTTCTGTTTGTTTGGTGCGATACCAATTGTTTCCTTGACCTTCTCTTTGAGTGTCTGTTGTTGTGGGTTATGTTAGTATCAGTTCGTGATTGAATGATTGATTGAATGAATGATGAACTTACCGATATTGTATCCTTGTGTTGTAGAGTAATTGACAGAGTTTGTACATTTCCTTCTGATTGAGTGGCCTCAATTGTGAGTATGATGGGCCCTGGATTGTTCTGAATGAACTCTTCCTCGGGTATGAGTAGGTCTTCAACCTTTTGCTTCTTTAGTGGCTGCTCAGCATGTTGTTCTGAAGGGTTGCCCATCGATGGAGGCATTGGAGGCGGTGGCATCATACCAGGCATGAATGGTGGTGGCATTGCACCACCTTGCATGAAAGGCATCATACCTGGCATCACATAGTTGTTGGGCATCATGCCGTGTTGGTAGCCAGGTGGTGGAAGCATGCCATGCATTGGCCTGCCTCTGTCCTGTAGCGCCCTCTCTCGCTCCTGTGCCGCTCTCTCTCGCTCCTGAACCAACTTGTCGTGTGCGGCAAGTGCCGCTGTCTGCGTCCTTGGAATACTGCCACTGTGTCCGTCCCAGACGACTCGCTCACCGGCTGCGGCCTGCTCCTCCTCGGGTCTGAGTGACTTTCCAATCTCCACTTCTTCGTCTCCAAAGATATCCGTTCTTCTGTTTGCAAATGCCTGCAAGTTCCTTGCAATCTCGTCGTCCTGGGCCAACGTCGACATGGCCACCTGAGGCGCATCCCTCTTGGTCGCGTTCTTGTTCATCAGCTCGATCCTCATATGCTCCTCCATCTGATCCAATGGTATCTCTTGCTTGCACATTGGACAGACTTGTGTGATCTTCTTGGTCTGAGCCATTGGCTTGGTGGTCTTGGTGTAGTCCTTGACGACCTTGAGCTTGGGCTCCTTGACGGGCTCCATGTCCATGTCCATCTCTGTGTCCATCTCCACCTCCATGTCGTTCTCCCTGCTCTTCTCGGCCGCCTCCTCTTCCTCGTGGAACTTGAGCAGCTGCTCGAATGTTTTGGGCGGCGGCAGCGTCGACAGGTCGTCGTCAGCAAAATCGATCGTGTCCACAACGACAAAGTCATGCCAGTCGATTGATGCAATGAGTGCGCGCTCCTCCTCAGCGTCCTCGTCGGCCTTCTTCTTGGCGATCTGCTCCTGCTGATTCCATTCGAACCTGTTTATCGCACGATCCAATATAGCGTTCTTATCTTGATAGTCTGGCATCTTTAGCGTCTCTTTGATCAACCTGGGTGGGAAGACCACCACAGCATACGAGTCTGTCAATGCTCTGTACCACTCATGCAGGTGATGTGTCGGCTTAAGGAACTCAAACTGCGGGTTCTTGGACTCCCTACTCGCCAGACCTTGTTGGAATGATTCGCCATTCAATGCAACAAACTGTGCTGTCAGTCTCATTGTATCCCTGTTGTGTGAGTGAAGATATGTGTCAGTCGTCGATCGTCCACTCATTCAATCAATTAAACTTACAAGTCAAGTGCAGAGATCTCCTCTGGTATATCTAGAACAAAGAGCAGTGGTAGAGGCTCAGTGACTACACGCTTGGGCTTCTCTGGCTCTGGAGGTGGGGGTGGTGGGGCTGCTGCCGCAGCTGCTGGTGGCGGTGATTGTATCGACTTGTCGAGGGCATCAGCCGTGGGTGGTGTCGCTGTTGTTGGTTGCTGTGATGCTGCATCTGTCTTTGATGGTGTATCTGCTTGTGCTTGAGGAGGTGGTTGTGCTGCTGCTGTTGCTGCTGCTGCTGCCGCTGCATGCTTCTCCTTCGCAGCAGCTATACGTTGCAAGTAATACTGATGAAATTGATCGTCCGCATTAAGAAAGCTAAACTTTGGGTTATTCTTCTCCTTATCCTTAACCTTCTTCTCGAAGCTCTCTCCAAACTTTGCCGCAAACTCTGCTGTCTTCTCTATGTAGCCTATAATATGATATTATGTACATGTTATTGTCAGTCAATATCATTCATTCATTCATTCAGTTTGATTGATTGTTCGTTCATTCATACCTTTGATGTCGGCTGGAGGCAATGTTTCGCTGACCATGATGTTGTTTGTTGATGATATTACTCTGTGCAACCTGTATTATATGTATCAACTCAATCAATCAATCAACAATGACCTCACGAGGTCACATTCATTGTTCTTGAAAGTAGATCACATGCTCAACTTTGTGCAATTTTCATCAACAACATACCCTCGCACACATACCCTCGCACAAATCATTCAATGAACTTTGGACAATGACAATGTAAAGACTGTTGACTGACTGACTACTAATATATGTATTTATATTTAGTTAGTTTGATTGATAGGTTGATGCTCCATCTTGATGAAAAGATGGATTGTTGTCCTTGGATGGCGATCCCAGCCTCTGCTGCTGTTGTTGATATTGATATTGTTGTTGCTGTTCTTTCGATGGTGAATACATTCGTTGTCTGCTACTGCTTCCACTGACTCCATTCATATTGCTATAATTATTATTAAATTGTCTTGATTGATATGTTGCGTATTTTTGTGATGGTTGATATTGTTGTTGTTGTTGTTGTTGTTGTTGCGTCGTTGCTGTATGTTGTTGTTGTTCTTGTTGTTGATTGTCATCGAAACCTAGGCTACTGGTATTGTTGGTGTTGCTGCTACTGCTATTTGATTGATCAATTATTTGTACATAGTTGGCTGGGAACAGTCCAGTCCGGCCGTTCAACTCGCCCTCCCACCACTCCTGGTGTGGCTTGCCAATGACATTGATGATGTCTCCCTCACGGAGTGGGAGGTCGCGTGGAGTCTCCGAGTCAAAGTCGGCGATGGCTCGCACCCTTGTCACGTCATCCCAGCTCTTATCCAGCTGAGTGGCCTCTCCTCGTTTACGTCTCGAGAAGTTTATCATCTGGCCAATGAGCATCGGTATTCCAATGAATGTAATGGCAATAATCACAACAAATGTTGTAATACTTGGAGGTCCCTGTTTCTTCTCAAACTTTTGGAAGTCCTAATTTGATTGGTGAGTCAGTGAGTCAGTGAGTCAGCGAGTCATTGATTGATTGATTGCCGCGCAGTAGACTTACATTGACATCCAATCCATCCACTATCTTTGTCGTATCTATATTTGGTTTGCCAAGCATTATCCTGACCAACTTGATCAGTTTGTTTGAAACTGACTGGAACAGTCTGAAGAATGTAAACGTCTTGAGCATCAGGAATACCTCATTGCTGAAATGGCTCATGCTTTGACACAGTCTATATTGATTGATTGATTGTGTTAAGTTAGTATCCATGCCCATGCACTCACTGTGACTCATCGTGTTATTAGTTAGTTACCTTATAACAGATGTAAATGAAACACGGACTGCATCAAAGTTTGAATTGAGTAGGAATGAGAACCTTGAGAATGTATCGACAATTGAATGTAGGGTCTCCATCCATGAGCCATTGGGATTCTTGGACATCTCTCCATCTCGGCCTCCATAGCCTCCATAGCCTCCGCCGTAGCCGCCTCCATATCCTCCATAGCCACCGCCGTACGAGCTGCCATATGAGCTACCATAGCCGCCATAGCCGCCGCCACCGTATGAGCTGCCATAGCCGCCACCTCCATATAGGCTGCTGCTGCTTCCATAGCCGCCGCCACCGTACGAACTGCCATAGCCTCCGTAGCCTGAGCTTCCATATGAGCTGCCGTAGCCACCGCCACCGCCGCCATACAGACTGCCGCTGCCTCCGTAGCTATCGCCGTAGGAGCTGCCAAACGCACCGCCGTAGCGGGACGACGTTGATGACATGCCCCCGTATTCACCTGCGCCTGATGAGTAGCCTGTGTCCCACGGTCGCTGTGGGGTCCTTGGACGCGTCGTCAACTGATTCGAGGTGGTTCCATTGGGTGATCCCGATCTAGTGAGCCGTGACTGTCCAGGGCCACCGCCAGTATGTATCGAATTTGTTTGTGTCGTTGATGTAGTTGAAGTAGTTGGTGGCAATGGCGATGAGCCAACCATACTACTACTACCTGCTCCTACTCCTCCAGTTGCTCCTTTTTCCCACGGCTTTGGTGGTGAAGGTCTCATCTCTCTCTATCCAATGTATATGTATATATATATATAAAGATAATTCTATTTGTATATGTGCTCTCTACTACTGTTGTTGTTCCTGCTGTTGAAGGTTGTAGCTACTGTTCACTTTGTTGTTATTTCTGCAAGTAAACTATTGAACTAATAATATTGATTGACAATGTTTGATTAAGTGTGTGAGTAGTTGTAAACTTGTCTTTGTATATGTATATGTATGTGTGAATGAGTGAAATGAAAGAATGAATGAATAATGAGCGGATGAGTGACAAGTATGTAGTGTGGTGTGTGAGTTGATGTTTATATGTGTGTGTTGAGGTTGAAGAGATAGAGATGAAATGGAGCAAACAAGACCTTCTTAGGATTGAATGAATCAGGTCAAGTTGTTGCTGTTCTTGTTGGTTTTTTTAATTATTGCGAGTGTGTGTATGTTCAAATTGGGAAATGGATGATTCGGTGCCGAGTGTCCCTGTCTGCTCCTTCGCTGCAAATATTTAATACCAACCTTTTGATATCCTGTTGTTTTTTTTTTGGAGTTCCTAAACAAAGTTATAATTATCTATGTATCTATGTAATTAAACATAAACAAGAGAGATAATGTAATACACTCAAGTTGGAAACTGTTTGAGTTGGTGGCTCATGAGTAAATAAATACCAACCTCATCATCTTCCCTGCTCCAATTACTCTCAAGATGACAGCACACACATGCTTCACGTGGGATTTTTTGTTGCTTTTGGAAGCAAGTGTCCCGTTTGTCCCATTCACTCACACACACTCACACCTCATCCATTTCTCTTTCACAATTCAATTGATTACCTCTCTCCCTTTCTCTTTCATTCTTTCAAACATAAACACACATAACTCAACAGTTATCTCACTTATCGATCACCCCAATATGAATGTCATAGAGGCATTGTCGGTGCAAACACATAATTCAATCAGGTGATCGTTGAAATGGAATGCAATTGGATTGCATTAGATGGATTGAATCTAATCGAATCTACGTTGGTCAGTAGTTTGGTTACAACCAAAGACAAAGTCATAGTTTTGTTGATAGAGACTCGACTTTGATTGTTGGTTTGAGATTGATTGATGATTGATTGATTGATTGAGAAGTAGTAGTAGTAGTAGTATTTGTGTTTAAGTGATAAACAAGAGCAAGAATGACTTTGAATTGGTCCTGGTATTCGAGGAGGTCATCAATCGATGTGGTTGTTCGGGTGGGGTGGGCCAGCTCATCTTGTGAAATTGAGACAACGTAATTTACATCAACTTCCAGATTCATTCATTTATTCATAACAAATAATATATTAATACAGATACTATAACAATAACAACAACATAATATATACATATATACATATATACAGCCTAATAAATAAGTTAAACATGAGTTTATTCGGAGGCAATGATAAAAAGGAACCGGCTAGTATGTACCTTACATTGATTGAATGAATGGATGAGATTATTGAATGAGAGATAGAGGGACATTGTTCATTAACGATAAAGTTAAACAATCATAAAGAGGTATTGAAAGAGACAAAGAAAGACTTGAACAAGTCACAACGTGATCTTGATAAACAGATTGTACAGTTGGACCAACAGGAGAAGGTCGTAATCACACAGGTCAAGGCTTTGGCCAAGAAAGGACAGGAGGCAAATGCAAGAACTCTGGCAAAGGAAATCGTTAGGATAAGAGAACAGAAGGATAAACTTAGAGCAATGAAGACCACAATGATGGGTGTATCTTCAAAGGCAACGGTAAGATATAGACATTAACAGACAGGTCCTTGACGAGGCTAGATCAAGTCTAACATGTAATTTATGGAACATATCTAGACAATGCAATCAGCAAATACAATGATGAAGGCAATGGGAACGGCCACCAAGGCAATGAATGTTGCCAACAAGCAATATGATGTCGCTCAGATGCAAAAGACAATGATGGAGTATCAGAAGCAAGTTCATCATGCAGATGTTACAGATGAGTATGTATCAATCTTGACAATGCAATGTACGAACAACTACTAACATGATTGATTGAATGATATATAGGATGCTACAATCTATGTTTGAGGATGATGAAGTGGATACCGAAGCAGACAATGTACTGTCACAGATTGTTGATGAGATATCAATGGATAACTACTCTAGGATGCCTGCCACTTCTCGAGACAGTCTGCTATCAGACAGCGAACCGGCCAGCAAGGTTACCGATGCCGACATTGATAAACTATTGCAAGGTCTATAGAATATATTGTATAATGTATATTAATTGTTAACATGTAATAAACTAGACTAGTCTAGCCAAACAACGCCAACAAAGATAAAGACAAGGAGGAGAGAAGAAGACAATGATAATAAGATTGATTGGTTGATTCGAACGTTTATTTATGGACATCCATCCAATAAACAGACGATAACGAGCAGATGATCACAACGAATGAACAGTTTACTCGTTGTCCTCCTCAAGCTGATCTGGGTCAGCAATCTGGAAGTATCTCAACTCGTAGGTGTTCTTGTTGGAGGCGACGACACGGAGGAAATCACGGATCTGCTTCTTCTTCAAGAACTTCTTGGTGAGGTACTTCAAGTATCTCTTGGAGAAATGGGATGGTGGCCTGGACGACGATCTTGGACTTCTCACGGGTGATGGTGACATCGTTACCGAGGTTTCCGGCCTTTCCCTTGACCTTGATCTTGTCGTGGAGGAACTTCTCGAACAAGGCGACATCGAGGATCTTTCCACCTGGGGCAGTGCAGTCGATGGTGAACTTGTGGTTGGACTTTCTTCTGAGAGCCGACTTGGGCGACTTGGTGGTTCTCTGTTGTTGTTGGAGATAGATAGAAAGAGAGGATGGGCATGTTAGTATATCTTGTTGGTTTGTTGGGTCGTTGTTGACTCGTGTTGATTCGTGATCCATTTCATAGAAGTGTATACAAATAGATATAGTACACAACGCAAATGTCTATTACATGTAATGATGTTGTTAAAGTATAACATCGGTTACATATACATTTAGTTGGAACATTGACTCTATTTGTATTGTACACTATTGATATACTACAGAAATGGTTGAAGGTTGACGAGGATAGAGATTATTGTTGTTGGACCAGGCTTTATCATCAGACCAGACTACATTGTCTACATCTCAATTCTTTCGTATTGTTCGTAATGTATGTTTGTTTATGAATCAAACAACTTGCAACGATTATCCAATAACAAATGATCAATCAAATAAGTATTGATTGATATATGTACTGGTGATGCTTTGAATGTTGTTGATTGACTAAACTACTACGACTACTACTAATGAACTGAGAGTGATTGGTGACATGGTAGTGTATTGGATTGACATATGCACTGGTACCAAACAATGTTACTCTAGTTACATACAGAGACGGAAGGCATTGTTGGTGATATCTAGTGGATGTCGAATGAACGTGAGAGATGAATGTGAGTTAACCAAGTGCTTGTTGTTGAAAGGCATTGAGTCTCTCGCTCGCTTCCATCTCACATTCAAATCATAAAAACAAAAAGAATTCAAAATAAGTCTAATTTGAATTACCAAACTTTTACAAAGTTGCGTAAGAGTTTACATAAATATCATTCAAGTTTATTTGTTTGACTTTCTTGTACAAGTGACCTAAAGAAGGTTCTGGTGAGATCTTTTGATAGAAATGGAGGAGTTTGAAAGAAAGAATTATGGGATTTGCCATTTAGGAATGAATAAAAGCGCTGTAAAATCTTTTTTGGCCATCAAGGGCTTGTAGCTCAGATGGTAGAGCGCTCGCTTAGCATGCGAGAGGTAAAGGGATCGATACCCTTCTAGTCCATAACCTTTTTCCTTCTCTAATCTCTTTTATTTGTTCAAATTCATTGATATTTAGTTATAAATAATTAATTAATGATTTATTAATATTTTTTCTAATCAATCTTGTTTAGATTTTAAGTGATTGGATATTTGTGATCCGATGTGGTGAAGGGGTGATCAATCAAAAATCAACCTGTCTATTCACTGAATTGATCTTGGTGTGACTGTCCTTCACATGGCTCCTATCTTACTGTATCGGTGACCTTTAATCTTAAACATTATTATTATCATACTTGTTGTTGTACAAATATTATTTGTTTTTGGAAATGAAGACAGTTAGTCGCGACTTTAACAAGGTATTTGCTCTGATCATAATATTGATCAACTGCATATGTATATTACAAACGAATGCACAACAGATTAATCCAACCGAATGTATGTGCTTATTCACTGAATCACTCAATCACTCAATCATCATAGTCTGACACTTATTGATCATTGTTGGCCTTCCCACTCCCCACCCCATATTTAGTAAAGTCATTGAGATGGTTAGCTCAACAGTTTAGTCTTCCCTGGAATGTCTCCGCGACAACATGCGTAGGCATGTCATCAGAACACCTCATCTGTACCACTCAAGGATCAGAGCTGACTGTCATTGAAATGTAAGCAAACATCATTCATGTTTGTGTTATGTTGTGTCAATTAATCACATGACTTACTGACCTGACGACTACCAAATCACTTTCTAGCAATGCACAGATCAGCTTGACTGTAATAATACCTATGGATGTTTCTATTACACAACTAGTATTTCCAAACTTAAAGTCCATCAGTATCATGGCCTCAGGTTCACCCTACCAAATGGCCAACACAACAGCCAATGTAATGGCAATGCTCGATACACAAGGCAACGAAAAGTTGACCAGTATCAGGTAACGTACAAGTCAATCAATGATTCATTCAATCAGTCATTTGACTAACATATAACTATGTAGTCTTGGGTACAACACAGCACTCAGTATCCTCATCTCTGATTTCTATCCACAATATATACCATTGGACACAGTGTATGTTTGATCGATTGTTGTTACGTAGATGAATGAATGAACGAACGAATGAACTTACCAATCACACCCACTGGTCGATGAGCAGAGAGTTCAATCAGATTACCATTGAGCAGATAGTACCAGAGAAGTTCATCACCCGACTCAAATCAATCAAGATCAATCAATGTGTATTCTCAGAGCCAACTGGTGGACAGATTGATCTGAATCCAGCATCCATACACAGCAAACTGACAACGATGTAAGTGTACACTAATCACGTTCACGTGTTGAATCGTCACACTGACCATCCATTCATCCATTCATCGATCCAGTAACATTGATTTCCCATCGACACAAGTTCGCAGTATATATCCAATCAATGATAGTAGCTTCCCTCTTTTGGATGAGTTGTATGTATCAATCACTCACTCAATCCAATCAATCATGTGACTAACTTGAGCAATGACGACATGAATAGGACCATGACATCGCCAACTCAACTTGGAGTGACCTTGAACCACACCAATATCACATGGCTGTCATTGAAGAGGACTCCACAGAATCTTGCACCAGGCACACTTAACATCATACGAGCAAACTCATTGGCTAACCTGTAAGTATTGTAATATCATTGGTTGAAGTTGGACGATGATACTAATCCAGACCAATCATTGATTAGTAATCTAAACAATTTCAAAGCGACACCAAACGATTTGAGGCCACTATCCATCTCTGCTGCGTAAGTGTTCATGAGCACTGGATGAATGATCCAATCTAACTAATACTCTATCAATACCATAACAGATCAATAACGTATTGTTCAGCTAATGTCATTCAATTTGATAATCTGAATGAGTTGTCCTATACTTGGTCCAACCTCACTACATTCCCAGCAGTTGACACATTCAACAATCAGTCCAATGGTCTAGTTCAATCATTGTATGTTATGCTGTTACACTCACTCACTCATGATATGATCGAATGAATGATGACTAATCACATACAACACCAACAACTAGAACACTCTATGGCAATAACATAACAGGACCACTCCCAGTGTATCCAAGTATATCAAGTATTACGGTATCACAGAATCCATCATTCGCTGGACCAATACCAGATCATTATTGTAGTCTTCAATTGGAACAAATGTCCTTCCAAGATACAGCACTCAAGAATGTACCAGAATGTTTCTTATGTGCATGGACAAAGGCCAAAGGTCTATTCAGTGGTTCTCTAATGTCGGGTCTACCCTCCGGATTTACATGTAGTATGTATACATTGAGACCATATCACCTCCCATGTATCAATCACTCATTCATTCATACATACATTTAGACTCATCAATTGACCTCAAAGTCTTCTTGATGACACCAACGACCAATATGACATCGATCACAATCACTGGATCAAACCTTGGATTTGGAGTTGATGGAGACATGTCTCCAGGATTGAAGTGTCTTGTTCCCAATCAACAGTTTGTGTAAGTTTGGTTGATTTGATTGATTGATTGAGTGCACTCAATACTTATACATCAATCCAATACTTTAGATATACACCACCAACTCCAAATGGACCAGGAAATCTACAATTCTCCATCAGTGATTCTATTAGCAAGTCAATCAATTGGGCCACAGATAGTATGTATTGCCTCACTCACACTCTCAATCAATCACTAACTTACATCATTCACTTCACAGTCACAATGGTCAGCAGGGCAGTTGCAGAGAGATATTATAGTGATTGGGAAATCACTGTATTGGGTAACTTTGACGTCAACCTTCAGTATAACATATCAGTCAATCTTCAAACGATGGTGGCCACACAAGTCACTCCCAACTTTATTAAATGTATTGTGACTGCGACTACCATGAGTAGGATGCCCAAACAAGTTGGTGTCCTGAATAACTACCAAAAGAAGGTTGGTGCAATTCAAATTATGAGTATGTCCATCATTAATCAATCACTCAATCAATCAATCATACTAACATCATCATCTATTCCACATATTTCAGAGTATCCATCTATATCATCATTCTCCAAGACAACAACGGATAGCAAGGACATTGCATTTTATGGATACTTTAGTATTATTACCAATGCCACATTGAATGTCACCATCAATGGTCTTGGATGTAGAGTAGCATTCATCAACTCATCACTACTCATATGTAATGTTACCACTGGTCAATTGAAGCCTGGATATGCCAACCTATCACTTGCCATCAATGGGGAGCTATTCCAATCAGATCAATACCTCCTGATATGTAAGTCAATCACTCGCTCGCTCATGGCCAATCAATCACTAACTGACTCAATCAAACATAGCATCATCAAGTATTGTTGATGATTGCGGTGCGTCAAGTGGATGTAGTGGAAATGGACAATGTGTTGAAGGAAGGTGTCAATGTGCCAAGGGCTTTGGTGGATATTATTGTGAGTCAAGGACCAATGATGGTGTGGTAGTGATCACTCCAGATGCAAGTAGTCCTGCGACTGTAATCAAGTCAGAGGGTGCCACTTTCCTATTCAATGTTGTGGCCATTCAAGAACTCGATCAGATTGGTCAGTTGGTCAGTGAGTTGCTCACCACAACTTGGACATCCACGACCATCAACACAGACACGATGACATCACATATCTACAACTTGACATCATTCAATCAAACACTCAATCTCAAGGTGTCATCAAGACTGGATGTGTCTACTGTCGAGAGGACTGTGGTGTTTGCCGGACAGACATTCACTTGCTCACCCAACTCTGTCAAGTTGACAATGTCCATCGAGCATTGGCCATTCCAATCAAACTTGAACACTCTACGCATGGTGTTGCACAAGGATGGCACACTCAACAATGACACTGGCGTTTGTGGAACCAAGAGCGTAGTTTCAGTGGACCCCTTCAACAACATGCAATACCTCAAGGTGATCAACAACAATGGCGTGGAGCTGTACGGACGCTTCCTCCCATACGCCATGTCGGACGGACGTCCAGCATTGTCGCGCAATGAGATCATCAACACTACAAACTCATCAACATTCATTGGCATCAATATGCCACATTGTTTGGATGAGTGTGTTGTGGATCCAGACTTCTCAGTGCTTGTCAACCCCAGTCCACAGCCATGTGACGATCAAACCAATCGTTGGAAGTTGCCCGTGATCATTGTATCAGTGATCGTCGGTACCATCCTTGTTTCAATCATCACTGTATCCATCATCAAACGTAGACTCAAAGGTCGAAGACTTAGAGATGTCGTCACACACAAGTTAAAGAAGATATCAAACTAGATAAATCTATCCTATCTCCCTGGCTGGAACTATTCCATCGTCATCATTCATCCAAACTGAACAATTGATTATCTGATTTGAACTCACCCATCATCAGGTAAGATATTTTTGAAGACCCAGTTGGGTCCTCAAGATTGGAGCCCCAACAACAAAAACAAGATGATTTTCACTGTTTCGTGGATGATCGCCCAAATTGGAGGGTATGATCAGTGCCGATGCCCCTTCATTTTTTGATCGTTCAGGCATAGGATTGGTTGATACATCCTCACTCACTCCCACCGGACAATCGTCATCTCGTTGAATACCCAATGAATGACAACAACAATTCTCAACAGACTTCGTTCAATTCATTCATTCCCCTGATCACAACAATCAAACAAACAATGAGGACTTTACTAATATTCTTTGTTACTTTATGGTTGGTCTCATCTTTTGGTGTTGTTCAATCACAGTTGAACCAAGTGGATCGTAAGTATAACTCATTCATACATACTCATCCAGCAGCATTCGTCTAACAATCAATCATATTCGGTCAATATTAAGTTACATCAATTAGATGGTTGATTCAACAATACAGACTGAAATGGAGTATGACTGCCAACACTTGTTCAGCAATCAACTTTCAAGGTCTATCATGTTCTACAGTAAACGGTACAGAGTCTATATGGATGATGTAAGTCTTTCAATCACATAATAATCAATCATTCAAACAAACTAACAAACCCACCCTAAATAGTACTGCTGAAGGTGGAATAGGCCAGGTTGACCAGGGAATGCCCGACATCTTGCTTACTCAATTAGTATTCCCAAGTCTAATCAGTTTCTCCATCAACAATATCACTCAGCCAAAGATACCTTCATTGAATATTCTGACCCTGTTGGACAATAACCAAAATACCAAATTAGTTACAATCAAGTAAGTTATTAACAATGATGATAATAATAATAATATATATGTCCTGACATTCAAATATACTTAATAGACTCACAGCATCACCGGATATTGGAATATCAATTGATCAAAACTATCCTATTAATATCCAGAATATCTCATAGTATGTATTATTTGACGATTAAATTAATCGTCAATAATATTATTAATAATTTTAAATATTATTTCACCCATCAATCAATCAAATAATAGTGAGCTTGTAAACATCACACTGAACTCTGATGTTCCTGAGCAATTTATAGCCAGATGTTTTGGATTTAGAATTGCTGATTGTATATTCTCAAGTTCCTCCTATCAGATCAACTTTAACACAGACCTTGTTCACCAAAACTTGAAGGAGGTGTAAGTTGTTAGTCTAATATCTGATTATAATATATAAATATTAACCTACTATCTAACAAAAAACCATATATTCATAGGTTTATCCTGTTTCCAGCACAGCAGACCAAGTTCACCAACATCTCACTTGATGATTACCACTTTCCATCGTTAACTCCAAGTAGTCCTGTGTAAGTATCATCCCCACGTACCTACCTTCAAGAATTTTTATATATATTAATATACAAATATAGGATCATTAAGTCAATCAATCAAATAGACTTATATTTTAATCATTCAACTCAACAGAGAATGTAAGTATGATTATTATTATCTATCTATTAATTAATTAATTATTAATTATTAATTATAATTAATAACATTATTTATTTTAGTTATTATGAAAAGATCAATTCATGGACAACAACAAGGAATAATTTATATATAGTCAAAGCTCCAGCAATGAATTATTTGTAAGTATTATCAATTTGAAACAAAGATCTGAATCAAATCCAGCTGGTGGCTCTGACAATCAATCGTTTTGAAATTCCCCAAGAGCTTTGAAGGGTATACAAATAATACCATCTGATCTAAGAGCAATTCTTCCGAATCTAGACACAATGTAAGTAATATAGAATTAAAAATTCAATCTATCAATCAATCAATTAATTAATACCAAACTTTCATCAATCTAAGATCAACTTTTAATACCAATGAGTTTGAACATGTTCCTGTTACTTGGGTGTAAGTATTAAATCAATCACAGTCTCCAATCAATTAATGAATTAATCTAAACTTGTATATATATATTTTAGGGCCCAGGATAATGCAAAACTGACAACATATCCACCTTTGGATACATTCCATTCCAATCCAGACATGACTATTCCTCTTCAATGGTGGGAGTCCCAAAACAACAATCATACAGGACCTCTACCACCATTCAATCTAACCAATGTTGATCTATCCGGAAATCCATTCTTTAATGGTTCTATTCCAGAGACATATTGTCGCGCCAAGAATATAACTTCCTTGGTACAGCCCTGGTCACAGTTCCAGATTGTTTCTTCTGTTCCTGGGCTGACAGCAGTCCATTCTTCCCTCCAACAGTAGTCAAACCACCTACATTCACATGTCGTAAGTACTTACATCATCGAATTGATCAACATATCATTTACTCATTGATTAATTCAATTATGAATACTATACTTAGCCTCAACTCTTGATCAAACAACGTATATCAAGAGTCCAAATGAGACCACGATCACGATTAGAGGAAGGAACCTAGGATTTGGATTGGACAGTGATATGGGTGTTGGCGTGAGTGTTCTTATCCGCAATGAAAGATTCACGTATGTTTGAACAAAACTTTGATTGATTGATCAAGACTTGCCGCCCACTCTCTGACTCGCCCCTTCACTCTCAATTAGGTTCAAAGTACCTAGCCCTGCTGGATCATCATATGTTGTCTTCTCCCAAAAGTATTCAATATCGAAGAGTGTTTCTTGGATCACAGATGGTAAGTGTCCTCAGACATACTTCCAACTACCTTAATGTTGTATTAACCAATAATGTTGGTATAGCAACCATAATCGGTCAAGGATCAATTGATAAATTATATGATCAATGGTTGATTAAGATACAGGGCACATTCGATCTTACTTATACCTATTCAATCAAAGTTGGTTCATCCATTGACATACCAATGACAGTTAGCGTATCTTTGCTCAGTGCCAACATCAGTACATCCACGGCAACATTTGGATTGAAGTCCATGGTGTCCATAACCAACCCCAATCAAGTGTTCCAGACCACTCTAACATATGATCGTATGTTTACAACATCATTATGACTAATTAATTCGGTCTCTAACAACTCAATCATTCAAATATTAGCATATCCATCAATATCTTCGTACACCAAAACCAGAGTTAGTAGTACTAGTATCACCTTCTTTGGATACTTTGGCAATATATTTGATAAGGTATTAGTTACAATCAATGGAGCCAGTTGGACAGTCACCAACTCAAACTCATCCATGATCCAATGTACCAACAATGGAAATCTAAAAAGTGGATATGCAGAGCTCTCACTCATAGTCAATGGTGAATCATTCATTTCAAATCGTACCTTGGTCATATGTATGTATCATTCATTCATTCATTCATTCATTCATTCAATCAATCAATCAAACTAATAATGACACAGTCCCAGATGAGATACCAGATGATTGTGGAGCACAATCCAGTTGTAATGGAAATGGAAACTGTGTGAATGGGAGATGTCAATGCTCAACAGGCTTTGGAGGCAACTATTGTGAGTCTAAAGGATCAACTACTGGAGTGGACATTACATCGGACGCCGTCCGCCCAGCCACAACAATCAAGACTGCCAACGAAACATTTATGTTTGCAATCATAGGTGTACAGGAGTTGGATGTCTATGGTGATCCAGTCAACTTGGTGTCAACAGTAGATAACTTATCATATGACATTTCTACCCCCATACCTGGCGTGACATCATACATGTACAACCTGTCATCACCCACCCCTGATCAATCAGACTTGAGAGTGGCACTTCAGATTGATGTGTCTACTGTTCCAAGGACTGTTGACTTTGCAGGACAGAGTGTATCATACCCTGCCAACTCTGTCAAGCTCACCATGACAATCGATAACTGGACATTCAAGTCGAACTTGAACTCACTTCGAGTGTTGCTTCACAAGGATGGATCATTGATCAATGACACCAGTCGTTGTGGAACAAAGAATGTGGTGTCAATTGATCAGTTGGACAATGTCCAATACCTCAAGGTGATCAACAGCAATGGTGTCGAACTATTTGGTCGATTCCTACATTATGCATTGTCCGATGGCAGACCTGCCATCTCACGCAATGAGATCATCAACACCACTGACACATCAACATTGATCGGTATCAATCTCCCACATTGTCTTCAACGATGTATTGTTGACCCTGACTTTACAGTGTTGTTCTCTGATGCCAATTTATTGGACCCAGATTACAATGATGAGTGTAAAGGTGGCAAGGATAACAAAGGTTTGGCTGGAAGTGTATCATGGAAGCTCATAGTGATCATTGTCATCCCGATTGTAGCCACATTCATAATCATCACAGTTTTAATAGTTGTGATCGTTCACAAGCTTCATGGTAGACGACTCAAAGATGTAGTGTCACATAAGTTAAAGAAGATGTCAAGGAGCAAGATGTCAAGGATGAGATTGGCAGATACAGATACTAAAGTTCACTATCAATCAAACAAATAATTTTAAAAATATTACAAATCATAAATAGATCAGCAATCACTGAATGACTTTGAATGGTTGTAACCCCGAATGAGTGAAGAGTCGCCACATGATTGAGCGATCAATCAGGTTGTCGCACGTCAAAAATGGGGGTTTTGGGTGCCAAAAGTCGGGGGAGAATGAGGCTCGAGTACCCAAGTGAGATTGATATGAAGTTGATATCTATATTACATTTTATCTGAACGGATATTAATAGATTTATCAAAGTATTTCTCTGGTGATGATTATGATCAACTGACGTGTTCCCGACCCTTCAGAATTGACCATTAAACAACTTCGTATCCTAATCAGTCATTCATTCAATCCATCAATCAAACAAACAATGACGAGTAGTATCTCTATGTTAGTGATCATATGTATCTTGGTGATTGGCAGCTCAGTGGAAGAGGTACAATCCCAGTTCAACCCGGCTGAGTGTATGTTGGTATAGTTGATATCAATGTTTCATTCTAACGATCAAACACTTGATCTACACTTTGTAGTGGCATCACTTCGATGGTTGATACAACAGTATCGATTGAATTGGAATATGACAGCAACAACCTGTGACAAAGTCCTCCCCACAAGTACCAGTGACACTCTTACCTGCACAGGAGATACCATTAAATCAATGTAGGGTCCATCACACTCACATTCACTCTAACTCACTCATTTAAACATTACTAATTCAATTAATCAATCAATGAATTAAACAGTGTATTCAATGGATATGCTGGACCAGCAGTTGACAATGGAATGCCAGATGCTTTGTTAAAGGAGTTATACTTTCCAAACATGATATATATCACTATTGAACSGAAGCAGACAACCTAGAATACCAACTGCAAAACATCCTTACAATGTTGGATACAGCCAATAACACTAAATTAGTATCAATTCAGTATGTCACTAAAATTATAATAATATATTTTAATATAATATCACCTCTAACCATTGTTTACTAATATCATTCAATCACCCGTAGAATACATAATAGTATAGAGATAATAATCAAGTTTGATGTCAACTATCCACAATTCATAAAGAAAGGAGGATTGTAAGTGATCAATCAAAGATTATTGAAATCCATTACTTAACAATCAATCAATCAACTTTATCAAACAGTGAATTTGTCAATATTACCATTGATTCTGATGTACCTGAGCAGTTTCTACAACGTTGTAGATTGATCAGACTTCAGAAAATAACATTCACAGACCCATCATATCAGATCAATCTCAATCCATCAATATCCTACCCACTCATGCAAGATCTGTAAATACTATAATTCACTAGATGGAGAGTTTCAAAGCTTGTCCAATGACTAATCAATTCCAATAATATAGGAACATAATGTACCCTGAACACCAGACACGGTATACATCCTTTACAATAAGTGACTTTACACTTCCAGCTTTATATCCTACCAACCCAGTGTAAGTTGTAACTGTTGTTGATTTAGAGAGTTAGTAATTGATTAACTTATGAAACTACAAACTTGATATAGATTCATCTCTTCATACAATCCAATTGACCTCTACTTCAATCATACTACTCTACAGAGAGTATATTATGAGAGAGTTGATCATTGGGCTACACCAAAGGGTAACTTTTACTTTATTAATGCTCCTGCATTGGATTATCTGTAAGTTCCACAATTTCTCAAACACAAACTAATAATATATTAACAATATTTAATATAATAGGGATATATTTGGATCAAATATTATACCTTCGGATCTTAGAACTATTGTCCCAAAACTAGAGAATTTGTAAGTTGGATGGATTTAATTTCCGAATTAATTAATTAATTATTTCATTCTTTCCATAGTATTGTATCCAATATCAATGATGTCCAACTGGTACCTTTATTGGAACTGTAAGTACTACGAATTATATTATTTTATTAATTGTTTCAATACTGACCAAACATAATATTAGTGATCAGAGTGATTCCAAATTGTCAACATATCCTCCTTTGAACACATTCAAGGATAATTCCCAAACTTATGAAACAATAATATGGTAAGAAAGGACATTGTCAAACATTTAATTAATTGATTGATTGATCACTTACAAATCTAGATTCAATAATTGAATTTGTAGGGATGCCAGTAACAACAACTTTACAGGTCCACTACCAGAGTTTAATATAACTCGACTGACCTTTAGCAATAATCCATTCTTTGCTGGACCAATTCCAGATAGTTATTGTCGTGCTGCTACAGTCAGTTTCACTGGCACCGCTCTTACCAATAAGTCTAGGATACCTGATTGTTTCTTCTGTGCTTGGAGTGATATGCAATCATCCTTCCCTCCTATGCAAATTGACCTCTCTACCTTTATTTGTAGTATGTATCAGTGACAACAATTAATTGAGTCGCGTTCTCTAACAATCAATCATTCATTCATTTAGATACAACACTTGATACAACAAAGTATGTCAAGTTACCAACAGAGAATTCAATTACAATCAGAGGCAAGAATCTTGGATATGGTCAAGATATTCAGACACCTGGTCTCACTCTCCTTTTACCAAATGAACGATTCAAGTATATATCCATCCACCAATCGATCCTCCAACCATCTCAAAACAAAGACGAACTAACAAACATCACACTCATATTTAGATACAATGTTGCCAGTCCTTCTGGATCACAATCATTGGTATTCTCTCAAAAGTACTCAATATCCAGGAGTGTCTCATGGGTGACTGATGGTAAGTATCCTCACCAATACTGTCACAAACATGAATCAATCAATCATATTAACAAATTTGATTGATATTTTAGCAACGGTGATCACCAAGGCTTCAGTTGATAAGTTTTATGATCAATGGTTGATCAAGATATTAGGTACTTTTGATGTCACTCTTACTTATAATCTAAAGTATAATGGTGTGACCACATCATTGACTGTCAGTGCATCAATGCTAAGTGCCAATGTGAGCACAACAACAACAGCATTCCCCAACACAAACAACCGAATAACTATCTCAAACATCAATCAAGACATTGATTACAACATGGTCAATTATCGTAAGTATCCATTCTCACAGCATTCAATCAATGTCTAACTGACTCACTCACTCAATCAATCAAACAACAGAGTATCCATCAATTTCATCATTCACTCCAACCAAAGTGAGTAGTACAAGTATATCATTCTTTGGATTCTTTGGTAACTACATTGATAAGGTATCAGTCTCAATCAATGGTGTTGGATGGATTGTATCAAGCAGCAGCTCATCCACAATCCAGTGCACATACAACGGAGGTGTCCTATTGAAGAGTGGATACGCAGACCTTGCCCTCACCATCAATGCCGAGTCATTCATCTCCAATCGCACATTAGTAATATGTACTGTAATGATTGATTGATGGAATGGAAATATACTAACTCATAATGATTGATCATACACAGTCCCCGATGAGATACCAGATGATTGTGGCACTCAATCATTATGCAATGGCAATGGCAACTGTGTAGCTGGACAATGTCAATGTTTGAATGGCTTTGGAGGTCACTATTGTGAGTCGACACTCACACCTGGTAGCGTGGATGTCATCTCAAACACTTCAAGTCCAAGCACAACGATCAAGGCTGGCAACGAGACATTCATGTTTGCCATTGTTGGAGTACAAGAGTTGAACAACTTTGGTGAGGTGGTCTATGTTGTATCAACACAAGACAACGTATCATTCAACACAATCACATCAACTGGAGTGACATCTTATGTGTACAACATCACTTCACCAACTCCCGATCAATCAGACCTCAGTGTTGCACTTCAGATTGATGTGTTCTCCAGTTCAAGGACCATTGAGTTTGCTGGACAAACAGTTGTGTACCCTGCCAACTCTGTCAAGGTGACCGTGACCATCGATCAATGGACATTCAAGTCGAACTTGAACTCACTTCGAGTGTTGCTTCACAAGGATGGATCATTGATCAATGACACCAGTCGTTGTGGAACAAAGAATGTGGTGTCAATCGATCAATTGGACAATGTCCAATACCTCAAGGTGATCAACAGCAATGGTGTCGAACTATTTGGTCGGTTCCTACATTATGCATTGTCCGATGGTAGACCGGCCATCTCACGCAATGAGATCATCAACACCTCCGATACATCTACATTGATCGGTATCAATCTCCCACATTGTCTTCAACGATGTATAGTTGATCCAGACTTCTCTGTATTGTTTGATCAGGCCAATGTTCTTGATCCAAACTCTGATTGTAATGACAACAGCAAAGATGGAGATGGTACCAAGGTATCATGGAAGTTGATCGTCATCACTGTAGTGCCCATAGTTGGAGGCATCATCTTTATCACACTCATTGCAGTACTGATCATTCACAAACTACATGGTCGTCGACTTGGTGACGTAGTCTCACACAAGCTACACAAGATGTCCAACAAGGGCAAGAGTTACTGATCCAATCTTTCACCAACATACTTGTCGGGATCATTCCGATCACTCATTCAAACATTAAATCAATCAATCAAACATTATATATCACATAGATAGTCGTTAATATTTATTATTGTGTACAAATGAGATGGTGTTGAGCATGACTCCAAGTTATGCTCGCACAAGGATGGACTCGGGTGGCTCCATGATCTTGGTGATCATGAACCCACTTGAGGCAACACAGATCGATCGAAGGAATTGGACCATGGAACCCTCGTTGGTCCAGGTGAATGCGACTAAGAATAACAATCTAAATAGCTCAACACCATAAGCATACTTCTTGCGGTCGTAGATCCTACCCAGGATGGTGATGCTCAGGTAGCATAGCAGGAGGTAGAGCGCCAGAACTTTGTTGGTATTGTCCTTTTCATACTTGGTCATAAAGACAAAGACTGAGCCAATCACCATAACACAGTGTACAACAACATAGAGGTTGAGAGAGCTGGCCACGGGTGGGTCGATCCTGGTCTTGGAGTCACCCTTCACTGGCTCGGGTATCTCGGCGATGAATCCCAAACGTGGTGAGCCGGGTCTCCAGCCTGGACCCTTCAACAAAGATTGGAACTTGTGGCTCCAAGTAGTCTGTTGCTTCCACTTCAAATACATATCGTAGATGTAGTGTAGTTGGATCCAGGTCGGGTCATTGCTGTTGACAGGGTGGACTAGTCCATAAAAGCATTCTTCATCCTCCTCGACAAAGGTTCCAAGGATGCGGTCCCAAATGATCAGGACACTATAGTTGATTGATTGATTGAGTGGGTTAGTGAGTGATCATGTTTGATTGATTGAGTGAGTGATTAAGTCAACTTACCCTCCATAGTTCATATCAATGTACTTGGGGTTCCTGGCGTGATGGACACGGTGATGGCTTGGAGTGTTGAAGATCCATTCGATTGGTCCAAGCTTGGGAACGTACTTGCAGTGGAGGAAGAATTGGTATATGTTGTTGGCTTGGAGATGGAAGAAAAGCATCTGAGGTGGGAACACAAGACCCATGGGTATGAGGTAGGTCCAGGTACGGTAGATCTTGAGGAAACTCAACCTCAGGTTACCAATCAGGTTGAACTTCTCGGCAGAATGATGTTGTACATGACCCAACCATAATATACTGACCTCATGTGTTAGACGATGATCAATATAAAATGCAATATCGACCATTAAGAAACACAAGAATGAGGCCAACTTATTATCTGTGGCGTAGTCCAACAACCTATAGTTGTTCCACATGTAACAAGTACCAGCATACTCAAACGCAGCAATAAATGAGCCAGCCAGCAGGAGGTCCCAAGTCTTGGATACGATTCCAGTAGCAACACTATAATAATAATTATTTTTAATATGTTAGTATTAAATATTTTTGATTAATTGAGTTTTTGAGTGATTGAATGAGCCGGACTTACCTTGTAAAGGAATCATTCCAAGATAGGTCTTCTTCAAAAAAAAGATCCAAAACGTTCTCTACAAATATAAAGAATAGGAAGTATGGTAATACATCCTTCATATAATCATGAATTATCTCTATCATTTTTAATATTTTGGACTTGGTGTAATAATTATTAATAATAATATGAATCACTAGAACTGGTTCTTATTTATACTACTCACTCACTTTGGATTGTCCATACATGCACACTCACAGACACATGTCACCCTACAAATCACACAAAACCAGGTGTCTTTTGAATTAAAATAGACAGGTATCCTTACCAATCTGGGCAAAAGTAGTGTAATTCCAAACAGAATAGTGCACCTACCTTTTCAAAAAGACCACACAAATCAAAAGTCGATGGAAGAAGAAACGAATTTGCTTTGCCTAGTTCCATGACAATGCACCCACCCTTTTCGAAAACCGTACTTGGGGTGACGAGAATGTCTATAAAAGGTTATAAAGTTGTTTGGATCGCTTTTGATGGATCTGAAGTTTGATCACCCGTATTAATACTTCATGATGTTCTTCTTACGAATTTCAATGTAAAGTTCTACATTGTGACACTACACCAATTTGAGTCGGGCCTCAGCCTCTAATAAAAATAATATTTTATTGTCCGACTATTTTAAAATGAAGGGTCCTTGAATACTCCATTCATTCACTTTCGCTATCACACTAGTATCAGGTATTCATTGTTTTGTGACATGTCAAAGTAGAGCCAATGGTTATGAACTTCGAAATAGAGTTGATTTTTTTTGATCACTACCTGTCTTTGAAGCGACACCACACTTTGGACATGATCATTCACTCAACGTCATCATTATAATAATATCAGTGATATTTCTCTATTCAATTCAACGATCTGGACCCATTGTTCGTCGAGTAGGGTGACTGTTCGAACAACGAGATAGTGATCCCATCCTCGAGGTGAGGTCTAATGATGGGCGGTCCTTGCTTGTTCGCACAATGAATTCCCAATCATTGTCATATGTTGGGCCACATTTCCTAGAGGCAGACGCCAAGCTGACTGAGTCAGTGCACCAAGACTGACAGTTTCCCCACAATGACAAATCATGAGTCTCTTCATCATCATTCATCAAGTATTCTCTATCTCCATCAAAGTAATACAATCAATCAAACAATCGGTCCGTCTATCTCCTCATCAATGGCCATTTCTACCAACATGTTGTTGTTGTTGGTGTTGGCCATATTGGTCTTGTGCAATCTAATCAATGTGCAATCTCAACAGTTGAACATAGTTGATTGTAGGTATACTTACATTCTCATTCAATCACTCAATCATTCTAACCAGCTATGCATCATTAGTGAACCTCTTACTTTGGACAGCTATGCAGTATAAACTACCTTGGAATATGACAGCAACAACATGTGAAGGTATCCACAATGTTCAAATCACATGTTATACCAATGGAACTGAGCAATACGTTTCATCAATGTGAGTGTTAGATCATATCATCATTGAATGATCACTCACTGACCCATTCAATACCACAATAGTAACGCATACATCTCTGGAGCAGGTGACTTAAAAGATAATGGAATACCTGCTCCAGGTATACAAGACCTTCCATTCACAAACATCACAAGATATTCCATAACATCCCTTGTCATCTACGATCCTGTCAATACGTCAGTTGATATAATGGCATTCCTTGACATACCTTCAAACAAACATTTGACAGACATCATGTATGTTATATACACTCTTTAAAGAGTTCATTCAAAATAACATGATCTAACTGTCCACTCATCAATCCAGGTTTAATGGAAACAGTGGATTTAAAATCAATATTCCTCCAGACTATCCAAAATATATTCCTTTGACCAGTGTGTATGTACATATTTATGTATATATACAACATGGAATCCATTATTAATCAAAAATCAAATATAGGAACCTTGTTGGAACAACACTTATTTCCAATGTTAGTGAAGAGTTCATCTCTCGCCTTACCTATCTCCAGATAACCCAGAGCAATTTTCTTGGCGATCCAATTCAAATCCACCTAAATCCAATGGGTCTATACAAGGATCTTCAAGATCTGTAAGTTTATTCATGATATAATTCGATCAATCAATCAATCAAAATATATATTTACTAACAAAATGTTTCGTTACACCAAGGAATGTTGAATTCCCTCCAACTCAGACACTTTATACAGACATCACAATTAATGATACCAACTTTCCCTCACTCAAGGATGTGTAAGTGATTTTTATAATGCTACTTACTGTAATAATATTGTGAATATTTAGTAATAATAATATTACTTGTCTACAGATATTTTGGATCACCATACTCAATGAACTTGGTCGTCAGTCGATCAAAGTTGACAACATTGTAAGTTGTTTATTGATAGGATATAGTCATATAAATATACTTAAATTTCAATCAATCAATCAATCAACCATTAGGTTCTTGGATAGGAAACCAGCAGGTGCTTTACCAAAGAGCAACATCAATTTCATACAGGCTCCAAACTATCAATTGTATGTAGGAGTAAGTTTACTCATTCATCTACCGGATATACTAACCAAAACGTGATCCAGATCACTAAGCAATGTTAATGTTACATCAACAGACTTGCGATCCTCTGGTCTAAGAATTGTGTAAGTTACATAACATAATATGTTTGAGTTTGTTCCAAAATTAATTAATTAATATAAACAAATCAATCAATCAATCAACATACAATATACCAGTTCATTGGATAATGTCAATAATGATATTCAACTTAAGAGTTTGAACCAACTGTAAGTTAATCGATAATTGGAGGACATTGTGTAGTATCAATAACTTATACATAATTAATATTTATTTAGAACTTATACCAACTCCATCGTAAAAATATTCCCATCATTGGACACAATGAAGGCAAGAGAGTACGATGAGAATCGAAACACATTCGATATAATATGGATGTAAGTATTCACTCAATCATCCTTATAATAACTGGTTCATTTACTCATTCAATCATTCAAACAAAGGGATATGCAAGGCAATGATCTTACAGGATCATTACCACCTTATGATTTGGATTATGCCATGTTCAACAACAATCCAAACTTGAATGGAGTATTACCTGACATATTCTGTCGTGTTGATACCAACCAAATGTCATTCGTTGGAACATCAATCACTGATGTCCCAGAATGTTTCAAATGTTTCTGGTCTGATGTCAGTGCATTGTTACCTGCAACTGTTCCAGTGCCACCAGCTGTACCATGCAGTAAGTGTCCACATGTCCAAAAGCATCCTCAATCAAAGTACTAACACTCATTCAATCAAGACACAACAATTGAGAAGACCTTCTACTTGCTCACACCATTTGTTCAGACACTGGAAATATTTGGCAACAACCTTGGATATGGAAAGGATGCCACTGCTGGACTATCAATGACCGTGCCCAACCTTCACTTCAGGTATGTTGATCAGTAAATTGACCTTGACCATTCAGGGTGCCTAACATCAATCAATCTTAGCTACACACCAACCAATCCCACGGCAGATGGATCAGCAAACAAGTTGATTGGGTATATGATTGTAAGTTAATATAGATTGATTGATAGATGCATGGATATGGACTTACAAATATTGTCATGATAGTGAGTAATCCTTACGAGTTTGATGCATTCGTTGAGAGGATGAATGATAATTGGAGAGTTAGTACACCAGGTCAATTCAATACATCAATGACTTATGAGATGTTGGTCAACAACAAGTGGTATCCATGTAACACTACAAATAGCACATTGCTCTTATGTGAGGTCAGTGCCACATTGATCACCTACGTCGACAACACGAATATTACACTACGTAACATATACCAACAGTTCCTTCTCGAGGAAGTCAAGTTATTCAGTAAGTATCAATGATTCAATCACTCCTTCGATCACTCACTCACTCACTCATTCACTCACTCAAACATTTAGAATACCCTTCAATATCATCATTCTCTAGGACCATTGACACTAGTAGGAATGTTAGCTTCTTTGGATTCTTTGGCAATTATGTTGATAATACTTCAGTGACTGCCAAGGTCAATGGATTGACTTGTACCATCAAGTATGCTGATTCAAACATGATCAATTGTTCCCTGTCCCCTGGTTCATTAGGCCTCACCATTGGTTATGCCAACCTCACCATCATAGTCAATGGTCAACCATTCATCTCAAACAAGACTCTAGCAATATGTAAGTAGCCCAACCATCCATCATGGAATGATTCCACACTCACTCACTCACATTCAATCAATCAATCAATGATATAGTCCCATCAGAGGAAGTTGATGATTGTGGAATAGGTTGTAATAATAATGGACAATGTGTAGATCATAAGTGTCAATGCTTCAAGGGATTCAGTGGATACTATTGTGAGTCAACATTGCAGCGCAATGTAACAGTTCTGTCCGACCCAAAGGTTCCAGCAGCAATAATCCAATCAAATGGTACTTCATTGCTATTGAACATTGTTGCCATTCAAGAATTGAATCAAGAAGGTAACATTGTCTATGAGCAGAGGATCAACAATTGGACAAGAGACAGCAACCCTGTCGTCACGAAAGGTGTCAAGTCCGACAGATACAGGCTCAACACACCAGAGTATGGGGACTACCAAGTGACCATCACACTGGACGTCGGGTCTGAGGACAGAGTGGTGGACTTTGCCGGCCAACATGTTAGGTACACTCCCAACTCACTCAAGATGACCATGACCATCGACTATTGGTACTTCCACTCCAACCTCAACACACTGCGAGTGGTCATTCAGAAGGATGGCTCGATGATCAATGACACCAGCGCGTGTGGAGCCAAGAATGTCGTGTCAATCGACGCCTACCAGAACCTCCAGTACCTCAAGGTGATTAGCAACGGTGTGGAGATGTACGGTCGTTTCCTCCCACTGGGCGTGGCCGATGGCCGTCCATCACTCGTACGCAATGAGATCATCAACACGACCACCAACTCTACATTCTTTGGCATCAACATGTTCCACTGTCGACAACAATGTATGATTGATCCTGACTTCTCTGTGCTGGTCGATGCCAACCCTGTGCCAATGGACCAATGCACGACGAAACCAAACGATCGTTGGAAGATACCAGTGATCGTTGTAACAGTCAGTGTTGGAGCGATAGTCATTATCGCGGTCGTCGCCAAAGTAGTGATCAATCAACTACAAGGTCGCAAGCTACATCACGTTGTCTCGCACAAGTTACACAAGATGACAAACAAGAACTCAAACGTTATTAGGATGTGATCATCGAGTGAGTGAGTGTGAGCGAGGAATGATAAGTACGTGGGTGAGACCTCATTTCATTTCATTTCAATTCAGTTTATCCATCAACAGAGCATACAAATAGTATCTGTTTCAATAATAATAAATACAATCATCAATCCATCAACCATTCTTCATGCGTTTGATCAACTTGGATGACAACATATAATGATGAAAGCGAAAGAGAAGCTGATGTGAACATCCAACAAACGAACTTTTATCATCAACGATGTACTCAATGACTAGATGGAACAAAAGGAATCAAGAACATGTTGGAGATGACCATATCACTGTCAATAACTACTATCTCGTCGACAGTCATGGTGAGTGCTGACCAAAGACGACCATCAAGTCAAGGCAAGAGGGAATGATGGTGTTCACCGAAAAACGACGAGTTATTTTCGTTTGGATTGTGAAGAGGCAAAATGATCGTTTGGCCCCTTTTTTAGATATCCTTTTGACGAAGAGGTGCAACACAAGACAGGGCCACTCGTCATCAAATGGGCAAGATCACATTTGATATTTTGTTGATGTTGATATTTAATTATAATAATAACTTAAGTTTCAGACCATGGCGCCCCATCAAAGACTCGGGATCAGACCTCCATCAAACTTCATACCTCTGGTCATTGGATGGATGACTGTTCTTATTGTCATCCATCCCACTTCACTCACCTCACTCTATCAATCAATCAAGATATAAAATATAGAAATAATTGAAGATACAGATAGAACCCCCTTGACAATGGCATTGATTGGCCTTAACACATTCAAATTAGGTTGTACCCTAGTTATGTTGGTATTTACCCTGGGTACAACTGCAGAATTCCTACCTCCATCAGAATGTATGTTACTCATTTGTATAGCAATGACTGACCACAATCAATCACTAATTGACCCGCCAAACATGTAGTGGCTAATTTAAGATGGTTGGCACAGCAATTCCAACTTCCTTGGAATATGACAGGGACAAGTTGTGAAGAGATCAATCAGCTTGATATCCATTGTAACATTGTTAACAATGAGACATTGGAACAGACAGTTTATGATCTGTAGGTATATATATTATTGATTTATTGATTGATGATTAATCACTTACAACAAACAAACTACCCCATAGGTATCCATATCCTCCTGTGCTCCAGAACAATGGAGCACCTGATCCCAATATGAAACACCTAATATTTAACAACTTGGAGAGTTTCCAAATGCAGACTGAACTCAATAATGCCCCAATCAACGATTCATTTGATATAATGGATATGTTTGACCATCCAAACAATTCAAAGTTGGCAACCATAACGTAAGTAATAATAATAATTAATTCAAGATCTTTAAATTAATTAATATAATAATATTATTTCTTTAATTAGATTAAAAGGAAACTATCAAGTCAAGATCAATATTCCTCCAGACTATCCAAAATATATCCCTTTGAAAAGTTTGTAAGTATTATTATTAATATATATATTTATATTGTCCAATAATTAATTATTTCTTTTAGGGATATTGAATCAGCAACATTGGTATCAAATATTACTGAAGAGTTCATATCAAGATTGACCTCATTTCAAGCAACAAAGAATCTATTCCTTGGAAACATTCAAATTCATATTAATCCTCAAGGTGTATACAAGAACTTGAATAGATTGTAAGATTGATATACTCGACTTCAACTTGGAAAAACATCACTTACTAATTAATTTATTACCAACTCAGCCATGTAGCCTTTCCAACCACTCAAACACTCTATACCAACTTTACACTTAGTAATCCAAACTTCCCTGTACTGACTACATTGTGAGCATTTAAAGGTAGATAATAATCATGCAGGACCAATATTAATATTATTACTCGGCAATTACTAGTGCAATGTGGTCAACATATCCAATTAATTTGGTTGCCAATCATTCGAATTTGGAATATTTGTATTTATCAACCATATCAATCAATCAATCAATCATTTATAATACTGACACTATATATATTATTATTACAAATACAGAACATTCATCATGACCCAGAATGGAACAACAACAAGAAGTACAATTGAGATTCATTATTTACCTTCTCATGACTTGTAAGTCCAAAACAATATTATTATTATAAACAATATCTAACTTTTTAAAATTAAACAGGGAACTTAGAAATGTTAATGCCAGCCCAACAGATCTACGAGCATTTAAATTGCAATCAGTGTATGTATTTCCTGTGCTCGACATTATTATGTGATTAGATGATTATATTGACACATAACACATCATCTTTTATTAGTACCCTGGACTATGTGAATGAGTTACAGTTTAAAGGATTATTGACTTTGTAAGTTCCACCACAGGAACACCGACAACAAATATGTCCTAACCTTCCATCCATATATATATAGTATTCATCGTAACTCCAACCTAACAGTATTTCCAACACTTGAAACATTTGCAACACCAAAGACTGATTCGGATAATGTAACATATGGTGGATATAAGTGGGAAGGATCATACAATAACTATGAAGGTACATTGCCATCAACGTACAGTCTGGGTAGAGCAAGGTTAATCAACAATCCAAAAATCAATGGTACACTACCAAAGAGTTATTGTGAAGTACTTGCCACTGAAATGTCTTTCATTGGAACCTCCATCACCGATGTTCCCGAGTGTTTCAAATGTTTCTGGAGCGATGTGAGTGGCATCCTTCCTCCAACAGTACCCATACCAACATTACCTTATCCATGCAGTAAGTTTACCATATCTTTCAATCAATCAATCTATCAATCAACCATACTAATATCTAACTCATATTATTTGGAACATCAAGATACAACTATCGAACAAACATTCTATGTCCTGACGCCTTCTAGACCATACTTTATCATTAGGGGAGAGAACCTTGGATTTGGAGCCAGTGCTGATTATTCACCTGAACTATATCCAATTGCAGCAAACTCTATCTTTGAGTATGTACTAACTATAGTTATTATTATTGACCTAACTAATAACTAACTCCAATTTGTCTTAAGATTCCTTCCAACTGATTCCAGATCAAGTGGTGAAGCAACAGCGACATTTTCAATCTCACGTGGCATTAGCAAACAAGTCAGCTGGGTCTATGATTGTAAGTATTTGAATGAAGAGTGATTGACCGATTGATTAACTTTGGAATTATATTAGTGACTGTACCAACACCAAACAAGGCATTCATTGAGAGAAAGTTTGGTAATTGGAGATTGAGTGCACCTGGAATATATAACTCATCTTTCAACTATGAGATGTTGGCCAATGATAACAAGTGGTATCCATGTAACTCGACCAACACCACACTACTCCTATGTGATGTCAGTACTTCCATCTTCAACTACACCGACAACCTCAATGTTACCATCCGTAACCAATATCAAGAGTTCAAACTTCTGGATGTTAAGATATATCGTATGTTGTTAACATGTTTGAATGATTGAGTGGCCATGCTGACACACAAACACCTCATATAGTCTACCCTTCAATATCATCATTCACTAGAACAATTGATACTAGTAAGAATATTAGTTTCTTTGGATACTTTGGACATTATAGTGATAACACATCTGTGACTACAAAGGTCAACGGTCACTCATGTAATATTACATTTGCAGACTCTACTGTAATCAATTGTACAATTATGTCCAATGGAACGACCACACTCACAATCGGTTATGCCAACCTAACCATCATCATCAATGGTCAATCATTCATCTCCAACAAGACACTGGCAATATGTATGTACCCCTTCAATCACTTGATCGATCACTCGCTCTCTCACTGACCCAATCAATCAAACAATCAGTCCCATCACAAGAGGTTGATGATTGTGGAGTAGGTTGTAATGGACATGGACAATGTATCAATCATAAATGTCAATGTAACAAAGGATTCAGTGGATATTATTGTGAGTCTGAACTCAAACCTGATGTCACAATACTTCCAGACCCAACACAACCAGCGGCGACCATTACAGCCAATGCCACAACATTCTCAATCAACATTGTATCAATCCAAGAATTAGATCAAGATGGTAACATTGTCTATGAACAATTGGTCAAAGGATGGACACATGACTCAATCAAGGACAACAACGTCAAGACTGATCGGTACAACCTGACCAACGCCATCGACTCTGACCTGACCACCTCTGTCACACTGGCCGTATCGTCTCAGGACAGAGTCGTCCCCTTTGCCGGACAGAATGTGACCTACACTGCCAACTCACTCAAGATGACCATGACCATCAATCACTGGAACTTCCACTCCAACCTAAACACACTGCGAGTGGTCATTCACAAGAATGGCTCGATGATAAATGACACCAGCAGTCCGTGTGGCACCAAGAACGTCGTGTCAGTTGACGCCTACCAGAACCTCCAGTACCTCAAGGTGATCAGCAATGGCATTGAGATATATGGTCGATTCTTGCCGGTGATCTTGGCCGATGGTCGTCCATCGCTCACACGCAATGAGATCATCAACACGACCACCGACTCTACTTTCTTTGGCATCAACATGTTCCAATGTCGCCAACAATGTATCATTGATCCTGACTTCTCTGTGCTGGTCGATGCCAATCCTGTGCCAAAGAGTCTCTGTGAGCATGCATCACCACCTAGTGATCGATGGAAGTTGCCAGTGATAGTTGTCACCGTATCTGTTGGAGCGATAGTCATCATAGCCGTGGTCACCAAGATTGTGATCAACAAACTACATGGTCGATACCTAACTGATGTCATCCAACATAAGATGAAGTCAATGACTGGCAAGAACAAAGATGCCCACATCATCAGAATGTGATAAATCAACCCTGCGCAGAGTTGATCGATCACACTTTGATCAGATCAAGATATTTATTTGGCAAAAAGCCACCTTTGACCCTTTTGGACAAGCGGATGGTTTTACTCCACCCCAAGGTTGACATCTTTGATCACCCAACCAAAATCAATCAATCAAACAAACATATAAACATAAGATATATAACATGACACATTCACATATCTCATTGGGAATGATCCCATCACTACTACTTCTATTCGTGTTATTGATCAATGTTCATACAACATCAGGACAGAACCTAAACAGTAATGAATGTATGTGATGTCATGTTGATTGGCCTCATACTCCTGCTAACAAATCTATCAATGTTTGAAGTGGAGGCAATCAGATGGATTGGAGCTCAATTCAAACTTAACTGGAACTTATCTGCACTCACATGTCAGTCCATATCACCTGATGTCATTTGCAATACACTCAACAATGCAAGTGTCACTCAGATCATGTATGTTTAAGTTCATCATTCATACTGATTCGTTTGATCACTCTCTCTAACAATCACAAAGATCAACTATTCAAGTACCAGTGTCACAGGCCATTCCACTGCCATTGCCAGAGTTGCAACTGCCCAACCTTGTAAAGTTCAATCTCGTATTCAACTCCAACTACTCAGTCGGGAATGATTCCTTGAGTGTGATTGAATTGTTGGACAATCCATCAAATACCAAACTGGCATACATCAAGTATGTGCATGTCTATCAATCGATCAATCAAACATACTCACTCATTCAATCACACAAACAGATTGGAAGGCAATGCAAACAATCCAGTAACGTTCTCATCAAATTATCCAGTGTACAATCCAATCGTTTCAATTGAGATCAAGAAGACTTATATATATTCGAATATACCACTGTCATTGTTCAAGCTGCCCAATCTTACTGTTGTCGACTTCACCAACAACATCTACGCCATGTTCCCCTCACTCAACTTTGATCCAGCTATTCAGAACTTCCCCAAACTGACCATGTTGTATGTATACATAATCTATCAATCAATGGATCAAATGAAACATTCACTGACATATCGTGGATGTTCCAGAAATTTGGAGTACCCTCCTGGACAGACAATACCTTATACAACATTCAGTCTCTCATCCAGGTATCCATCATTAAAAAGTTTGTAAGTTGTAGTTATGGAAACATTAATAATAATGATGATGATGATGTTGTTGCTCCTCATTCTCACTCAATCAATGTTCCGACATCAATCCTTAGGATATTGATTGTTCCCACAGCAATCCAGGTTGAGATCAATAACAACCCTCAGTTGCAATCAGTGTATGTTGTGATGGACTTCAATCAAGGTACCTCCATGGAGGAACACAATACTCATTCATCATTCTCCCACTTAGCAATATTCAACAAACATACTACAGCCTACCTGTAACTGCACCAGTCTCAACAGTCAGTCTTGCATCATCTGGCATACTAACCTTGTAAGCAACAAGCATCAACAAACCAACCAACCAACCATTCAATCAATCATTCACTGACAATCATCCTTCATATCTTTGCTTGAAACAGGAGATTGTCAAATTGTAATCTTACATCCACGGATCTGTCATCGCTCAAATCAATCACTTCAATGTATTTATTGATCAATCAAGCTCCCAACTACATCCATCACAATCCTTATCCCACCTACTTACACCCATCAATCAATCAATATGTACAGTATATTCGATAGAGTCTCTAGTCCAATTACCAAAGTATCTGGTCTAACATTTTAGTACGTGATCATCCATCCCATCACTCAATTAATCAATCAATCAATCACAGACCCAAACTTACCTTATCATGCCCTCCTCTCTCCCCTGACATCCAGTTCAAACACCAACTCTGGTCTTGAATCATTTCCACCACTCAGCTGGTTCAATCAAACAGATAAACTGGAAATGTATGTACATGATCAGAGATACATCACTCCATCTCAGAAGTATATTGACAATTATCAATATAGTGTATTATCCAATAATAATTTGAAAGGACAAATTCCAGATTATTTTGCATCAGGAGCTCAATTGACATTCTTCCTGGTCGATAATAATCCAAATGTTAATGGATATATACCAGAGTCATATTGTCAGATCAGGAAATCATACTTCAATTATGCAAAGACCGGTATATTCTCCGTCCCAGAATGTTTCTACTGTTACTGGTCAGATGTAAATGGTTACATTCCATCAAATATTCCTGCACCTCCCTCTACCTTTACATGCAGTATGTACAATCCATCACTCATTCAATCACTCAATCACTTACTGACTTATTCAATCAATCAATCAATCAATCAATTAGATGCCACAATTGATCGTGCAATCTTTATATTGCCACGTCCTAGACCTTCCTTTTTCAAGATCAGAGGTAAAAATCTAGGTTATGGCAATGGCATGTCCACCAACCTGGGATTGAACATCCCAAACACATTGTACACGTAAGTATCCCCTCCACCCAATAACAATCAATGTTCATAAACTGACAACAATCAATCAAACGAATAGATACCAAATATATAATGATGATGGATCTGATCAAGTTAAATTCACAGAATCACCTTCGATCAATGTTACAAAGAAAATTGGATGGGCAACAGATGGTACAAACATAACAGATGCTTATGGACTAGTCGAGGACAACTATATCAATATCAAACTGTCGGGTTACTTTGAGACGTCATTCATGTACAAGGTATTTGTCAGTGGTGCACTATGTGGACAAGCTCTGATCACACAATCATCAATGATATGTAACATATCAAGGAGTGATGTTCCCAACCTAGGAGTGAATCAACTACTCCTATCCAACTACTACCAGAACTTTACAACATCAGTTCCAATCAATTGTATGTATAACCATCGCCATCCATCAATCACTCACTCACTCGATCGATCATTCAATCAATATAGTTTACCCATCAGTTGGATCAACATCAAGATTGACTGTGGATGGTGGAACGGTGATGTTCTATGGATATTTTAGTGATCAGATCAACAAGATCAAGGTGACGATCAATGACAAGACATGCACTGATATCGCCAATCCCAACTCAACAGTACTTCGTTGTGTGATACCTGGTGGATTGACTGAAGGTTATGCTAACCTTTACATTGAGATCAACTCACATGCCTATCAATCAAACCATACATTGATCATTTGTAAGCACTCCACACACTCGACCAACCCTTTCCAAACATATACTAATCAAACATAATATTATGTAGACCCTACAAAGAATAATGATCAATGTGGAACTGATAATCTGTGTAATGGCAATGGTCAATGTGTTGGTGGACAGTGCCATTGTTCCAATGGATATGGTGGTACTTATTGTGAATCAATACTTAATCCAAGTGTGGTGATCACACCTGATGCCAACAGTCCATCCACGACTATTGAGGCCGATGGCTCGTCATTCCAGTTCAACATTGTTGCCATTCAAGAGTTGGACTCGACCAGGAACATCATCATCGATGAGTTGTTCACCAACACCTGGACATCAAGCGTCATTACATCCGCAACCCTGACATCATACATCTACAACCTGGTGCCACAGCGAGGTACCACGATGTTGTTGAACGTGACTGTGACATTGGACATCTCGCCAAACACCAGGACTCTCTCATTCGCAGGACAGACAACTACATACACGCCCAACTCACTCAAGATGACGGTGGACATTAGTGGATGGTCGTTCAAGTCCAACTTGAACACGCTGCGTGTTGTTATGCAGAAGGACGGCTCGCTCAACAATGCCACCAATGTGTGCGCTGGCTCACAGAGTGTCGTGGAGATTGACAAGCTCAATAATGTCCAATTCCTCAAGGTGACCAACAAGAATGGTGTTGAACTGTTTGGTCGATTCTTGCCCTTTGCCTTGTCCGATGGCAGACCATCATTCTCTCGCAATGAGATCATCAACACAACAGACACCACAACATTGATTGGAATCAATTTGCCACAATGCCAACATTGTATAATTGATCCAGACTTCTCCGTACTTGTGGATCAGGACACCCGTGATGCCTGTGCAGATCGCTCCAGCAGCTCCAACAAGTGGAAGATACCAGTGATCGTTGTAGTCACAGTAGTTGGTGTGGCAATCATTGTTGCCGCTACATCAATAATCATCAAGAAAAAGTTGAGAGGTAGACGAATGATAGACATGATCAAGATGAACAAAAAGTAGTTGTAGTATTAAAGTGAGTGTGGTGCATCGCACCAATCAAGCACCAAAAAGCGATATTTTTTCAAACAATCGTGTGAGGTCCTTCTTAGGGACTCGAGGACTTTGGTGCAAAAGGGGTGAAGTGTGGACCTTCACAAAACTAGAACAAGGGGTACACTATCTTGCATGGGCAAGGACATGGATTGAGTGTTGGATGCAACTTTTGATCAACCAACCCACACAAACGACTCAACTCTCTCAATGATCATTATATTTAAAACATATAACAGATAGATAAGATAGATATATTGTAGTACATGTAATCAATCATTATAAACCCAACACACAAACTCAACTCATAGTAGTACATCATGTCCTATGTCTTCAACATCAACCTTGTGTTGGGAATACTTATCAGTTTTGCCATCTTGATGTCATTGTCCACACCATGGTACTACATCACAGATGGTGAAGACCTATACATATTCACATGGTTCGATATAAAGGATGACTTTAATGTATGTGTAGCATCATCACCTGATTGATTGATCGTGGCTCACACACACTCACACACTCGATCAATTACTTCCAGTCCAAGGATACAGCAGTTTATGCAGGGAGTAGGACAAAGTCAACATTTAGGATAAGCTTTGCATTTGTGTTGCTGGCACAGATTGGATCGATCACAAACTTGGCGTTGACAGTCAATCTGATTTATCACAAGACCATTCGTGCGATATATATGTCGGGCTGCGCTTCAGTCGTCACACTCAGTATGCTGGTGATTGGTTTCTTCCAATTCTTTCGAATCAGCACCAGCCTCCGAGAAGACGACTTTCTCAACTGCAATGGCGTCTTCTCGCCCGATGCCATCACCTTTTGCCATTCGATGCAGGGCCAGTTCGTCGGGCCCAACGGCAAGGTGTGGGACTGGGAGCTGATGCATGGCTTCTGGGCATGTCTCTTCTCGATAATGGCCGAGGCACTGAGCATTGTCATGTGCTTCACATACTATCACAAGAGTTTCATTGAAGGCGCTCAACGAATCGATCTGTCCTTTGTACATTTCTTCAACAATGTTCGAGCGATTCGAAAGTTGGCATTTAGGAGCAAGGATAAGCGACAGTATAGTGCACTAAATCAACTTATAATTGAGAGTAGTGATGATGATGTGTTCAACAACAACAACAACATTGACGGCAACAACAGCAATGATGTAGTCGACTACCAATCAGTGACGTTACCACCTTCAAGCTTCATCATACCAAACAATCTTATACCAATCAGTGGTGGCAAACAATTATATTCATTCCAACCTCTCAATCATAACAACAACAATAATGACAACAATGACAACAATGACAACAATGACAACAAACAATATATACTTGCACCTTATGTACCAAAGTCAAATACATCGAGATCAAGCTTTGACAATATATTATATACCACCAACAACAATATCAATGTCAGCAGTAGCGGTAACATGCCATCTCTGACAACTTCCACATCAACTACAACTACGACGACAACTCTAAATGCATCAGGCAAACCATTTACCAATGCCGAGTCATTAATATAGATAATATTGATGGAATGGCATGGCTAGGCTCTACATTACATTACCGAGCGATCGGAACATACCAATAAACACACACACACTACACTGTGTCCTTTGTACTAATAATTGGTTGGTTGGTTGATTGAACCCGCAATGAATTAAGATCAGATTCACACACTATTTTGATTCAAATCAAATAAATTCAAATAAGGATTTTTTGTTGATCAAAACACACCCTACATGGCATCATGTCAACGGATTTGATTGGAGGGTCACCCCCACCGAAGGTACTTCAAACAGATTCAATCATACACCAAACACTTATCCAGACTCTCTACGTCCACCGTCAACAACAATCAATCACACACACTATATATTCTGACTTATTATTTGTTTGTTGTAATTAATTAATTAAGATTGAATCAAATAGATCTTAGATATAGATACATAGAGATTACAATTATAATTATATAGAAAAAGCGCACTTATACTAAACATACAACAGAATGACTATAACACACGATCGTATTATAATTGCCACTGTGTTCTTGGTATCATTGGCCTTGTTGGGCCTGACCATTGGAACCTTTTGCAAGGATTGGTATGAAATAGATATACCTCTTAACCAAAACAGGACAAGTTGGGATGTCTACTCATTCGGTCTAACAAGATATACAAAGACAAGTGTATGCATCACACTCATTCATTCATTCATACTTCCAAGTCGCGACCTTTGGACCACCTTTGGACTACCTTTGGACCTTGGTCCACCCCACACACACTCACACTCACACACTCAATCAATCAGATTAATATTACAGCGATTATACAAACAGAACATGATTATACAAACACGATCATACAGGGAACATTCTCAACAGTGGCGGCATTCGAGGGATTGACATTCTTCCCGTTGGCATTGATGTTCATATCGTATATATTGTACTTTGTAAAGGATCGCGATATTGTCTTTCAACATTTGGCATTCAGCAGCTCACTGGCGGCATTCGTCTTCCAACTGATTGGATTCCTATCGATACTGAGCGTCACTGGTAACTTCAACGATCAAAAGTTCCAAAAGTGCAATGGACTCTATTATTGTCATTCATTCTCGGGTGAGGCCGAAGGACTGACGTGGGGCCCATCCGAGGGTCTGTCACTAGGCGTCGCGGCACTAGTATGCTCCTTCTTCAACGCTGTCCTATGTACAATATTCAACTTTTCCAGGCTTGGAACGCCCATCACACCAAAGATAAACCCATAATCATTCAATGGATGGGCCATGAACGAACGAACGACATGTAATTAATAATAAAAGGAAGAAGTAACCATTTACATCTACATCAGACTACAGGATGACTTTGTCACTGGCATACCTGGGTCGATGGTCTTTTTAATCCTCTCTGCTATCTCCTTTAGACTGGCATTGTTCTGATGTGTGGAGTGTCCAATGATCTTGTATCCAGTGGTTGTGTACTCGTTCAGCTCATACACAGGTGTTCCAATGGCATTGTCAACAATATCAGACTTGAGTGCCACAACGAATATTGGTGTACCGCGATCCCTGGTTGTGATCACGTCCAGATATGCCCTAACATTCTTGTAGCTGTTGGCATTGGATACATCAAAGCATACACCATATGCACGTACCTTGCCAATCTGATTGGCTCTGATGTGTGGCGTAAACTCCTCCAACACAATATCACCATATGCAAACATGTTGATCCTGTTGACAAATGTTGTCTTGCCAATGTGGTTGTCGCCAACGATTGCCACGGCCATTGGTCGTCTGTGCATTTGTTTGCTCATGCTCCTGCAGTCATCGGCAAAGATTGTTGATGCCATTGATAGTGAGCTTGTTCCATCGGGATAGACATGATGGGGTGCGTCTGAGATGCCAGGCTTACTCATCACATCGGGATTGTTGCGTACAAAGTATCCAAGTGTATCGCTGTACATGAATGTTGGATAAGTAGTCTTGTCCAATGAATGATTGAACCAGTCCTCATTACTCCTCATTCTAGTTGGGTATCCACGTTTCTTGATTATAATGTTGTTGTTGTTGTTGTTGTTGCTGTTACTGTTGCTGTCTGATGATAGATCATTCAATGGTGATGGCTTGATGGAGGTTGGTGACGCAGCTGTGTCCTTGGTCTCGACCACAGTGAAGTTTGCTTGATTAAGATCGGATAGGATGGCTGTGATATCAGAGCTACTGTTGTTGTTGCTGTTGTTGTTGTTTGATGATCCAGTGTTTGGTGATATGAGTTCCCTCTCATACTTCTTGAACTTCTCATATGATGCCTCCCTGTAACATATTGCCAAGAACATCTCTGTGATCAACTTAAAGTTATTGAAATTGATACATAGTCCACCAGTTCTCTGTGCAATCTCCTCATAGAATATAGAACTGCCCAATGCTTTGACACCATATACCTTGATTCCAATGTCGTATAGCTCATCCTGTATCCGCAGGGATGAATTCGTTTGAGTGAGTAGGCCATGGGACATGATCAATCATTCAGACTCGACTTACACATGCTTCAAACCAGTTGATCTTGAGATTGGTATGTGATGGCTCATGTGGATTCGAATCGCCAATCATCACAAATGCCTTGGATGTGTATGTTGACCATGACAAGTCTTTGGCCTTTTTCCTATTTGTTTGGGTGCAGTCTATGATTAGTGATGATTGAATGAATGAATGATCGAGTGTGACAGACTTACAATGCCCATTCATATGCTTCTGGTATATCACCTCCAGATGTGTTTGGAACAGAGTTGATGAATGATACCAATTGATCAACATCACGTGTAAGGTCCAGTGTGGTCAGAACATCCTTGCCATCACTATAATCACCAAGTCCCATGATTCCAATACGTATGTTTGGTATGTCACTCATCAATCTGCTGACGGTGGCCTCAACCTGTTGTCTTACAGTATGAACTATAGTTGCCATTGATCCAGTGGTATCGAAACAAAAGACGATCTCTACATCCGATGATATGGACGACTCGACAAAGCTGTTCAGTAGCAGTTCGTGATCAAACTGCTCTGGCAGACTTGGTCCAGATGGTATGTCAACAGTTGGTATCTTCTCTATCAACAACAGATCAATACGGTCCATTGTCTTCAAGCAACTATGTAACGAAGATGTTGCAATCAACATATTTCCACTTCCTCTAACACTCAACTCCATGTTGTGTGTACCAATGGCAGGTATACGTCGAATGAAGTGATTGCGAATGTACCTAAATGTATTGTCCATTGTTAGTTTGATTGAGTGATTGGGATAGTTCCATCCAACAACATACATGTGTAGTGATTGAACAGTTAGACCATTGTTGTTTGGTAGAGTTATTGGATATTCTTCATTGTTATAGATGACGATGTATCTTAGTTCTTTGATTATTAACATATGTACAATTGATTCCTTTCGGATACCATTATCAATTACTGATATACCATGTCTTAGACCATTTCCAGCAAACAACAACTCGAATTGGAATCTTTGGTAATCAGTTCTCTCTGCAACCTTATTATATAATGCTTCAATATTATCATCTGGATGAATATCCACACTAAATGTTATTGAAGGTGATTTAATAAGTATTATCATTATTTGTTATTTGTTTGTTAGTTTCTAATCTAATCTATATAATTGATTGATTGAAAGGTTGAATGAATGAACTGATTATTATTTGACCAAATCACAAGATCTTCAATCCATGGAAGTTGGAAACTTGAACAATTTTCATCGAAGAGTTGGTGACAAAAATGGACACCACACGCAGCCACAACAACAGCAACAGCCGCACGGCTGGTTACCAGTTATTAAAGAATGTTAGACAAGTTTGGCAATCTATTAACTTGTCCTGATGGCAGACGATGGTGTCTCATTGTCATTGATATCATGGAGACTCCATCACTATATCGCAACAGTGGAGCACTCTCCATGGAGAGTTGGTGTTTGAATCACTCTCTCTAGAAGTTATTAGGAGAGGGAAATGGTCTGAGATAGGCATCGAGAAGGATACATTCCTATTTATACATTGTCCGTCACATAATATATCTTCTGTGTATTATACTCTCCTCCCCAGTTGCTACATTTATCACTGCTACGATAAACTTGATAGGAACGTTGATACAGGGTATATTGGTAATTATCACTACTTCAATCGTACCAGATAGCTCACTAATATCGAAATGATCTATCTTCAGACTATCGTACTTGACTCGCAAGCGTCTATTCTGTGAAGATAGTGTCAAGGTGATAATGCATTGTCAAAAGTGATAATTATCTTTTGTATTTGTTTCAAACTGACACTGAGTCATGATGAGTGTGTGTATGACTTCCAATTTTTTTGAAGAATTGGATTGGAATACAACAAACCCTTTGCCTGAAGCAACTTGCTTGGGTGAGGTGAAACTATTGGTGTTTCATTAATCATTAGTTAGATAATCATACAGATAATTACATATTTATATACATACATACAAAATGTTGATCAAGGTTAAGACATTGACTGGAAAGGAGATTGAGATTGATATCGATCCAACTGACAAGGTATGATTCAAATCATTCATTTCGAATACAACCTTTAGTATACTTGTTGTCCAACAAACATAAACTTACACGTGTCTTCTCACAACAACAAACAAACAGATCCAACGTATCAAGGAGAGAGTCGAGGAGAAGGAGGGAATCCCACCATCACAACAGAGACTTATTTTCGGAGGAAAGCAGATGTATGTTGATCACAAGGCAAACAGTCATTCAGACTGACAGAGGAGATAGGGAATGAATGAATGGAGAGAGAATGTTATACATGTACTAACAATAGATTATTATTCAAACGTAATAGGGGAGATGAGAAGACTGCCAAGGACTACTCTATTGAGGGAGGTTCAGTGCTTCACTTGGTGTTGGCTCTGCGTGGAGGAAACTAAATGACTACTTTACCGGCTCACATCATCATCATTAGCAGCAGCACCATCAGGAACATGATTGAAAATGCTACAGACACTTTGTTATAATAAACCCTTGCCCTCGCCACCTTCCCTTTAGGTACATACATAGACACTTCAACAAGCAACAAAGGTCTTTCCCTCATCATGTTTGACGGATGGATGGATGAACGTTGTTATTTATTTGTTATACTTATATATATTTGGATTCCATTATCGATATGTCTATCCTCCTGATTGAATGAATGAACGAACGATCGACTGATTGATTGAATGACAGGACATGGTTCGTTTAGTACACCCAACAGAGGAGTGCTTGGAGAATGGCAATCATAACGACAAAGTAGTTCCTCTTTGTGCCTCCCTCTGGATTGTGCATATCAGAGTGAATGTTGTCTGAAAGGAGAACAACTCTGAGTGTCTTGACAATAAAGATTCCAATACATATTGATATGTATGCACATGCTCCCCAAGTCACAGCACCGCCAAACAGTATAGTCACTGCAGTTGACAATACAAGCCTATCATTATTATTTGGACAAACGTTAGGTTAGGTTGATTGAATGATCGAATGATAGAAATGATAGTAATATACATACAATACATATTTGTATCCACTGTAGGATATCATATCGTACATGGGGATTGAGTAGGAGTTGGTGAAGAAGAAGCCCAACTTGAAGAGTCCAAGCTCCAACAACCAAATGATGATTCCTTTGGAGATTGAGGCGCCAAGCTTGTCTGGTGAGAACGATGCTGACATTCCCAACTGGAATCCATAGAGCAAGTAGTATGTGACGAATGCCATCATTGGAATATACAGGTCAGGTGCATTAATGTCATCCCTTGGTGGAAGGTATTGGTCCAGATCGCCCTGTCTAATGATTCTTCTCTTCCATGTCTGAAGGAGGGTGAGTGAGATGATGTTAGAGTGGCGCTCGAGGTCGAGATGGACTTGGCGCCAATGTGAGCATGACCTACCTTTTGACGGAAGGGGAAGAGTAGTAACTTTATCTTATTGAATACATAGGAGGTGTTGACATTGAAGTAGCTCTTCAATGTTGAGAATGAGAAGTATTTGCCAAACTATGTAATGCATTGGGATGATTGATTAGTCGACTTCTCTTCATAGCCTGACTGGATTGATCAATCTAACTATCTTACATTCGAGTCGACGTATTGTTTGCCATCACTGAACAATGATTGACCATAGGTGAGACCATAGTTCAGACCGACTTGAGTCAGAGGGTTGTTGGAGAGGTTGGCGATAAAGTCTGGGTTTTGTGCACCTGGTGGAGAGTACTGTGGATGTGCGCTTGCATATTGCTGTGGAATGTCTCTCTGGAATGGTTGTTGATTGGGATATTGCTGTGCTGGTGGCTTTCCCCATTGTTGTTGTTGTTGTTGATTTGGTGGACTTGTCCATTGTTGTTGTTGTTGTGGCATTCCACCCATATGTTGTTGCATAGGTTGACCCTGTTGTCCCTGTTGACCATAGTTATATTGGTCTATTCATTCATTCATTGTAATAGTATGAGTATCAATGCAATTGCATCAACCATGTCTTTGTCACTCTATCTAAGCTTACCCATTGAAGGATAGTTTTGCGAATTCATCTCGATGTGTCAGTCTATCTAAATATCTGTACTGTCTTCCTATATATCGTCTATTTCTATCTCTATCTCTATATCTTTCTTATACCTATAACTCTACAACATAGATTTTCAAGTGTTGAGCAACGAATGGATGTTGTTTGAATGTTGACTGACTGAGTCACACACACCACTTCATGATCATGACTCACGATTGTTGTTCATTCCTTTTTTTTGAAGTTGGTGTCAGAGCACCGATTCATTGGATGCCAGGTTCAGGAATGAGTTGGTCAATGGACCATCTACACTTTATTATTATTATTATTTACAGGAGTAATACAACAATGACTATGACTATGACTATGGCTATAACTATAACTTAACTGTTGTTCCAATTCCAATTCATCTCGTATGAGGTCGATCGATTACGATGAAGAACAGGCTTGTTTCCACTTGATGATGTTGTTGAAGATGATTGTTGATGTTGTTGTTGTGGAGATGGTATTAAGTGTTCACTATTGTTGTTGTTGATGATGTTGTTGATGCCACTACTACTACTGATGCTATTGCCACTACTATTGACATTGCCATTGCCACTAAAGAATGAAGCCAATGATGCTGATGGTATGTTTGAGGGCGGACTGAATGATAGGTCCTGCATTGTGTGTGGAAGAGTTGGCGACAGAGAGTGTAGTTGTTGATTGTTTAGAAAGAGTGGACGCTCGCCAGACCTATCAATATCTTGTTGTCTTTCCCTACTACTGCCACTGCCACTGCTGCTCATATCCGAATGGAAACTGTTTGAAGTTGGAAAGAATGTCAAGCCAGGTGTCACATTGCTAGATGATGATCTCTTCCTATTGCCCTCCAGCATAATACTGATGATCTTATTCAGAAACAAGTCAAGCTTATTATAGTTCTCGCTGCCAGCTCTGAAGCAATCAACATTCAATGCAGACTAAAGGATGAGGGAGCGAGAGTGAGTAAGAATGAATGAATGATTGAATGAATGAATGAACATACAACAGCAGCACTTAATCGTCCAAGATGATCGTTCGCAATGAATGACTTGTCGTAGAATAGGTCTGACTTGTTGCCAATGATCAATAGGGGGATGGAGGGAACGTGAGTGGCTCGATGCTGATCAGCAGTGTTGTCCAGTAGTAGTGGCACCTCCTTGTCTTTCAGTGACCATGGATTGTTGTTTGGTGACACCTTGTTCAACACCTCTGATATCCACTTCTTTACATTGACCAATGAGTTCTTGTTGGTAAGATCATACACTACGATCAGACCATTGATACCATTATAGAATGTTGGTCTTGATAACTTATACTTTGTTGAGCCTCCAACATCTACAAACTCTACAAAGTAATCTTTGGATAGGTATTCGTGTATCTACATCATCATCATCAATCATTAATAATGTGTCGTTCATTCATTCAATCAATCATTCCTTACCTTTATGTCTGTGTTGCAACCCATTGTCCAAGAGGGAGGATGAGCAAGTAGTTGTCCTTTACATATTAGGTTGACTAATGATGTCTTGCCTGTTTGTTGTTGTTGTTGTTGTTGTCAGTTAGTTAGTATCAACAACATCATCAACGTCATCATCAACAGTAACTTGGACCTCCGCCACCATGACTTGATATGTACCTACAGTAGTGTCACCAACAACAGCCACTCTTATCTTATCCAAGGATGATGACTTTGATGGTGCTGGTGATGGATAGAATGACATCGTCGTTGTCCTATTACTACTACTACTACGACTTAAGTTATAAGTTGGTAAATTGAACAACATCCAAAAAACACAACAGACATTGATGTTATCTCTCCTCCCCATCCAACCCCCTCTTTGTACTTTGGCAATCAATCCTGGATTTATTGGATGTTCATTAACCTCTGATGAAAGTATGACACGTGATTGAGTTGTCCTTCTGTGATGGATAACTTGAGTGAATTGTGGATGCATTGGGGAGCCAGCTCAAACTCATCCAAAATACTAGGGTCGATGTTTCCAACAATTATCTTACTCGTAAACAAGTATAAGTTCTTGAAATGGTTATGGATTTGTTCCCATCTGTTGTTGATACCAGGTTGTTGTTGTTCATACTGAATGATTGCCTGTATTACTTTAATGTGTCCACCATCCATTGCTTCAATGATCATTTTCAGTGAAGACTCCACCGAGACCAATCTTTGGTAATCATATTTAAACTTTGAGAACATGAACTCCAAGATGTGAAGATGACCATTCTTGGCGGCACCAATGAATGCCTGCTCTGTACATCCTTCATTGCGAGTGGTATTAAGGTACTCAAACACGTGAAGATGTCCATTTGTGGCCGCCCCATCCATTGCTTCAGTGGTCGTCTTGATATTACGATTGTCGGTCAGATACTTGAGTGTACCCAATGCGCCAGATCTGGCCGCTTTGAGGAATGATGTTGGGATGTCGAAGTAAATGTTGTTGGTGCAGAGGAATTGAATGATTTCCAGGTTGTCAAAGGACATGCGAGCATGTTGGAGGAATGGAGAACTAATGTGTGCCTTGTGCGTGATGTAAATCTTGAATGACTCAGTCAGGCCATCACGTGTCAGGAGGTCCACGATGCCATATCCATCGTCCACCAAATGTGCAAGTTGTACGTCTGGATATTTGATACTGAGCACAGGGAGAAGCTCAAAGAGGCCTTCGGAAATGGCACAGTCCATTGGATAACCACGGATTGGACGGCGGTAGCGTGTCGAGATGATGTCACTGTCCAGAATCTGCTGAAGCAACTCAACACGCTGACTGGCCAAAGGTATTCGCTTCAACTCTGATATGGATGATGCTAGGTCGCCAATAGTAAAAGGAGAAGGCAGAGTTGGCGTTGTGGTCGCAATGATTGCCGCACGCGCGTGTGAGTTGAGCAATATTTGAGTACAACTTGTAATGTGTCGACTATACGGGTTGATGTACAGCTCTTCTGGATGTTTGTGTATGATGGAAGTGATGAGTGAGGTCACCTCTGTCTCTGGTGGGAGTTTGACAAGTACACTGAGTAACCTAGGGTAATCAATGTATAGCTGATGCTGCTGCATGTGAAGCTCAACCAGACGGAACAACTCAAAGTTGCCAGCTTGTAGCAAGCACTTGAGTGATTTGATGCAGAATCTGATGTTTGGGTATGTGGCCAGACGTTGAATGAGCTCCATCGATTGGAGAGATGGATGTATCTTCTGGATGGTGAAATCGATATCATTCGACAATACATCGATGTCGTATTGATCCAACAGGAAGTAAATAACATCCAAAGGACTGCCACACTTAATCGCAGTGACCATGGACTGATCCCCAATGGAGAACGGTAGTCCAGTGACAGTGAAGTGTGCGTGAACCTGTTTCAAGAGTGCCAACAGATCTCCTTTGTTGTTATTGTTGTTGTTGATGGACGCCAAGACAAAGGGGGCAGAGGTCTCAGCCATGTTGTTGCTGTTTGTTGATGATCTGCTCCTCTTGAACCCGATATAGATGAGGTATCTCGAGAGAGTTGTACAGATTGCTTCAGCAATCCAATCAACATTTTTCATGTACTCTGGCAGTGTCTGATTGATATGATCAAGTAGCTCCAAACTAAAGTATTGACGCAAAGTGTCGTTGATGACAGCCTTCATGTCCTTGACTTCGAAGCAATCGCGTAGCACTCCAATCGATGTGATGAACTCGAGTGCATTCTCTTGAGATCCAATCGACTTGAGGAGAGGCTCATGGTTGCCCAAGTAGATGGGACCGGGGGCGTGGAGTTGATGCAAGTGGCGCATTATAACCTTGAATAGTTGGTAGTCTTCAATTATTCTCCACTCGATCGTCCAAAGTTTTATGTGATGCTTGATGTCTTGTGGTCCTCCTCGGTTGCTGTTGGTGAGTAGAAATGAGAGGAACTCTACATCGTTGCTACGTATAGCCGGTTCAATTGCATGGCATGTCAAAAGATTGAGATGCGGGTTGTTGTTTAGCATATTGTAGTCCATTATCAGTTTGACTATCTGTTGATTCTTGTGTTTGGCAGCCAGTGTCAATAGTTGTCGCATTGGCTCTTCCTCCTCTGTATAAGACTGAATAAAGTCAACATAGCCTGGTATACGTGGCGCGCCACCTCCATCTTCAATCTCAGTTATTGAAGTCGGACTTTGAGATGGAGTGAATGATGGTGAATGATTAAAGAGGGATTGATGTGTCTCTATCTTATCAGTCAACTCTCTAAATCTCTTGACAAACAGATGAGTTCTACCATGTATGATGAACTGTTTGAGTGATCCATTCAACTTCAGATCTTTGCATTGCTCCATGATCATCTTTCTAATGACAACATTCCTGAACAATGAAGTAAATGTAACTTCTACCATCTGTTGTTGTTACTTGATGTTGTTCATTATCTATCAATAGTCTGTCAGGCTTCGTGATCAAATGAAGTCACAGTCCAGTTTGAACCCAACTTTTGGCAAGTCCAAGTTGGAAAATGGAAGATGAGGCTGGAGCGAAAGTCCTTTATTATATAATACATAAACAATTGTCAATATCACTCGATGTACTGTCCATTGTTACCCTTGTTGTTGCTGTTGTTGTTGTTGTTGTTTGGCTTGTTGGAGTAGTACTTGTTACTGTTGCTATTGTTGATTGATGTCTTGAATGGTTTGTAATGTAGTTGTTGCATTGGAGGAGGCTGTTGCTGCTGTTGTTGTTGTTGCGCCAGCTGAAGTTGTTGTTGTTGTTGCACCAGCTGTTGTTGCTGTTGTGGCAACTGTTGGTGCATCATGAAGTTGTTGTTGTCCAGTTGTACATTCTCTGCAGAGTTGACCCTTCTAATTAAATTGGAGCCACCTCTGTTGCCATCATTATTGTAGTTATGTCTACCATTATTGTTGTTATTGTTGTTGTTGTTGATATTGATGTTATTGTTGTTGCCAGGACTGTTCCTGTTGTTGTTGTTATTATGTTGTTGTCTTTGTTGTTGGTGATATTGTTGTTGTTGTTGTTGTTGCTGTTGGTGTTGATGAAGTGGCTGTTGGGGTGGCGACTGATAGTATGGCTGTTGCAGGAGGAATGGTTGTTGTGGCGATGACTGTGGTTGTTGTTGTTGTTGTTCATAGTATCTTATCTTCTGTTCGGCCTCATCCTTTGACTCTTGTAGTCTTTCATAAAGTTCCATCTTTGATTGATTTAGTGGAGTCAGTAACATTGATTACATGCCACAATCATGCTCTGTTCAGTCACATAAACATACCTGGGCATTCTTGACATTCTTGAGACCCTTCATGTAGGCACGACCTAGATCGTCCAACATTTGGTAGGATAGAGAGTGCAGGTTGTTGCCGCACAGATGTTCATACTTGATGGACAGTTGGAGTATCTCTTCGGCCTGTCTCTTGAGCTCAGTCTGCATCTGTTTGTACTTTTGATGATTGGAATCGTTTGAATAATCTGATCCTCCAACTGTTGCCGCTGCTGGAGGTTGTCCATTGTTGTTGTTGTTATTGATAATGGGCGACAACAATGGAGACTGGGATGACTTGGGCGAGCTCATAAGTATGTTGGGTGAGAGTGAGAGGGCGGGTCCATGTGATGGCGGACTCTGTTGCTTGTGCTGTTGTTGCTGTTGAAGTTGAGGATAGAGCGAAGCAATTGGCAAGAAGTGGATGTCATCGTAGCTGGTCGGGGCAGTGGCCATACCGCCAATCACAATCAGTGTTGAGCCATCGGCGCTGACGGACAGTGTGTGCTTGAACCTGATGGGTGGCTTGTTCTCCAGATGCGGACAATGCCACTGCATGCTCTCGATGTTCAGTATCCAGAGTGTGTCGAAGCAGCGCCCGCCATCCATGCCACCGAATATATAAAGGTTCTTGTCGACAAACACCGCGGCATGGTTGGCCAGCGGGCCAATCATTGGCGACCCTGTTGTAATGGCGGGGGTCCACACACGAGAGTCCACATTGAAGATGTAGAGGTCGTTGAAGTGGGTCGTCTTGTGTCTGCCGCCAAACAGATAGAGCTTGAGGCCGCTAGAGTAGAGGTTGGCCGTGTGGAAGGTGCGCGCATGTGGAGGATCGCACACCGTCTGCACGTGAGTCCAGGTGAGCGTGGCCACGTCCAGACAGTACATATCGTTGTAGAAGGCGTTCTCGCCAAGGCCACCAAACACATAGAGGTGCTTGCCGACCATCGTGGCGCTGTGTGCGTATCTGGGACTGGGCGCATTGCCATGTGTCTGAGGCTGAGACCAAGTATTGTGCACGGTATCATAGATGTTGACGTCATCATAGTACCTATGTCCATCGAATCCACCAAAGATCAACAATCTATTATTACCAATATCAGTCGCTGTATGAGCGTATCTTGGCATTGGAACATTACTTCCTCGCTCCTTCACCGTCCATTGATTCTTCTCCAAGTCATACATCAACATTGAGTTATGATATGTGAACGTTGTAGAATCTATATTTGCTAAGGTTCATCGATCCATCGATTGATTGTTTGATTGAATGAGTATGATGAGCAACAACAACTTGTTGTAGATGTTAAACATACCTATATATGTGCATCCTCCAAACACGTAAATGAATGATCCGATGACATTGGCACTATGACCTCCTCTCTTCAATGTGCCACCAAACTCATGTTTCCTCCAACTTGCACTCAACATCTCTATCTCTCTGTCTCTTGTTGTCTTATATATATACTGATACAGATAAAGATACAGATATATTTAAGTGATACCAAACAAGCCGAACCACTTTATGATGTGCAATGGGAGGTCGACAAGACCCAAAGATCTTGGAGCCCAAACACAAGAATGGGATATTTTTGGTGTTGTGAATTTTCCTTTGCAGTATTTCTATGAATGAATCATCCTGGAGCATAAAGAGAGTGAGATCACGATAATAGAACAATAAATAATTATAATGTTGATATGTATCTGTATTATTGAAGTAATTATATGTATGAATAACATGAGTTTGAAAGGATGAAGTAGGAACCAAACCATAAATGAACATTGTGGGGTCACCTTTGAGCAACCCATCTTTGGAATTCAATTAAAAGTTGGGCTTTTGACCCCTGAGGGTTTGGAAACAGAACACACAAGAGTCCACCACTTTAACACTCGATTTGTTGTTTGTTGTATAACTTATATCTATATTTATATATATCTGTTTGTTGATTGATTGTTTGTTTGTTGTACATGTACAGAGATGGACACCAACAATAATAACAACAACAACAACAACAATACATCAATAACAACATCAACAACGACAACAATGACAACAACAACAACGACAGGAGGAGGGTCATCATTGGTCGATGAGAACTTTAGAAAGGTGTTTGATTATGGCAGATCAATGTTGACAGACTTGGCAAGAATTGATGACATGATCAATGCATCGGATGTAGTCAGTGAATTGGAGATTGTTATGTTCTCAAGAAGAATGACGTCGAGATGTTCGGAACTGTCGACGCCCACACCAGGTCTGGCACACTCACCGGCCTCACAGATCGATCTGGCCGACACAAGCTTTGGCATCGCGCGACAATACAGCCACAATCAACAGTTCAACATTATCAAGTGCATCATTGTGAACATTACAAACATCATCAATGGCATGAAGACGTACAATGGAGTGGCCCGCAAGGGTTCATCACTGAGCTCGCTCATTCCTCTCAAGAAGGAGTACCATGAGCAGCGCAAACAGTTGATCCAGCACTGGAAGGAGTTGATCATCTACGTGTCAGAGGTCATGTGGCGCGTGCCCAGGATATACACGCCCAAGTCCACGTCTGGGTCATCATCACCACTGCATCCTCTCACACCATCCTCCTCTCTGTTATCAATACCCGCGTCTCCAATATCGGAGCTGGCCATCACATCGCCTGTCATTGTGGCGGCGTCACCTTCACCATGTCTATCGCCATCCCCATCTCCATCGCCATCTCCATCATTGTTACCATCGAACTGGCCACATCAACTTGTCACAACATCACTACCAACATCGCCACGCAAGATGACAGGAGGTCGTGGTATGCCATTGCCCATCAACAACAACAACAGCAACACTGTGACACAACAACAACAACAACAACCACAAGCTACACTCTTTGATGTACTTCATCAAATAAGACAATCACTCTCCAATCTCCTTTGGCATCTCAAGAACTATCAACGAATACAAATGAACAAGCAACAGCAACAACAACAACATCAACAACAACCACATCAGATGCCCAAGCTTTCAGAATCACCTGTTGGAGCAGGTGACTCAGCCATTAATCAACACCATCACAGCCATTTGAATGAGTCTAGTCCTCAAGGAGGCTCACCAAGACCATTGGGAACGATATATATTGAGACAACGAGAAGTCTTACACTCCCAACGCTCTGTCTCCAACTCCAAGAGACGACACAACAGCTCAACATCAAGATGGAGTCAACACTATTTATCACACTCATCAATGGTCTTGCCGTCCAGAGCCACAGTGTAAGTCAGTCAGCGATCACTTGGACCATCCCATGGTTATACTAACTCAATCACAATGATTAGGAAATGATTGAATCACTGACCAAATGTATAGATAACTTCAAGTCACTGGTATTCTCGGTCAATATCAATGTCAAAGGTATGTATGAATGATTGATTGATGGAGTGAATGAGAGAGTGGAGTTGCTGACAGTGTTTGTTCCCTTCCCCATACCAGATCCAATCACTCCATCAAGGCCATTGAATATACCAACCTCAACATCATCTACATCTACGACTTCGACTACTACTACGACATCTTCAAGTACAAAGCAAACTCAAAAGAATGCTTTGTCACCAACTAAGCATGGTCCAATGAGAGGCTTCATGAATTCGATCAAGGGCAAGCCAAGCAAGCAACAACAACAAACACAAGGACAGGCATTCAGTATAGTCAGAGTGGATGACAATGAGAAGCAACAACGACAGCAACAAAAGGATGTGTTGTTAGAGGTACCACCCTCTCGCTCACCAGCATTATCATCACAATCATCCTCACCGATATCGATCACACCAGCAACGACATCTCCATCGTCATCCTCACCTATATCACCTTTGATGTCACCATTGGCATCACCTCCAGCTTCAGTTGCCATGTCACCAACTAGCCCATCGACACCTGCAGAGTCTGGCACAGGTGTCGAGACACGTCCAAGACATCATCCTCAAGGTGTCGAGCATCATGGACCTCCACCAATCACATCAATATCCTCCCCTTCACCATCACCATCGATTCAAGCACTCAAAGATCCTTGTGTTGAGGATGTTCAAGATCCCAAGCCCCAAGTCGTGCCCTCAATCATCATTGATCAACCATCAGGCACAGAGCCACAGACTCAGACCCATACTCAGAATGTTCCACAACATCACCAAAGTTACAACCATCGACATCCCCACCACCAACAGTGGCACCGCCTATACATTACACAAAGCCAACGTCGATCACCAACACACAGATGCCACTACAACCAAAGAAGCAAAAGTTGAAGCAGTTGTCAGTGTTCTCCAAGCATCTCAATCGACTGAAGCAGAGCGATGAGGAGAGACAACGTAATAGTTTCAATCAGTTCTGGATGGAGGGATCCACCGTGCAGAACAGACAGGACAAACTTCCAACTGACGATCGTCAGCGACTACAGATCACAAGTCTCGGCAGCTACGTCTCCAACCTTGTCATCAAAGGATTGCTGGCCTCGGCCACGCCCATTCAGCCTCCACACATTGAGAAGTAAGTAAACCAGGAAGGAATTATTCCAATCATATACTTATCCCCACTCCTACATCATCACCACCAGCTACTCATCATGTGTTCTATTCGCGGACATTAGTGGATTTACTGCACTCACTGAGAGATTGGGCAATCATGGACAGGAGGGCGTGGAGCTGCTCACAAAGAACTTGAACTTGTTCTTTGATATGTTGATCAAGATTGTGAAGAGCTACGGTGGAGACATTGTAAAGTTTGCAGGTGATGCCGTCTTGACTCATTGGCCAACATATGGAGAGTTGACGAACCGTGTGCGTATAGCATGTGCCTGCGCACTCAGTCTACAACGCAAACTTCACAATTTCCCTGTACCGGGCGGCTTCCTCACCCTGCACATTGGAGTTGGTTGCGGCAAGGTGTCTGGCCTTTATGTGGGTGGTGAGTCATCCAAGGTAGAGTTCCTCATCGCGGGTGAGGCTCTCGTGCAGGCAACACTGTGCGAGAAGGAAGCAGACGCCGGTGAGATCTACATCTCGCAATCATGTCTGGACTATGTCAAGCAGTTTGCCAATGTCACACAGAAGAAGAGCAAGGCCAACTACCGACTCGACTCTTTGGCCAAGTTGGAGAAGCGTGAGAAGCGACCATCGTCCACGGTCGACGGTGAGGACTTGTTGACGTCAATGGACAGGAAGTTCTTGTTCGACCTGCCCCTGCTCATGGACATGGAGGATTCACTGCAGCGATTCGTGCCCAACACTGTGGTCAATCACATCAAGCGTGGCGCATACCTCGCCGAACTGCGATACATCAGTGTCATATTTGTCAACCTCTCGTATGGTGTGCCCGACCCCGTCAAGGACCTCGACACACTGCAGGCCATCGTGTCTCAGACTCAAACAATCGTCTACAAGTACGAGGGCACAGTGCGCCAATTCATCATCGACGACAAGGGTTGTGTGTTGATCGCCTGCTGGGGCATGCCAGGTGTCAGCCACGAGGACGACCCTTCGCGAGCAGTCGAAGCCGCCATGGAGATCGTTGTCAATCTGTTCAAGCTCAAGGTTATCAGCACGGTTGGTGTGACCACTGGCAAGTGCTTCTGCGGTGACGTTGGCAGCGACGAGCGCCGAGAGTATGCCGTCGTCGGCGACATTGTCAACCTCTCAGCGAGGCTCATGTCGCACAGTCAGGGTGGAGTGCTCTGTGACGAGGAGACATCGAGGAACGCACGTAACATTGAGTTTGTTCGCATGACCGAGCCCATCAAGGTCAAAGGCAAGACAACTCTGATCCCCCTATTCAAGCCAATCAAGAAGCACAAGCATCTGGACAACAACTCACCCCGACAGCTCGGCCTCAAGAGCAAGCTCATCGGTCGCCAGACCCAGCTATTGCAGATGTCCATCGCGGTGCACGAGCTCACTCAAGGCAAGCCCACACGCATCTTCTTGCTGGAGGCTGAGGCCGGTCTGGGCAAGAGCAGGTTCATCTCAGAGGTCAAGCATAACTTCTGCACCGGCATCAAGATACTCAAGGCTAGCGGTGTACAAATGAGCGAGTCTACTCAATATTATGTTTGGAGACAGCTGATCCAGGAGTATCTGAATGAGGACGAGCGTACTGGCTACAAGACATTACAGACACTTGGCCCACACATCAACCTGCTCAGACAAGCTCTGGATATCCGCGCCGAGCTGCCAGAGGCAAACAGAAGATACTCTGCGCCACAAAGAGCAGAGACTCAACACATGCTCATGTTGCGATTAGTGCAGACCATGGTGCCACCTGGCACGATCATCGTCATCGATGACGCTCACTTCATGGACAAAGCAAGCTGGACACTCACTCAGAACCTCTGCCAGGTACTTGAGAATCACTTGATCATCATCTCCATGCGTCCTCTTAAGGACGCGCTTCCCTCTGGCTTCACCCAATTGTCCAACTTGGAGACCATTCAGCTCGAGCCACTCGCGTCCAAGGAGGAGGTGGCAATGCTTATTGAGCAGATACTAGACCGTGGCGGCAGCGGCGGCAACACAGCAGCACCCAGGAGCAACAAGATACATGACGAGATCATTGAGGAGATATTCAATCGATCACAGGGCAACCACTTTGTGATTGAGGAGATGGTCAACAGTCTGCGCTCATCAGGTGTGTTTGACGAGAGCTCTGGTCTATCGAAGCAGGAGCTGATTGAACAGGTCAAGGTGTCCATGCCACGCACAGTCACATCACTGATCACCAGCAGAGTAGATCGACTGAGCAACACACAGCAGCTTGAGCTCAAGGTCGCTTCGGTAATCGACATGCCATTCACAGCCGACTATCTATACTCAATGATGCCCTCTGACTCGACCAGCAAGCAGGACCTTATCAATGATCTGGCTCAATTGGAGAAGCTACACTTTATCAAATCAAAGACTGTGGCATCCAAGACAAATGATCAAACAGACGTGGTGTACTCATTCCAACACACGCGCACACAAGAGGTCATCTATGGTGTGATGCTGTTCTCTCAACGACGTGAGCTACACTTCAAAATTGCCAAATCACTCGAGAAGGAGAACGGTACTCCTCAATCACTGGTGCATCACTATCACTGTGCTCAAGACTACAGCAAGACGAAGGAGTATGCGATGAAGGCTGGTCTCAAGGCCATGGGCGTCAATGACAATAAGGAGGCTGTCAAGTACTTCCAATTAACATTGAAGTGTATGGAGATGGAGATGAATGCCAACAATAACCCAAGTGCACCTGGAGGTGGCAACAGCAGTGGCGAGGGAGGCGATGAGGAGAAGAAACCTAGGCGAGGCCATCACAGGAGTTCATCTTCGCCATCCACTACAATCACGACCGCCCCACTCTCATCACCAAGCGCTGGTATGATCAAAAAGACTCCATTTGAGGTCGTGTCCATGACCCGCAAGCTTGGCATGGTATTGTACAACATGGGATTTCTTCAGTCTGCATCCATGCACTTCTTCTCTGCGCTCAAACACATGGGCATTGAGATGCCTGGTGGTCTGAACGGTCCGCCATCCCAACAACAAGCACCAGCCAGCGCTGGTCCAAGAAAGCTCGTCCGTTTGCCCAAGATGGCCAGACAGGACTCGCTGACCAAGTTCTTCACATCATCTTTGGACCCATTCGAAAAGCGTGAAGCCATACTCTCGCTCGTGCTCCTGTCCAAGATATTCTTGCACGATTGTGCCAAGAGCTCAGCCACCTGGTGCTGCTTTGTCTCTTCCCAACTGGCAGGTGAGAACTGGAATCTCCAATCGGAAGCCTTCTCAATTGGTATCCGTGTGCTTGGAGCGAATGGAGATCACACAACGCCTCTCAGATACTACGCTGCAGTGTTGGCGTCAAAGGAGACCAATACCTATGTATGTGGCAACTCGCATCAGTCATGGGGCATTCTCATGGCTGGTCTAGGTCGTTGGAGCGAGGCTGAGGCCGGTTTCCAAACAGCAACAGAGTCAGCATCTGCCTCTGGCGACAAGAAGATGATGGAAGAGTCCAGTATCTTCCTTGCCAACTGTCTATACCTAATGTGTCAGATCAAGCCCAGCATGACATTGGCACAACAAACACTGGAGAGCTCGAGGGCAAGAGAGGACCATCAGATCCAGATCATGTCGTTGCTCTCACTATCCATGTGCCAGTTCCGTCTGGGTGATCACGAAGGCTACATTGCCAACATGAAGGAGATCGAGCGCTTGATGTCCACAGTGGGCAACTCTGAGATACCAAACTCCTATCAGATGAACTACAACATTCTCAAGGCTCACATTGCACTGTATAACAATGATATCAACACCTGCTACGAACATTGCAGGACTGTACACACTATTCTCAACCGATGCGAACCCAACAACTTCACCACTTACGAATCATACGCTTCATTGCCATTGATTCTAATCAAGATACTTAATATCCAGTCAACAACTACAACATCGACTACTACTACTGCATCATCACCAAGCAACAACAACAACACAACTCCCTCACCACCTACCATACATAACCGATCCAAATTGATGAACGAGATCATCGAGTGTATGATACTTTTGGAGAAGTTTGCCGACATCTTCCCAATTGCTCAGCCGAGACTGCTCCTGCTCCGTTCGATTGTCAACGCACTTACCAACAAAGAGGACGCCAATGTCGAGATTGAGAAGTCCATCCAAGAGGCCAAGGAAAAGGCCAACAAGTTGGGAATGACCTTTGAAGAAGAGCTATGCTCTGACTATCAACAACTCCTACTTTGCACCACCGAACAAGAACGTCCTGGCCCTGAGGCTCCCGCCACCTTGTCACCATCCAAAGTAACCTCGCCCGATAAGAAGGATGGTTTCCACATCTTTGGCTTCCTCAAATAAACGTTTGAATGCAATGGCATATATGTAATCTGAAAGTGTATATAGGTTCGCCAAAGTTGACTGTTATTATTATCGAATGGACTAGTTCAAAATGACAGAGCATAGCTTCTCGATTATCCATGCTCCAACGAGGTCGACGACAATGGTTCCAAACATTAGCATACGGAAGTGTGCGTCTGGGAAAGGGATCATCTCAAGGAATGTGTTCCATGATGGGATGATCTCGAGCGAGAGTATTGCGCCAAGCAACCATACAGACGACAGAGAATATAGGAGTGGCTTGTTCTCTTGCAGACTCTGCATGAAGGGGTGTCCCTTGTAGTTGATGGCAAATGTGGCCACTTGCATTGCGTTGGAGATGAGGAAGACGGCGCTGTTGACTAGGTTTGGTTCGAATGTCGAGTCTGGCTTGGGCATGGTGCCCTCGGAGCGTGCTTGAGCTTCGCGCACAATGAATATCAGACAGCCAAGATGAAGTACAAACTGCAACAGGATGGACAGCATCATGTATGGACTGAACAGGTTGGGGTTTGGTCGCTTAGCGGCAAGCTTCTCCAGAGGCTTCGAGGTTGAGATGAACAGGAAGCACATGGCAATCAGCATTCCTGCGAGTGTGATCTGAGTGTCTCCAAGCTTCACACCATCCAAATAGAGCACTGACAAACTGTAGGCAGAGATCAATGAGTTGAGGGCAAGGATCTTGTACATTTGGAATGTTGTGACCAGTGTACATCTACCCTGTCTGATGATATGTGTGACTGGCATCACTCTTGAGCTCCTTGATGTGAATGGTGCTGCAATCGAAGCATCGCCCAACTTAACCATCTGCAACTCTTGGTCCTTCATATCCTCCTGGAGCTTCCTAGTCAAATCCATTGCACTTACACTCTTTGATTTGTTCTGTTGTTGTTGTGCTTGCAATTGTCTCATCTGTTGGGCGTGGTGGCTTGTGTTAGTGGCTGTTCAAGGACTATGTCAATGGCCAACTTGAATGACTTACAATTGCTGCTGGACTGGTATCAATCACTCTGGGAGGAGGAAGGTCACCCTTGTTGAGGATAGCAATACCGACATGTGCCTGCTTGAGTGCACCAACGTCATTGGTACCGTCGCCAGCCATCACAGTGTGATGTCCATTGACCTTGAAGTTGGTAAGGATCAACTGCTTCTGCTCCGGTGACACTCTGGCAAACACCTGAACCATGAACAGATCCTTCTCAAGTTTGGCATTGTTCATTATCAGCGACAGGGTCTGTCCTGACACGCCAAGGTTGTATTGCGATCTGAGTGTCTGCAAGTGCTTGATGTTGTTCGTATCGAGTGCCAATGTTACGGTCTCATCGACTGAGATCCACTTGGCATTCTTGCCATCAACATCAGAGTTGAGGATCAACGTTGGTTGTTGAGGGTTCTGGATGCCCAGCTGCTTGGCAACGTGGCACGCTGTCAGACTGTTGTCACCCGTGATCATTACGATTGAGTGAGCAGAACTGGACAGCTTCTCAATGGCCTCCTTCGAGTCTGGCTTGAGTGGGCAATCAAAAATGAGGAATCCTCCAAACTCCAAGTCGCGCTCAGTCTCCTCACGCTGGATCTGCTTCATCGTAGACATGTTGTCCGACTGGATCCTCTTGTAGCCAAGTGCAATCACACGTGCGCCCTGTCTTGAGAAGAGCTTGTAGGTGGACTCATAGTCGTTGGTAATGGAGCCCGCCCTGAAGAATGGCCTGAGTACCTCTGGTGCACCCTTGATAAAGGCGTAATGAGAGACGTGTCCATCTTGATTGACTGATGCCACTGTCGACATTCTCTTCAGGTCCGAAGAGAAGAGATAACGATTGATGATCTCGATGATCACCTTCTTGCGGTGGTGTGCCGAGACGTCGCCTTTGCAGCTCCATGGAATGGACTTGAGTGATGCTGTCTCCATTGGGTCTCCAACAAGCTTGCCATCAATGTGTACCAACGAGTGGCATCCAGCCAAGATGTAATGGATAACAATGGGGATGTCTGCTGGGGCAGTGAGTGCGCTTGGTCCTGATGTCGAAGTTGTCGTTGAGTTGCTGCTGCCCTCTTGCTCATTGTCCAATGATTTTGGACAACAGGCAACACCCTGGAGGATGAGGTCGTCGGTGGTGAGTGTGCCAGTCTTGTCGAAGCAGCAAATATCCACCTTGCCTGCGAATGGAATCCTGAATGGCTCGGTACAGTAGATACCAAGACGAACGAGAGCAATCAAAGAGTTGTTGACGGCCAGCGACAGCTCCATTGGGAGCTCAGGTGGGACGACCGACGTGATGACCATGATGCAATGCAAGATGAGCTTGTATCTGTTCCTCTCCTCGTCCTCGTATCCTCTGATGAACAGGTAGACTGACGCGGCAATGGCAAAGATCAACAAGAAGATGATAAAGAAGAAACTCTCCTTGTTGTTGGCAGTGACACGCTCAGATGAGAACCAGATCGTACGCATCAGACTGCCCTGATTGGTGTCAAAGCCAGTCTTGAGCGCAAAACAGATACAGCCCTTATCTGGAGACTTGGGCACCTTGGAGTTGAGACGGTCGGCTGGACCGTTGTGCTGAACAACCTGCGTTCCACCGTAGAGGATGTGTAACTTGTCGTTCTTGAGATCGATCGATGGTGACTTGCTGATGCTCCTGTCTTGGATGGACTCCTTGTGATGAGGAGTGGACTCGCCCGTCAACATGGCTTCATTGACGACGCAACCACCGGCCAACAACAAAAGATCGCATGGCATTGTTGAGTTGGCTTCAGTCGTGCCTCTTCCAACTGACACAATATCACCTGGAATGATCTCAGTCGAGTCGATCTGTTTCCAAGTGTTCACTCTGTACACATACACAGGGTAAGATGGTTTGCTACTCATCTCTCGCAATGACATCAAGTTTCTCAGTCTCTGTGAATGATTGATTGATTGATTGAGTGAGTGAGTGGACGGGACAAAAGCTTGACTCGCTAATGACTTACGGATTTGACTACGGTGGCTTCAAACATTAGGAGCATGAAGAGTGTGAAGAGACAGTAGAGGACATACTCCTCAAGACACCAGAGGAGGACACAGAAGACTTGGAAGACAAAGAATGGTGCAATGGCCTGCTCCTGGTAGAGGTGCCAGAAGGATGGCAGAGGTATATCGAATCGGTTGTTGCCAAACTGTGACTGTGCCTGCTGGAGGGACTCGGCCGTATCGTAGCCACGCAGCTTGAGCAGCTCTTCGGTGCTGCTTGCGGGCACGATCAGCTTGATGCGACGGAACTGTCGAGTGTCGGGATCGTACGTGAACTTGCGCTTCTGGAACTCAAAGTATATCTGTCGGCGGCTGTCCACAACGATTGGACAGATCTGTTTGGAGCCGACGTGCGACGACGGTGTCACCTTGACGTCGGACGCCTGAGAGATATCCGACACGGGCGTCATTGAGACAAAGGCGCAGTACTCCACCGACCAGTACTTGAACAGCTGTGAGATAACATGGAAGCAGGCGGCCAATCCAAGAAGGAACAAATAAAAGTCTGGTCCCTCCAATGATACTGAAGGGTTTGCTGTTGTTGAGTCTGTATCTGTTTTGTTTGTGTTGATCGATGTATCATTATTCACTAGTGTCTGATCTATTGTTGTTGCTGCCGCCGCTGCTGCTGCTGTGTCAATGGTCTCATTGTGAAGTTGAGTTGTCGTTGTCGTTGTCGTATTTGTTGAGTTTGATATCGTAGACAATGGAAGTGATAATGGTTCAGCTATCGTATAAAGGTATATTAAGTAAGCGTAGAGTACTACAAAAGGAATGACATTGAGATGAAACAATGGTGGCTTCCTTCTATAGAGTCTAATCGACGCTATTGACTTTGACTGTATTCCTGGTCCACTCCTAATTTGATGACACTTGTGTTATTCATTCATTCTTTCATTCATTCCATAGTCCTAATTACTTACATTATGAGGACTGAATGTTGCTGTATTTATAACAACAACAACAACAACAACAGTTATACTGATATATGAATGAATAGATTGTAGGAATGCAGAACTGAATGAATGAATGAGTTGAAAATGAATGCACTTCACAATTTTCGATGAGTCACAACTCTCCCACAAGAATCTATTCTAACTTCCGACGACTTTTTGTTAGCAACTCATCTTTGGAAGACATTCATTTGACAACACCTATGAACATGTTTAACTTTGAGTATCATAGATCATTATAAAAAGATAAGCTCCAATCATATATAATGGTCCATTCCAAAATCTCTCAAATCTTCATCAACATGGCAACATACTCGCTCAGTCTGTCAAATATTCAATCAACCAATCAACCAATCAACCAATCAATCAAATTGCTTACACACATACTTATACGATTGACTGGCTAATGGCAATGAACATTTGATTGACCAATGAAATGATCATCATCATTGGAAAGGTGTTGGAAGTCTCTCTGTTCATCAATCAGAACGACAGATAGAGATATAATTGATTGATTGTGTATAAAGGGCAAAAAGGAAGTAAGTTTGGCAGTTCTATTATTATCTCCACACACACACACACGATCACTCTCTACCTCTATATCTCAAACACTCTCTCTATCTGTTAACACCTCAAACAAGCAAAGGATCATCATGATTAAGTCATTCAAGCATACATACACACACTCTCAGTGTGCACTGACTGACTGACGTTAATGATTGATTGTTTACCGTGGATGGACAAAACAACCCCACACATTCTGTACCCCACCCCCCTCGATCACTAAATCACCTGTCTAACGGATCGACGATTTGATCGTTGTTGAGGCACATACAACAGGTTGTTCAAACAGGAGGAGGTTGTTAGCGACCAAGCATCGATCAAGTAATATTGGACATCTTATCTTGATCTAATCAGTCAGTGAATCAATCAATCATAAGCCAAGTCAGTTTATAATATTATTAATATTATTTTATCATTTATTATTATTATTGATCACCACCAAGTCGATGTTGATGTTGATGTTGAGTGTTTATCGTTAAAGTACTAAACTAATCTTTATATCTCTATCTGTATAATATTTAAATATATTAATAATATTATAATAATTATTATAATTATCCCTAACTATGGCAGCATACATTCAATTAGATACACCAGTATTTGGAAATCCACATCTTCATACTCCACCATCAGAAGAGTTGGAATCACCATCAAAATTCGATACAACTGAGGATGTTAGTGTTGATGCTGATCAAAACAAGGTCCAACAAGAACAACAACAACAACAGCAACAAACACAACAAGATATATTAGATAAACAAGATGATGATGATTCAATTGATTTGGAATCAATATTATGTATCCAACAACATTGTCGAGCATTAATTGCCAGGAAACATCTACTTCATACTCGTCAATCCGCATTGACTATTCAAAGATATTACAGAGGATATAGAGCCAGGAAACAAGTTCAAGAGCTCAAGAAGGCCACTCCAACACCTGACCCAGCTCCAACACCAACTCAATCTCAAGTCGAAACACCTACTCCAACTCCAACTCCAATTCCTTCTTCAGACTCAGTCCCATCAAAACCAACCCCAACTCCATCACAAGTCGAAACGCAAACTCAAACCCCAACCCAAGATCCAACTCCAACTCCAACCCCAACTCCAACTCCAACTTCATCTTCCACATCAACAACTACAACAGCTATTGCTGCCACCACTGCTCCAACAAAGGAGAGTGTAATTGTACCATTAACAACAGAGAAGGACCAAACAAAGTCCAAAGACACAGATAAGAAGGATAAGGAGAAGGACAAACCAAAGGATCCAACAGTCCACAACTGGGCAGTAGCAAACAATGATGCCTCTAATGCTCAGAAGTTAAATATTGTGAGTACCATAGTAGATTGATTGATTGATTGATTGAATGAATGAACTAACACTGTACATGTAGATAACAAGAACCAAGGGTATTGAGGGACGAAGAAGACCTTCAAGAGGTGTTAGACCTGTGTCAAGGGAGATGTCATCTCCTTCGTTGAAGACACATTTACAACAGGAGCAAGATGACGAGGAGTTTGGTAATAATGATAATAATAATACCAAACCATCAATGACTGGTAGTGGACAACAAGTTGTTCAACCAAGATTGATCAATTTAGGCAATGGTCTGATGTTGCCAAAGTTTGATCCGTCCAAGGTGGTGCTGAGGTCCTCAGCCACAGGACAACGCGATCGCCCAGTCAGTGTGTCCAATCCAGAGATGTTGTACGCTCTCAACAACAAGTTTAAGAACAACATGAGCAATTCTACACCGAATAGTCCGGACAAGCCCAACCAATCTACATCGACCGAAGACAAGACGACTGAGGAGCTCATGAGTGACAAGCTCAAGAGATTCACATCGGCCAACAGACACTCGATGATGCCAACAATGACCCCACCCTTGTCCAAGGAGAAGACTGTACCAGCACCAACGAACCTGTCCACGACCACAATCATACTCAAAGACTCACCGGATCATACTGCCAGGGAGTCGCCAGAGCAGCCATTGTCGCTGGCAAAGATCGACGAGCATGAGAGTGAGAGCGAGAATGTCGCCACGGACAAGTCAAAGTCATCGCACTCTGACAAGGAGGACGAGTCCACACATACCGATGACAGTAGCAGTGGCGGTGTCTTCAAACAACAGCATCCATCAAAGAAGACCAGAGCAAGTGTGTATAGGTCTGGCATTCATAGATTGAGTTGCAACTTCAGCTCGGCAGACTTGTTGCATGCACCATCCACACAAGAGGAGGACAACATCAACAACGAGACCACCTCATCATCAACCACTGTGGACCATCAGAACAAGACACTACACATGTCTTTGAACGAGGTGAAGACCAAGAAGAAGGACAAGAGCAGGATCAAGAAGATATTAAGACTATTCCTTCGTCGACGTCCAAGCCAGAAGGATCTCGAGAAGACCAATGTCCTGGCCGAGCCATCAGACAACAAGAAGTCCAAGAAGGGCAGTTCGGCCCCAGTGAGTGCTCCAGCCACAGTGGCCCCTGTGGACACAGCCACAACAGTCGCGAGCGAATGATCACTGTGAGTGAG